ATGCTCATACAGCAGTGTCCTAAATAACAGCAAAAAACATAGGATGTAAGCCTGTCGGGCCCATTTTCTTCAACAGCAGACACTTGGCCTTCAGTACCTGCTACCACTCATTTCCCTGGTGTGAAGTCTCCTCTGCGTTGAAGCAGACATGATGCTCCTGCTCCCTGGTAGGTTGTCGCTGCCTGGAGGAGAGGCTGGATGATCGGTGGGTGTACTCAGCTGATTGAGAGTATCCGGCACGTTCACACCGCTCCGGGTACATGGAGTAGCGTCGGTGGTCGGGACTGTAATGTCTGTAGTTATTGTAGTTGGAAGAACGTATCCTCTCTCCAGCGTTCTGGTGATGATGGAGAAGATGAGTATCGCCTCCCTCTGTCTCCTGATGTGTAGCGGCTGTGAGGAGAGCCGTCGCGGCGAGGTGACCAGTACTGGGGCCTGGAGGCCTGACTCTGCCTCTCAGTCGAAGCGTACGGTGAGGAGCGACGTCTCTCTCTGCCCCTCTCTGAAAGGGACCAGTCAGGAGAGTGACGTCTGTCTCTGTATGACTCGTGAAGGGGGCAGTCGTTCCTGTGTTTGTTTCAGATGACTCACCTCAAGTCAGTGCTTTAACGTCAGCTGTGAGATCCTGAATGGCCTGCATTATTCAAGGGGATTAGTCAGTGTAAGCTGTGGAGGACACCAGGGCAGAAGGCTGTTGCCCCTGTGAGTAGTCAGATGATGTCCCTAGTGTGAGTGTTGTTGTGGGGCTGGCCTGATGGACTGGGGCCATTTTCAGTGCCTCTTGAGCACTTTCACACTTGCATGCCCCAGCCAAGGCCATCTCTAAGGTAGCAGCTCCATGTTCATAACATTTTGATTGCAACACTGGGTCAAGACCTGCTATGAACCTTCTGAAAAGTTATGTTTCCCTTGTTGACTGGCCAAGTCTAGTTATTTATGCTGCATATACCTCTAGGGGTTCTCTGGGCTGATGCTGCCTGGCATTGATGAATGTTTGAAAGTGATGCAAAAATTCCTTTCTTCCAAAAACCTCATTCAGTTTAGTTACAGCCTCCTTGTAGTCACCCTGCGTATCTGGGGGTAGTGAGAGCCAATAGCATCCCCACTTAGCTGTGTTGGTAATAATGTGGCCAGGTCCTGTCCATGAGCATCATTGCATGCCTTAACAGCTAGCGCTAAACTGATTTCCACAGAGAAAAACATTCCTTATTATTGCCATCTCCATGAAAACTAGGGGGAAGTTAAACTCTATAGTGGATTAAGGAACAACCCACGGCTTGTAAGTAAGCATTTCACGGTAAGGTCTACACCTGTTGTATTCGGCGTATGTGACAAATGCAATTTGATTTGATTTGATTACCCGGGTGGTATTATCACGTGGAGCCAGAGGCACATGTCCCTCCACATGCTGATCGCCATCCCCACCTTGTGGTTGGTTGTGATTGTTAGCTGGTAGATTGTCATTGTCGGCTTCCTCCATGGTTAATATATTGCTCGTGTTCACTACTTGACAAATAAATTATTGCGTTGAAACAAAGTCTGGGTGATTTATTTCCAATGTCCACTTACCACTAGCTAACAAAGTTGGTCGGATAATTCAATCACTGTTGATGCTGCATTGGTTGGAGAGAATGCTATGCTAACTTAGCCTAGCCAAGTAGGGCTGTCACCAGTCTGTAACCCTTATTTATTGTTGTAGGGATTTAACACCATCTCCACCGGAGGACTTGTGGGTTCGACAGAAACAAATAAAACACGAGTTACAACGGAAAACTATTACTTGTGCTTTAATTTCTCCTGGACCAAGAGATACAGCCAAGCAGTCACGAAGATACACTGAGTCTTTTGTTTGTTTCTTTTGTTTTTTTTCCCACCCTCTCCGGACAGGCGCAGGTGCCCCTGGGAATACTATTGTTTTCTAAATAAAGGTCCCCAATGTACACAATAAGTGTCTCAATGCATTACACTAAAATAAAAGTCATAACAAAAGGCTACACTATGTTGACTATGATGTTAATATGGTGACAACGATGTAGGCTGTATGCAGCGGTTATCAGTTAGTTTGGCTTGGAAAGGTTTTTTCGACTGGTCACAGAAAGCTGATGTGTTGTGCACTGAAGTCCACAAGCAAAGGGAAAAGGTGAGTGGAAGAGAGCGCGTAGATGCGAGAAGGAATACAACGATCAAAGGGATCATGCTGTTATGTGGCTGCTATGAAAGTGAACTGTTGGCATGTGATCAGGGGTGTATTAATTCCGACGATTCGGTTGAAAAACCTTTCTTAAATGGAAGCAAACTGAACAAAACGGGGATAAACATACCTGAATTTGTCCAATAGAATCTCTCGTTTGCAACTGTTGAACTAATGATTACACCCTAGATCAGCTAGATGCAGGCAAGAGTGTGCAAGGCGGTATTGAATGTGTCAATGTCTGTCACCTTGATTACTCAAATTTCTCTCGATATGTGCATCTACATTGCAAACTTTCATTCATAGGCTAGGTTGTAGCAACCTCATGATGGGTATAGTGAAAATTCAAGTGTCATGTAGTAGCCTAAACCTATCGATTTTACATTGAGCTGTGTGAATGGAATATAAAAATGACAGTCATCCAATATGCTGTAATAGAAATAAGGCCATGCTCATAAAAATAATGATCATCCTCCCTCATCTTAAACATCACCGACCACAACTGATTTCTATCTGCAACGTTCAGCGTGCTACGGATTTGAAGTGTGTGACGTTAACTCATATAGTCAAACAAAATCATTCCGAAAATCCAGTGCCATTTTATTTACCACTTTTGGGTAAAGAGAGGGAACGATTTGACATACCATATGCACATCAGTCACATAGTGTGACAGCTTCATGATAGACAAACTACTAAAGAAAACAGCCTATCAGCTAAGCTACTTTAACAGTGTGCATTGGGGATATCATATTTGTAACCTATCATAAGTGTGTCTTTATCAGTGAGATCTCTAGAATTGGCTGAATATTGGAGCTGTCCTTCACCTATATGTTTTCCATGACCACCACCGCTATACCTGCCGTTTAACGGCTCTGTCCTTTCAGCACCACACGCATTCATACTGAGGATACACACTACGATATGAACATATTTGTTTGAGAATAATGTGTGTGTGAAAGCTGATTCAAATGCATAATAACTATCAACATTTACAACTTGGTTATTTAACAGCCTTTAAACTTGTTCCTCACATCTCAATGACTATAGTCCAAACCAAGACTGTTACAGACAACAAATAAACAGACCACCAGTCCATTTGGTTTGTTCATGATTTTAGTTTTTATTAACAATGTATCCCTTTGATAGGAGTGTATGCTTCTATAGGTCAGACATGCCCCAAAACACACTGTCCACATTATACAAGGGAAACCACGATTCAGGCAACAACAAAAAATCATTAAAAATTATAACACAGTCTCAAGGAAAAAATAGAAATACTTTTTGTATTCTGTCATCTCTCACTCTATTGTACAGATATATAATACATAGATCTCACATCACTCAGCCGATCTATAAATCATCCCCATGAGTCCACGTGTAGCAGCATAATAGCAAAACTAACCAATAGAAACTGAAACTTTTCCCATGAAAATCTTATGCCAATCCATAAGTTATCCCATCAACCTGTCCCTCTCATCTCAGCCAATGATAGACAGCAATGTTGCATTGTGAAAATAACTTAGGGACCATTACTTTCCCCAATTTGCAAACAAGTGATGACAACATATCATGATTTAAGACAATGAAAGTATTAGAAGCATTTGGAATAAATTAATTAATAATTTCCAGAAAGAAAGTGACAATGATGATGTAATAGTTTTTGGCATGCTGTTTGTACATGCAGTGAGAGCAAAGCACAGAGGTAGGGTTTGGGAAGGGCAGCCAGGTGCTGTAGTCTCACTCTAAAATGGTTAAAATGGCCTCTCTCTTTGAATATGTACAATCGATAAAACAATAGTACACTACACATTACGTACCAGCATATTTCATGGCAGTTTCTAAAAACCTCCATAAAAAGAACCAATGAAAGGTGAGAGAACCCGGCTGTTGGCATTGTCAGAGGCAGTGTCCTTCCAGACCAGGGTCAGAGACAGGAATTACAAAAGGGTTGACAGACAGCAAGCCACAGCAGTTCTGTTTTATGTGTCCAGATGGGAAAACAGAGAGTGATGGTTAAATAAATTAAAAAAAACAATACTGATGTTTGATTTTCTGACAGTCTGTAGAAATGAATAGAAAAAGTTGTTTGAACTAGAATGAGTCTTTTGAGCAGAGTTGGAAGTGATAAACTCATGGGGACACAGCACAACCATCTCTAGCAATAACAGACTGAGGGTATGACTATGAGGGAGGCTCTCGGAACCTTTGGTAGTGTTTCCATTTGGAGGGAGAAGAGGGTGGGACCAGCACTGACTGGGATGGAGTAAACATACCCTTTTCATTTCATATTAGCATGCACCAGAGCAAAGGTGCATTTAAAACACAGACAGTCTTAGTTATGATTCATCCGATGTGTGTTTAGGTCAATGGGATGTGATAAGTAGTTGATGTGTCTGTTGCTCAGGGTTGTGCGTCATCAGGGTTGAGTGTCTGAATATAGTATTTGGGAAAACTGCTCCCCCTGTTGGAGATGGGCAGGATCAGGACTAGGTGTGTCGGGTCTCATCGGTTCTCAGTCCATCTCCTCTTTCTCAAGCGACGGGGGTGGGACAACCATTTTACTCTCTCTTGTTCTTTAACAGCCATGATCCCCTCCTTCTCTTATCCGTGCTCCCTCCATCCTAAGCTTCAGCAATGTACTCTGGGTATCCGGTCCTCTGTTTTAGCCCCGCCCCCCGTTCTCTTCATCCCTCTATTCTCTCACTCCGTTGCTGTCGTCTTCTCTATGTGAGGGTTGGAGGGAGGGGGGCTTCTGGGAGAGAAGGCAGCGTCTAAACAGGGAGAGGGGGACGAGGACGGAGACGATGATCAGGATTCCGTGGGACTGTTTATATTCACTCCGACAGGCTTTGGTGGCTTCGACAGGATCGCTTCTGCTTCCTCGTACATCTAAGGGGGCAGGATGTGACATCAGCATGTCAGAGGTCATAGGAGATAGATATTTCTGATGTCATCACAAGTGTGGCAGAGAGGGGAGACAGTTGCTCCTCGACCACTAATCAATGTATACGCTATGAAAGTCCTGCCTACTTCCTGGTTCAAGTCCCGTACTGTTTTTGAATAGCTTCACGCTTTTATCATCAAATACATTAAAACGTGGCCATTTAAGATATGTAAAATTATATTCATATTCGTGGATTAATTTACTTCTACCTGATGCCTTTCATGGAGGTTTGATTGTTTTTTGTTATTTTCTTAATCGAAAACCTTGGGTAAAGGTAAATTAATCCACAAATACAAATATAGTTTCCCATGTCTTAAATGACCCAATTTTCATTAATTTGATGATATAAGCTTGAAGCCCTTTCAAAAACAGTATGGGACTTGAATCAGGAAGTAGGAAGGACTTCATAGGGTTATAGCCCCTACGTCCTAAGCACTGGAATAGTCCTGAAAAGACGTATAAGCAATATGGCAAAAAAAAATCCACCTAGCCTAACAGAGAGGTGGAGCTACTACCATAGACCCTACCAGGAGATAGGGGCTAGGAGTCCACTTGGGCCTGGGGAGAGAGGTAGAGAGAGAGAGTATAGAGGTCCTTACCGGTATGAAGTGTACATCCTGAAAGAGTTCCTGTATGAAGCGTCGAGAGGGCAGGCGGAACATACAGTGGGCCAGCAGGTGAGACACCTCAGAGTACAAACAGATATCATCAAATGCATAGGGAAACTTCTCCTTTATCCTAGAGAGAGAAAGGGAGAGAGAGAAGACTGAGTGAGTAAAGACTCATAAAACACAAAGAGTAAGGCTGGGTGTTACCAGGGACCTTACGATACTTACAGTTGAAGTTGGAAGTTTACATACACTTAGGTTGGAGTCATTAAAACTCGTTTTTCAAACACTCCACAAATTTCTTCTTAACAAACTATAGTTTTGGCAAGTCGGTTAGGACATCTACTTTTTCCAACAATTGTTTACAGACAGATTATTTCACTTATAATTCACTGTATCACAATTCCAGTGGGTCAGAAGTTTGCATACACTAAGTTGACTGTGCCTTTAAACAGCTTGGAAAATTCCAGAAAATGATGTCATGGCTTTAGAAGCTTCTGATAGGCTAATTGTCATAATTTGAGTCAATTGGAGGTATACCTGTGGATGTATTTCAAGGTCTACCTTCAAACTCAGTGCTTCTTTGCTTGACATCATGGGAAAATCAAAAGAAATCAGCCAAGACCTACAAAAAAAATTGTACACCTCCACAAGTCTGGTTCATCCTTGGGAGCAATTTCCAAACGCCTGAAGGTACCACGCTCATCTGTACAAACAATAGTACGCAAGTATAAACACCATGGGACCACGCAGCCGTCATACCGCTCAGGAAGGAGACGTGTTCTGTCTCCTAGAGATGAACGTACTTTGGTGCGAATAGTGCAAATCAATCCCAGAACAACAGCAAATGACCTTGTGAAGATGCTGGAGGAAACAGGTACAAAAGTATCTATATCCACAGTAAAACGAGCCCTATATCGACATAACTTAAAAGGCCGCTCAGCAAGGAAGAAGCCACTGCTCCAAAACCGCCATAAAAAAGCCACGGATTGCAACTGTACATGGGGACAAAGATCCCCATTTTGGAGAAATGTCCTCTGGTCTGATGAAACAAAAATAGGATTGTTTGGCCATAATGACCATCGTTATGTTTGGAGGAAAAAGGGGGATGCTTGCAAGCCAAACACCACCATCCCAACCGTGAAGCTCCTCAATCCTATAGAACATTTGTGGGCAGAACTGAAAAAGCGTGTGCGAGCAAGGAGGCCTACAAACCTGACTCATTTACACCAGCTCTGTCAGGAGGAATGGGCCAAAATTCACCCAACTTATTGTGGGAAGCTTGTGGAAGGCTACCCGAAACGTTTGACCCAAGTTAAACAATTTAAAGGCAATGCTACCAAATACTAATTGAGTGTATGTAAACTTCTGACCCACTGGGAATGTGATGAAAGAAATAAAAGCTGAAATAAATAATTCTCTCTACTATTATTCTGACATTTCACATTCTTAAAATAAAGTGGTGATCCTAACTGACCTAAGACAGGGAATTTTTACTAGTATTAAATGTCAGGAATTGTGAAAAACTGAGTTTAAATGTATTTGGCTAAGGTGTATGTAAACTTCCGACTTCAACTGTACAGTGAGGGAAAAAAGTATTTGATCCCCTGCTGATTTTGTACATTTGCCCACTGACAAAGAAATGATCAGTCTATAATTTTAATGGTAGGTTTATTTGAACAGTGAGAGAAAGAATAACAACAAAAAATTCCAGAAAAACGCATGTCAAAAATGTTATAAATTGATTTGCATTTTAATGAGGGAAATAAGTATTAGACCCCTCTGCAAAACATGACTTAGTACTTGGTGGCAAAACCCTTGTTGGCAATCACAGAGGTCAGACGTTTCTTGTAGTTGGCCACCAGGTTTGCACACATCTCAGGAGGGATTTTGTCCCACTCCTCTTTGCAGATCTTCTCCAAGTCATTAAGGTTTCGAGGCTGACGTTTGGCAACTCTAACTTTCAGCTCCCTCCACAGATTTTCTATGGGATTAAGGTCTGGAGACTGGCTAGGCCACTCCAGGACCTTAATGTGCTTCTTCTTGAGCCACTCCTTTGTTGCCTTGGCCGTGTGTTTTGGGTCATTGTCATGCTGGAATACCCATCCACGACCCATTTTCAATGCCCTGGCTGAGGGAAGGAGGTTCTCACCCAAGATTTGATGGTACATGGTCCCGTCCATCGTCCCTTTGATGAGGTGAAGTTGTCCTGTCCCCTTAGCAGAAAAACACCCCCAAAGCATAATGTTTCCACCTCCATGTTTGACGGTGGGGATGGTGTTCTTGGGGTCATAGGCAGCATTCCTCCTCCTCCAAAAAATGGCGAGTTGAGTTGATGCCAAAGAGCTCCATTTTGGTCTCATCTGACCACAACACTTTCACCCAGTTCTCCTCTGAATCATTCAGATGTTCATTGGCAAACTTCAGACGGCCCTGTATATGTGCTTTCTTGAGCAGGGAGACCTTGCGGGTCCTGTAGGATTTCAGTCCTTCACGGCGTAGTGTGTTACCAATTGTTTTCTTGGTGACTATGGTCCCAGCTGCCTTGAGATCATTGACAAGATCCTCCCGTGTAGTTCTGGGCTGATTCCACACTGTTCTCATGATCATTGCAACTCCACGAGGTGAGATCTTGCATGGAGCCCCAGGCCGAGGGAGATTGACAGTTCTTTTGTGTTTCTTCCATTTGCGAATAATCGCAACAACTGCTGTCACCTTCTCACCAAGCTGCTTGGCGATGGTCTTGTAGCCCATTCCAGCCTTGTGTAGGTCTACAATCTTGTCCCTGACATCCTTGGAGAGCTCTTTGGTCTTGGCCATGGTGGAGAGTTTGGAATCTGATTGATTGCTTCTGTGGGCAGGTGTCTTTTATACAGGTAACAAGATGGGATTAGGAGCACTCCCTTTAAGAGTGTGCTCCTAATCTCAGCTTGTTACCTGTATAAAAGACACCTGGGAGCCAGAAATCTTTCTGACTGAGAGGGGGTCAAATACTTATTTCCCTCATTAAAATTCAAATCAATTTATAATTTTTTGTTGTTGTTATTCTGTCTCTCACTGTTCAAATAAACCTACCATTAAAATTATAGACTGATCATTTCTTTGTCAGTGGGCAAACGTACAAAATCAGCAGGGGATCAAATACTTTTTTCCCCTCACTGTAGGTGCCGATAGGACATACAGTGCATTCGGAAAGTATTCAGACCCCTTGACTTTTTTCACATTTTGTTATGTTACAGCCTTATTCTAAAATTGATTAATTTTTTTCCCTCATCAATCTACACACAATATCCCATAATGACAAACCAAAAACAGGTTTTTAGACATTTTTGGGGAAAAATTAAAAACGGAAATATGACATTTACATAAGTATTCAGACCCTTTACTCAGTACTTTGTTGAAGCACTTTTGACAGTGATTACATACTCGATTCTTCTTGGGTATGACGCTACAAGCTTGGCACACCTGTATTTGGGGAGTTTCTCTCATTCTTCTCTACAGATCCTGTCAAGCTCTGTCAGTTTGGATGGGGAGCGTCGCTGCACAGCTATTTTCAGGTCTCTCCAGAGATGTTCGATCAGGTTCAAGTCCAGGACATTCAGAGACTTGTCCCGAAGCCACTCCTGCGTTGTCTTGGCTGTGTGCTTAGGGTCGATGTCCTGTTGGAAGGTGAACCTTCGCCTCAGTCTAAGGTCCTGTGCGCTCTGGAGCAGGTTTTCATCAAGGATCTCTATGGGCTTTGATCTGTTCATTACATTTTACATTTTAGTCATTTAGCAGACGCTCTTATCCAGAGCGACTTAAAGTTAGTGAGTGCATACATTTTTCATACTGGCCCCCCATGGGAATCAAACCACAACCCTGGCGTTGCAAGCACCATGCTCTACCAACTGAGCTACAGGATCCTGACTAGTCTCCCAGTCCCTGCCGCTGAAAAACATCCCCACAGCATGATGCTGCCACCACCATGCTTCACCGTAGGGATGGTGCCAGGTTTCCTCCAGACGTGACGTTTGGCATTCAGGCTAAAGAGTTCAATCTTGGTTTCATCAGACCAGAATATCTTGTTTCTCATGGTCTGAGATTCCCAAGCGGGCTGTCATGAGCCTTTTACTGAGGAGTTGCTTCCGTCTGGCTACTCTACCATAAAGGCTTGATTGTTGGAGTGCTGCAGAGATGGTTGTCCTTCTGGAAGGTTCTCCCATCTCCACAGAGGAACTCTGGAGCTCTGTCAGAGTGACCATCGGGTTCTTGGTCACCTCCCTGACCAAGGCCCTTCTCCCCCGATTGCTCAGTTTGGCCGGGCGGCCAGCTCTTGGAAGAGTCTTGGTGGTTCCAAACTTCTTCCATTTAAGAATGATGGGGGCCACTGTGTTCTTGGGGACCTTCAACGCTGCATACATTTTTTGGTACCCTTCCCCAGATCTGTGCCTCGACACAATCCTGTCTCGGAGCTCTACAGACAATTCCTTCGACCTCATGGCTTGGTTTTTGCTCTGACATGCACTGTCAACTGTGGGACCTTATATAGACAGGTGTGTGCCTTTCCAAATCATGTCCAATCAATTTACATTTACCACAGGTGGTCTTCCAATGAAGTTGTAGAAACATCTTAAGGATGATCAATGGAAACAGGATGCTCCTGAGCTCAATTTCAAGTCTCATAGCAAAGGGTCTGAATACTAATAAATAAGGTATCAGTTTTATATTTTTAATACATTTGCAAAAATGTCTAAAAACCTGTTTTTGCTTTGTCATTAGAGAAATAAAAAAATGTATTTAATCAATTTTAGAATAAGGCTGTAACGTAACAAAATGTGGAAAAAGTCAAGGGATCTGAATACTTTCCGAATGCACTGTATATTGCGATTCTCACAATTCTCTATGTATTGTGATTCGATACTGTGATTTTATTGCAATTTGATGTTCCAAACATATTGCTCACTATATGTCTGCTGCAGAGAGACGATAGAGCATGAGAAAAATAGTTTCAGTCATGGAAATAAAAGTGCTGAAAACATATTGATTCACTATTTAAAAAGAAGATGGACAACAAGCTATAGGATGAAAAATACTGGAGCTTTGGCGCCGGTACAGCTGACTAGCGCTAGCTAACGCAACCTAATACAAAAAATAGGTTTTTACAAATCGATACATGGAGTAGAAGTATCACTATAATATAGTCCAAAAATAATATTGCGATATGTAACTGTATCGATCCCCCCCCCCCCCATATCACTAATAAAGAGACGCATCCTTTAACCAATAGAGAGATAGGGGGAGCGGGTGTGTGTGTGTGTATGTGTCTTACGTCAGTAGTCCTGTTTCGTGGCCTTTGGTTCCAACAGAAGAGCTGAGGTTGATGACGAGACGAAGCACCTCCTTCCTCAGCAGAACCCGACAGGCTGGGCCGTCCTCAGATATCCCCTTGCCACCTGACGGACACACACAACAGCCTATCAGAGAGCTCCATTCACACACGTTCTGTGTGTGTGTATACGTGTGTGCGTGCGTACCCAGCAATATGTCAGCAGGAGTAGGTGTGCTGGAGACATATCCCTGTGATACAGCAGCGTCGCTGCAGCCGGAGACACCAGAGAACTTGGACTGAGGCATCACCTCGAGACGATGGTTGGTCTGACTGGACCACGGGAAGTCTATGTAGTCTATGTAGAGAACGGGGGGAGTAACACAACCATTACAGTCACAGTAGACTGACTCTGTTTTCGACTGTAACACCAGTGTTACTTAAGCAATAAGGCACGAGGGGGTGTGGTATATGGCCAATATACCATGGCTAAGGGCTGTTCTTACGCACGACGCAACGCAGAGTGCCTGGATACAGCCCTTAGCCGTGGTATATTGGCCATATACCACAAACCCCCGAGGTGCCTTATTGCTATTATAAACTGGTTACCAACGTAATTAGAGCAGTAAAAATAAATGTTTTGTCATACCCGTGGTATACGTTCTGATATACCACGGCTTTCAGCCAATCAGCACTCAGGGCTCGAACCACCCAGTTATAAACTATAAACTGGGTGGATATACCAACTATAAACTGGGTGGTTCGAGCCCTGAATGCTGATTGGCTGAAAGCTGTGGTATATCAGAACGGCTAAGGGCTGTATCCAGGCACTCCGCGTTGCGTCGTGCAAGAGCAGCCCTTAGCCATGGTATATTGGCCATTTACCACACCCCCTCGGGCCTTATTGCTTAAGTATACACCCTGATGTTATACTAGGGAAATTGTGTTTCCATAGCTAGGGCTGACACTGAGGAAGAGCAGAATCAACAACCTCTGCATAATTAAAACAGTTGCTTTGTGAGAAGGTGTTAAGGAGTCCAGATGCTTCCCAGCAGAAACAGTTCGGTAGAGTTTGTGCATATATTATGACGACATTTTGTGATGTTTTTGTTCTTTTTGGACTTCGGTGAGGGATTTTTCAGCTGTTCGGGCACAACATTTATTTTCTGGAGGCAAACCGAAGTTCGGAGCCGAAGTCTACGCCCCTTCGTCAGTGATTGGTCAACAGTAGGATTCTTCAATAAAGTCTTTGTTGTCATTCAACGAGAGACGACTCGTTTTCATGCAAATTTTTTCATTGAGAAATACTGCACCAAACATCTTAGTTGGATCTAAAATTGCGCGACTATGATCTCTTCGGAAAAACATCACAATTAATGATATATTTCTTGAGTGATAGATTAATTCTGACTATTTTGAGGAAGTTTATACTGGCTACGGCATCTCAAAATGGACAAACAGTACTATTGCAGCTTATATTCTCATTTTTTAAGCGAAGGTCTTTTAAGGGAGTATGCGAGCACACTTGTTCGGTTCGCCTAGCCGACTTCGGCAAACCACCGGCCGAACTGAAGCATGCTGACGCCTTTAACCGTCGAAGGTGTAAACCCATGTTCACAATTAACCATTGTTATGTAAATGCCGCCCGAAAAGCCCCAGCAGTCTTGCTTTGGCCCCAAGTCAGAGCAGGTCTGTTGAGGCTGTGGCCCAGTGAGTCCCTGGAGCAGGTCTGTTGAGGCCGTGGCCCAGTGAGTCCCTGGAGCAGGTCTGCTGAGGCCGTGGCCCAGTGAGTCCCTGGAGCAGATCTGCTGAGGCCATGGCCCAGTGAGTCCCTGGAGCTGGTCTGCTGAGGCCGTGGCCCAGTGAGTCCCTGGAGCAGGTCTGCTGAGGCCGTGGCCCAGGGAGTCCCTGGAGCAGGTCTGCTGAGGCCGTGGCCCAGTGAGTCCCTGGAGCAGGTCTGCTGAGGCCGTGGCCCAGTGAGTCCCTGGAGCAGGTCTGTTGAGGCCGTGGCCCAGTGAGTCCCTGGAGCAGGTCTGCTGAGGCCGTGGCCCAGTGAGTCCCTGGAGCAGATCTGCTGAGGCCATGGCCCAGTGAGTCCCTGGAGCTGGTCTGCTGAGGCCGTGGCCCAGTGAGTCCCTGGAGCAGGTCTGCTGAGGCCGTGGCCCAGTGAGTCCCTGGAGCAGGTCTGCTGAGGCCGTGGCCCAGTGAGTCCCTGGAGCAGGTCTGCTGAGGCCGTGGCCCAGTGAGTCCCTGGAGCAGGTCTGCTGAGGCCATGGCCCAGTGAGTCCCTGGAGCAGGTCTGCTGAGGCCATGGCCCAGTGAGTCCCTGGAGCAGGTCTGCTGAGGCCGTGGAGGTGGAAACACAAAAGTCTGAGCCTTTTTGGTAAAACACAGGGAGGGGTAAATCATCAGTGGGAGGGGTAAATCATCAGTGGGAGGGGTAAATCAACAGTGGGAATTCCCCAAGTGTGTGTGTTTGCTCAGAGTAGTCTTTGTGTGTGTGAGTGTCTGTGTGACTGTTTTCTCTCACCTGTGCGTGTGTGTGTGTTGTTGATCTGAGGCTGCGTGTGGTAGCCCAGTACAGTAGCTCCTACGCAGTAAAGACAGTTGTCGTCAGCGTGTTCCTGTAGGCCCGTCTCCTCTGGACCCAGGATGTGGTTTTGGTTGTTCTCTCTGCTGGCCATCAGCTCTGAGATACTGAACTGCTGCTTCAGCAGTGGAATAGGGGGATATGGACGACCACCGTCACCTAAGGTACACAGGGCAGAGAACACACACACTGTCACACTTACAAACAAATACTGAACTGGAAGCATCTCTACTATTCACATTAAACTACCATCACTATCCACCCATCTCGCCATCCTCCCTTACTGTCCGAGTCTCCAAAGTAGAATGGGCACTTGTCTGTGGGCGGGCTGGTCTTCTGTTGGAAGTAAGGCGCGTCTCGGATGTGGAACATGTCGTTGATGTCCATGGGCAGCGCCAGGCCCACGTAGTCATCGTTACAGCCATAGTTGGCGCTGGACACCATGGATCTCACGGAGGAGGAACGGTGCAGAGTGCTCTGGTTGATGGGGCTCAGCAGATCCTCTTTGTCCAGAGACGCAAAGCTCAATGCCTTCAGAAACCTGCCGGGCGGAAGGAGGGCGAGGTGAGAGGGGTGACAGGTGGAAGAGGGATGGGGGAAAGACAGAGGCAGAAAGAGTAAGATAGACAGACAGAGATATGGAGAGGCTGAGAGGGAGAGAGAAGAAACAAACGGAAACACGGACAAAGAGAGAACTACAACGCAAAAAAACAAATGGAAATGTGTGGGGTTCCTAATCCGCATGCCGTACCAAATCTAAACAGTGCCATCTATAAGACAAATGGCTTCATCTGCTCGAGACTATGCGGGAATCTAGCTTCCTAGACCTAACACCAATACAGTGCATTCGGAAAGTATTCAGACCCCTTGACTTTTTCCACATTTTGTTACGTTACAGCCTTATTCTAAAATGGATGAAATTTTTTTTATCCCTCATCAATCTACACACAATACCCCGTGTCAAAGCAAAAACAGGTTTTTAGATTTTTTTGCAAATTAATAAAATAAAAATTTGAAAATATCACATTTATATAAGTATTCAGGCCCTTTACTCAGTACTTTGTTGAAGTACCTTTGGCAGCGGGCTGTCATGTGCCTTTTACTGAGGAGTGGCTTCCATCTGGCCACTCCACCATAAAGGCCTGATTGGTGGAGTGCTGCAGTGATGGTTGTCCTTCTGGAAGGTTCTCCCATCTCCACAGAGGAACTCTGGAGCTCTGTCAGAGTGACCATCGGGTTCTTGGTCACCTCACTGACCAAGGCTCTTCTCCCATGATTACTTAGTTTGGCTGGGCGGCCAGCTCTAGGAAGAGTCTTGGTGGTTCCAAACTTCTTCCATTTAAGAATGATGGAGGCCACTGTGTTCTTGGGGACTTTCAATGCTGCAGACATTTTTTGGAACCCTTCCCCAGATCTGTGCCTTGACACAATGCTGTCTCGGAGCTCTATGGACAATTCCTTTGACCTCATGGCTTGGTTTTTGCTCTGACATGCACTGTCAACTGTGGGACCTTATATAGACGTGTGTGCCTTTCCAAATCATGTCCAATCAATTGAATTGACCACAGGTGGACTTCAAATCAAGTTGTAGAAACAATATATTTGCACACAAAAAATATAAATAATTGTCCCTTTGTCATTATGGGGTATAAGAATAAGGATGTAATGTAACAAAATGTGGAAAAAGTCAAGGAGTCTGAATACTTTCCGAATGCACTGTATACCCCCAGAAAGAAACCAGTGGTAGAGACACGGTCAACACCAACACCTATAAACCTGGATAGCGACAGCAGCAACTCTGCCAGCAGCAACACAGGAGAGAAACTGCTCTACAAATGGGATGGAGAGCTGCTCTATACGCACAGGGGTACAAGTATCGATGAGGGGGTCCACCCACCAAGGCATGGAGATGGACATCCTGCGGTGTGGCTGGACAACTGGACAGCTGACCCTCTTAGCAGACAACCTGAGAGACCATCAACACACACACACAGCCGTTATTGCTCTGAACCAGCAGACACACGCGCGCACACCGTTGCAGGTAAAGAGGACTAATAACCGGCGGCGATACAACGCACAAGCACAACACACACCGTTATTGCTAGACACTACAGCTAACCCTTTCTCAGACAAGCTGACAGCACCATCACATCCAGGTATCTAAACAGGGGGGATGGACACACTAGTGTGGAGTGGTCCACCCACCGAGGGACATAGACTCTGGATGGCCTGCGGAGTGCATCAGCGAGGCTGGGGCCTGAACAGCTCACTCTCTTAGCAGACAACCTGAGGTACTCCACCTCAGTCTGCTTCTTGCTGTCTACGTACCAAGACTGGGCTGTGGGGAAGAACCCCTCAGGAGCCCAAGCTGAGCTAGAAAGAATGAAGAGTTCAATGACCTCACAAACAAGCACACCCAAAGCACACCTGCCCACAATAAAGACACACAGATCAAAAGGAAAGTGGAGAATGATTAAACAGAGCAGAAGAACATTGATTTGACCAGACAGACAGACAGACACAATCATGTATGATTGAGAAATGCATGCGCGATGACAGCAAGCAGCCAAGATGACAGTGAAAACCCAGAAGAAGTTAAAATGCAAATCAATTTATAACATTTTTGACATGCGTTTTTCTGGATTTTGTTGTTGTTATTCTGTCTCTCACTGTTCAAATAAACCTACCATTAAAATTATAGACTGATCATGTCTTTGTCAGTGGGCAAACGTACAAAATCAGCAGGGGATCAAATACTTTTTTCCCTCACTCTGTGTGTGTGTGTGTGTGTGTGTGTGTGTGTGTGTATGTGTGTGTATGTGTGTGTGTGTGTGTGTGTGTGTGTGTAGCACGAGTTACCCTATGTGCATTAGTGTGTGTGAGTGTGACTTAACTTACCTGCGTGGCATCAGCCTCGAGTCCAGACTACCAGTCTTCATAGTGATAGTATCAGTGAACAGTATGTCTTTAGCGGGCGATGCCAACGCCTCACTATGAGACAGAGACGGGTGGATCCTCTGCTGCTGCAGCCTCTTCAGAGTAGCATAGCCTAGTGCGTCCCGCGGGCTGGTGTACATGAAACTGCAGTCCGCCAGGCTCTTAATAGCCGCCATTGAGGGAGACTTAAGGCTCTGGGCTCTGCGGGGGAGGGTATGTGAGTAGCCAGGGGGGACCAGGAAGACAGAGTTAGACTTGGAGAGGGGCAGGTGGTTGGTTTGGGCCTGGGTTGGGGTGAGGGAGTACAGTGTTTTCACTGTCTTGGCCGAGACCACTGTGTTAAGGCTGACACAGTCCGAGGAGTCTGGTTCGGGCTCCGGGTTTCCAGCGGTCTCGCGGGAGGGGCTGGAGCTCATGGAGCTGATGCCGCTAGTGGTGGTGTCCGTGTTGAAGCTCTGACTGCGGCTTTTAAACTGAGTCCCTCCCCCTCCTCCTCCTCCTCCGGAAGAGGAACCACCAACTCCTCCCGCTAGATGTTCCCGGCTACTCTGTTCCCTGGAGGGGGGCTCTCCAGGACCCCCCAGCCCCAGCCCAGCCTCCCCTCCACCAGCCTGGTCAAGCCTCCTCTCTCCCAGCTGCTCCTCTGACCCCCCCACCGAGCTCCTGGTCCCCACAAAGGAGGTGTCCAGGCTGACTGTGGGACTCTTGGGCATGCCAATCCCATTGAACACAGGCGTAAACACATCGCCCTGCGACGAGGAGTAGATAGAGGGCTCTGTGACCGTCCTGTTCCTCCTCAGCCCCCCCAGTTTGGGCTCGGTGGGGGTGCGACTGCCCCCCACTGCCTTGGGGTCGCTGGTGGAGCGCAGCTTCTTGCTGGGGAGCGTCAGGGAGTTGAGGAAGCGGTTGCGTACGAAGCGGGTCGAGGCCAGGATGGTGAAAGGGCTCCGGTCGTTCCCGGGTTTGGAGCGCAGGTAGAGGGAGGCGTCGTTTGATTGGTCCAACATGTCACACTTGTAATCATCCAGGATGTACATGTCTGAGGACACACACACACACACCATGGTTAAACACACAGCAATGAATTACTGCCTAAGAACACATACAGATGCTACATACATCCATAGTATAGAAAAGTAGAGGATGCTGCTGAGGATGTGCTTGAAGGAGAACTCCACCCAAAAACTATATTTTGGTATTTGTTTCATTAGTCCATTGTTGACATAGCAAAACATTTTGGGACTATGTCAACAATGGACTAATGAAACAAATACCAAAATATCATTTTTGGGTGGAATTCTCCTTTAACAGAAACCCTGTCTGTCCTTGTTGCCTCGTGAGGAGTGTCATGGATAACTCACTGGGCTGGTACTCGCTCTCGCTGTTGTGTCGGGAGCTGGTGGACTCGGAGTTGAGACTGAGTGTGCTCGGTACGGAGGAGAGTTCAGAGGTCATCTGCGTGTCCACCTCGTCAGGGGTGACGGGCCACAGCGTCCGCCGACTGTGTCTGACAGCATCCCAGCCGTACTGTTTCAACACTTCACAGCCCTGCCGTGTCTTGGAGATCACGCCTAAGACATACACACAAGTCCTGGAGGGAGAGAGAACAGACATGTAACTGTGGGCAAGCCGTCAGGCTTACGCTATAGGTTCATCTCTGTGTGTGTGTCTATATGTGTGTGTGCCAGTAAAAGGTTTGGACACACCTACTCATTCAAGGGTTTATCTTTATTTATTTTAAAATGTACAATGTAGAATAATAGTGAAGACATCAAAACTATGAAATGTATTAAACAAAAATGTGTTAAACAAATCAAAATATATTTTATATTTGAGATTCTTCAAATAGCCACCCTTTACCTTGATGACAGCTTTGCACACTCTTGGCATTCTCTCAACCAGCTTCATGATGTAGTCACCTGGAATGCATTTCAATTAACAGGTGTGCCTTCTTAAAAGTTAATTTGTGGAATTTCTTTCCTTCTGAATGCGTTTGAGCCAATCAGTTATGTTGTGACAAGGTAGAGGGAGTATACAGAAGATAGCCCTATTTGGTAAAAGTCCAAGTCCATATTATGGCAAGAACAGCTCAAATAAGCGAAGAGAAACGACAGTCCATCATTAATTTAAGATATGAAGGTCAGTCAATACTGAAAATGTCAAGAACTTTGACAGTTTCTTCAAGTGCAGTCGCAAAAACCATCAAGTGCTATGATGAAATTGGTTCTCATGAGTACCGCCACAGGAATGGAAGACCCGGAGTTACCTCTGCTGCAGAGGATAAGTTCATTTGAGTTACCAGCCTCAGAAATTCCAGCCCAAATAAATGCTTCACAGAGTTCAAGTAACAGACACATCTCAATATCAACTGTTCAGAGGGGACTGTGTGAATCAGGCCTTTATGGTCGAATTGCTGCAAAGAAACCACTGCTAAAGGACACCAATAAGAAGAAGAGACCTGCTTGGGCCAAGAAACACGAGCAATGGACATTAGTCCTTTGGTCTGGAGTCCAAATTGGAGATTTTTGGTTCCAACCGCTGTGTCTTTGTGAGACGAGGTATGGGTGAACGGATGATCTCCGCATGTGTAGTTCCCACCGTAAAGCATGGAGGAGGTGGTGTTATGTGGGGGTGCTTTGCTGGTGACAATGTCTGTGATTGATTTAGAATTCAAGGCACACTTAACCAGCATGGCTACCACAGCATTCTACAGCGATACGCCATCCCATCTGGTTTGGGCTTAGTGGGACTATCATTTGTTTTTCAACAGGACAATGACCCAACACACCTCCAGGCTGTGTAAGGGCTATTTTACCAAGAAGGAGAGTGATGGAGTACTGCATCAGATGACCTGGCCTCCACAATCCCCCGACCTTAACACAATTGAGATGGTTTGGGATGAGTCGGACAGCAGAGAGAAGGAAAAGCAGCCAACAAGTGCTCAGCATATGTGGGAACTCCTTCAAGACTGTTGGAAAAGCATTCCAGGTGAAGCTGGTTGAGAGAATGCCAAGAGTGTGCAAAGCTGTAATCAAGGCAAAGGGTGGCTATTTGAAGAATCTCAAATATAAAATATATATTTAATTTGTTTAACACTTTTTGGTTTACTACATGATTCCATATGTGTTATTTCATAGTTTTGATGTCTTCACTATTATTCTACAATGTAAAAAATGTAAAAAATTAAGAAAAACCCTTGAATGAGTAGGTGTATCCAAACTTTGGACTGGTACCGTATGTGTGCGTGCATGTGTATCCTTACCCCCGTATGGACAGGACCTCACAGTGTTGTGCCAAAGCCAGGATGTCAGGGATGACGTTCTCATCCTGCAGCAGGTTCAGACCCCAGTTGGATGAGCCAATGTTACCCTGGAAACAGACACATTCAATGTCATTAACACATTGTCTCCATACTGACACAGATCAACAACAACAGACCCTAGCAACCACAATCAGAAGCAAAGCCAGAGCAGTGGAGGTTACAGACACCAACTGACTGTAGTGTCTACCCAAGAGAAAGGAAATAGAGAGCATTATGAACCAATAGTATTGTTTTTTTTCTGTAACTAACAATAGACAAGTTATGTGCCAGGTGGTTAGAAAGACTGACCAGAGCCCAGAGGGCAGCCTTCAGCTGTTTGATGCCCTCCCAGGTGTCCAGCATCGGGGAGCGAACCGTGTAGCTGAGGTCAGAAACCACACTCTAGAGAGAGAGAGAGAGCATGAAACAGTCAGATACCAAAACCCATAGGTTCTTCACAATAAAGAAAGACGTATGAAGTGAGTTACCTGAGCCTCCAGTAGATGGCAGCCTGTCTTATCATGGACCAGCTGACCATACAAGTGCACAGGAAGATAAACATTTGGTCTCTGTAACCTAGAGACAAAACAACACACAAAGACAATATACAAACAACTGTGAGGAGAGATAGCACAGGGAGTTGGCTGAGTTCAACTTCCCATCTGATGGATTTGTGGTGGTGGAGAGCAACAAGGTATGAGGGCTTTAGTTTCAGCCCAGCACTGATATGCCAAATCAGGCAAGTTAGTGCTGGGTCAAACCAAAAGCCTGCACAGACTGCCTGCAGCCCTCCATGACCAAGGCTGGTGACCACTGGATCATGGCTAACTGTCCAGCTTAGCAAGATATGCAGTCTCACCTTTGGTTGCTGCGTCTGACGTAGTTGTCTCCGTCCACAGGTTTACGGTATGTAGTTAACGCTTCATTCAACTGCTCCTCTATCAGATCGACGTACTTCAGGTTGTACTCCTGTCACCACACAGTCAGGGACACACATAAATTGATAGTCTATTTTGTTTTTCCTATTTGTGAACAATTTCTTTGTACTGTGTTTTGTGTGGACCAATGGAAGAGTAGCTGTTCCTAAATTAGCAGCTGATGGGTAAATGAATAAAAGAGCAGGCTTACCTTCTGCCATCTGTCCAACTGTTTGCTGACGTAGCCTCTCTCGTTGAGGTATGAGAAGCCCTTAGGAATAGACAGGAACCTGCACAGAGGAGACTGGTTTTAGAGTGGGAACAACCTCACAGCACACCTGTGAATCTACACTGAACAAAAATATAAAAGCAACACGTAAAGTGTTGGTCCCATGTTTCATGAGCTGAAATAAAAGATCCCAGAAATGTTCCATACGTACAAAAAGCTTTCTCTTCATCCCTGTTAGTGAGCATTTCTCATTTGCCAAGATAATCCATCCACCTGACAGGTGTGGTATACCAAGTAACAGCAGGATCATTACACAGGTGCACCTTGTGCTGGGGACAATAAAAGGCCACTAAAATGTGCGGTTTTGTCACACAACACAATGCCACAGATGTCTCAAGTTTTGAGGGAGCAGGCAGTTGGCATACTGACCGAAGGAATGTCCACCAGATCTGTTGCCAGAGAATTTAATGTTAATTTCTCTACCATAAGCCGCCTCCAACGTTGTTTTAGAGAATTTGGCAGTACGTCCAACCGGCCTCACAACCGGCCCAGGACCTCCACATCCGACTTCTTCACCTGCGGGATCGTCTGAGACCAGCCACCCAGACAGCTGATGAAACTGAGTTTGCGCAACCGAAGATTTTCTGCACAAACTGTCAGAAACCGTCTCAGAGAAGCTCGTCTGCGTGCTCGTCGTCCTCACCAGGGTCTTGACCTGACAGCAGTTCGGCGTCGTAACCAACTTCAGTGGGAAAATGCTCACCGTCGATGGCCACTGGCACGCTGGAGAAGTGTGCTCTTCACAGATGAATCCCGGTTTCAACTGTACCGGGCAGATGGCAGACAGCGTGTATGGCGTTGTGTGGGCGAGCGGTTTGCTGATGTCAACGTTGTGAAAAGAGTGCCCCATGGTGGCGGTGGGGTTATGTTATGGGCAAGCATAAGCTACGGACAACGAACACAATTGCATTTTATCTATGGCAATTTGAATGCACAGAGATACCGTGATGAGATCCTGAGGCCCATTGTCGTGCCATTCATCCGCAGCCATCACCTCATGTTTCAGCATGATAATGCACTGCCCCATGTCCCAAGGATCTGTACACAATTCCTGAAAGCTGAAAATGTCCCAGTTCTTCCATGGCCTGCATACTCAGCAGACATGTCACCCATTGAGCATGTTTGGGATGCTCTGGATCAATGTTCCCACCAATATCCAGCAACTTCACACAGCAATTGAAGAGGAGTGGGACAACATTCCACAGGCCAAAATCAACAGCCTGATCAACTCTATGCGAAGGAGATGTGTCACGCTGCATGAGGCAAATGGTGGTCACACAAGATACTGACTGGTTTTCTGATCCACGCCCCTATATTTTATTTTAAGGTATCTGTGATCAACAGATGCATATCTGTAATCCCAGTCATGTGAAATCCATAGATTAGGGCCTAATGAATTTATTTCAATTGACTGATTTCCTTATATGAACTGTAACTCAGTAAAATCTTTTAAATTGTTGCGTTTATATTTTTGTTCAGTGTAATTATTAATGCGTGTGTTGACTGACCTGAGGAGCAGCAGAAGGCCCTTGTCTCCCAGGTGGGACAGAGCCGGTTTGAGCTGGATCAGAGCATGGAGGTTAGCCTGGGGGAACAAAACAAACATCAGGAAGACATTAGGGACACAAAATAATATCACACCCACTCTATACCCCTCCTTCATCCAAGCCCCAGCCCCATTCATCTCTACCAGGCCCACCCCTCTCCACCAGGCCCAGCCCCCTCCCCTCTCCACCAGGCCCAGCCCACGTGCCCACCAGGCCCAGCCCCTCCCCCACCCCTCTGCACCAGGCCCAGCCCTCTTCACCAGCTCCAGCCTTCTCCACCAGGCCCAGCCCCTCTCCACCAGGTCCAGCTCCTTTTCTACCAGCAGCTCCTTTTCCACGGGCCCAGTCCCACCTTGTCCTCGCAGGCCTCGTCCAGTATGTCCAGGGCCTCCAAGGAGACAGCCTTGCTGTGGTCTTGCAGCTGGGTGACCAGCAGCTCCATGCCCCAGTTACTGAAGAACTCCACCCCTGCCCTCAGCAACACACGCAGGTGCTTGGTGGCATACAGCCTGCACGTCTGTGGATGGACATAAAGAGGGATTGTTCAGGCTAAGTTTCGTTTCAACAACGACTTATCCATCATCAGCCACATAAAAGCCCATTGAATCCATCCATCCATCCCTCCTGGGTCAGGCCTTACATCAGTGGCGGCAGTCAGGATCTTGGAGAGGATGACTCTGGCCAGTCCATCTCTGCTGTAGTCCAGAGTAGACACAGCCAGCTTCAACACAATGCCCTGGTTCTTCACAGAGCACAGGTTCAGCAGACTAAGGAGGAGAACACACACACGGAATCAGGCAGTGATCTGGGCTCTGCCTCAATTGGCACCCTATTCACCATAACCTAGACATTTAGTAGGATCCCGGTCCAAATCTCGGCCCCTCGACCTTTGGCACTCAATAGCCTACTTGTTGCCTTGGACTCATCTGGCCAAAAGGTTTGCTGCTGTTATTTCAACCAATCAGTGCTTTCATCCTGTTCAATTCGTGCTGACTATTTAAAAAAAGTAAATAGTTCAGACTGACCACTGAAAGAGACTGCACTTCTCCAGCAGTTTAATTCCGTGTGGGTGGGCCGAGAGGGTCCCCAGGAACAGGAAGTAGTGCTGGCTGAGGGTGGTGAGCAGCCCATTGCTCTGGAGACAGCGGTCAGGCTTCAGGCCAGAGGACAAGGACAGCCAGGCCACCATGTCCTTCACCAGCTCCTCCAGGTACACCTGGCCATCCTGGGAGAGAGGGGAGGGAGGGAGAGGGATGAGAGAGGGTTAAGAATCAGCGAAACGAGGAGCTCAGCAATGACAAAAACCAGGAGAAAGAGGCTACTGGTTTGGGGCTAGGTAAATATCAAGGCTAGCCAGAAATAAAAAGTGACACCAAAAGAAAAAGTGTCCGACATAGAAGTTCACCTTTGAACCTTTATTGTTCTGTTCTATTTCCTCACCTCGTCAGACTCTATGAGGAACTCGATGAACTGGCATCCTACCACAGTGAGCTGTCTGGCTTTAGGATGGTCCAGCTCCAGCCCTGCATACAGCTTACTGCTGGGCTTATAGAAGTACAGCAGCCTCCGCACAAACCTGGACCACATACACACACTTGACATTTTTCCCTTAGCAGTCGCTAAGTGAGCAATTAGGGTTAAGTGCCTTGCTCAAGGGCACAAATAGATTTTTCAACTAGTCGGTTCAACGCTCTTAACCACTAGGCTACCTCCCACCCTTTACACACAATCAAACACGCACACGGTAAGAAGGGGGACACCTTACCACAGTCAAGCTCAGCTCAGTATTTCAGTAGTGGTAGTAGTAGTAGTAGCGGTAGTAGTAGTAGCGGTAGTAGTGGTATTAGTAGTGCCAGTAGTAGTAGTAGTAGTAGTAGTAGTAGTAGTAGTAGTAGTAGTAGTAGTAGTGGTAGCGGTAGTAGTAGTAGTAGTAGTGGTAGTAGTAGTAGTAGCGGTGGTGGTAGCGGTAGTAGTAGTAGTGGTGGTAGTGGTAGTAGTAGTAGTAGTAGTAGTGGTAGTAGTAGTAGTAGTAGTAGTAGTAGTAGTGGTAGCGGTAGTAGTGGTAGTGGTGGTAGTAGTAGTAGTAGTAGCGGTGGTAGTAGTGGTAGTAGTAGTAGTAGCGGTGGTGAGTAGTGGTAGTGGTGGTAGTAGTAGTAGTAGTAGTAGTAGTGGTGGTAGTGGTAGTAGTAGTGGTGGTAGTAGTGGTAGTAGTAGTGGTAGTAGTAGTAGTAGTAGTAGTAGTAGTAGTAGTAGTAGTATAGTAGTAGTAGTAGTAGTAGTAGTAGTAGTGATGATGGTAGTAGTAAAAATAGTAGTGGTAGTAGTAGTAGTAGTAGTAGTAGTAGTGGTAGTGGTAGTAGTAGTAGTAGTAGTAGTAGTAGTAGTAGTAGTGATGATGGTAGTAGTAAAAATAGTAGTGGTAGTAGTAGTAGTAGTAGTAGTAGTAGTAGTGTAGTAGTAGTAGTAGTAGTAGTATAGTAGTGATGATGGTAGTAGTAAAAATAGTAGTGGTAGTAGTAGTGGTAGTAGTAGCAGTAGTAGTGATGGTAGTAGTAAAAATAGTAGTGGTAGTAGTAGTGGTGGTAGTAGTAGTAGTAGTAGTAGTAGTAGTAGTAGTGGAGAGTGGGTCTTACTTGTGCATCTGTTCATCTTTGTTGTTCCTGAGGTTAACGTTGGGCCACTGGGAGAGAAAACCAAAACCATGTGATTTTTTTTTTTTAAAAACATTTTTACACTTTTAGTCATTTAGCAGATGCTCTTATCCAGAGCGACTTACAGTTAGTGAGTGCATACATTATTATAATTATTATTATTTATTTATATACCCCCCATGGGAATCGAACCCACAACCCTGGCGTTGCAAATGCCATGCTCTACCAACTGAGCTACATCCCTGCCGGTCATTCCCTCCCCTACCCTGGATGACGCTGGGCCAATTGTGCGCTGCCCCATGGGTCTCCCGGTCGCGGCCGGCTACGACAGAGCCTGGATTCGAACCAGGATCTCTAGTGGCACAGCGCCACTTGGGAGTATTGTTATGACATGTCAATAGCAAGAAACCAAGTGAAATACATCTAGACATTCCCAGTCAGTCTTCTACAGGTGTATTACAGTATTATGGCTGACCTTGAGGATGGTTGCGATGAGGAGCCAGTTCCAGTCAAGGTTCTGTTTGTGGTTGAGGATCTGACTGTCCCTCAGGTTCAACATCAGGGCTTCCTCTGTGTACTACAACACACACACAGTTTGCGTCTCTGGAGGGCTTTGAGGCTCTAGGTGGAAAACTAACCTTGATGACAAAGATGTGTGTTTGAGGCGTACCTTAATAGCGTAGATGTCTCTGTGTACTCGTGTGTGTGTCTCTCTCCGCTGGTGTGCAGACACAGACTTGCGGACAATGTGGTCCAGATACAGACTGTGGGGTTTGGGTCCTTGCTTCTTCTTGTCATGGAAACGCTTCAAGTGGTTGACAGCCGCACTCGCCCGACTAAAATGTACAGAAAAAGTTGGGGGGGGAGATAAGGGTAGTGGAAAAGTGTGTGATTGTGTGTGTGTTTGTGCACGTGTCTGTGTGTACTCACAGGCGTTTCTCCTGGGGGATGTCAAAAGAGGCAGCCATGTTGATGAGGGTGGGCAGACAGTGCAGGTGGTGACTGTGGGAGTGAGGGAGGATGGTGTTGGCCTAGAGAGATGGAGAGAGAGGGAGGGAGAAGGAGGGAGAGGGAGAGGGGGCGAGTGAGAAAGCGAGAGAGAGAGAGACTTTGAAGCAAACGCTTCAAAACAAACCATTCATGCACAGCTGAAGAAACTGTCTTCGAATAGAGCCACATCCACAGCAGAGCAACATGCTCCTCAGAAAGCTACACTATATTCAGAACATCAGAGAGTGGTGTCCCTGTGTTACCATGTTACCATGTGTAGTAGTTCTCCTAGTAGGATGGTGGCTCTCACTGATATCTGGTCCTCACTGCTGGTCACCACCTCTACCAGACCCTACAGGAGGGAGAGAGAGAAGGAAATGTATGAAATAAATATATCTGTATACAATTTTAAAAAATCTGGACGTCTCAGTCTCCTTACCTCTAGCAGGCCACTAGAGATGAAGGCAGACAGTACCAAGGCCAGGTAGTTATCCATCAGGTCAGGCCTGAAACACACAGCAGGGCAGACAGGCAGACAGACATTACAACCCCAAGAGATACTGCAGGGATACACTGGTGGTTGGATCTGAGAGGCACCCATATTCACTTTTTTTGTCAAGTGTAATAGCGTGTATAAATCTCTTCTAATATGGTATATTCATATCTTCTATATTGTGAATTCCTGGTGGTTAATGGGACAATAAAGATATTGATTGTCTGTGGTGTCATGTCTGACCTGGACCTGGCTCGATGGTGCAGGAGGACTTTAGCCTCTGCTGCCACAAAGCCATCAGACAGTCTCCAGCTGTCCTGGCACCTACTGGGGTCTGCAGGGGATCACCAAACAATACGCATCAAACACAGAAAACGACTCAACCCCAGAAGTTGTATTATATGCATGTTTGATTAACGTTTATAAGCAGGGCATTATGGGATAAAGAAATAAGTCATGTTAACAATACTCACCCACGCTGAGAAGTGCTTCCGTAAAGTCCTGGGTTACGATGGGGAGAGGAAGCCTGAATATCTCATACAACATCTCCATTAAACCTTCCTGCAGGGGGCAAGAATGTCAAGAGACACAAATAAATGGTTCTTGAAGAACAGATTTGAGAAGGTGTAATTGGCATTTCATTCATTGAAAAAATTATCATATTTCAGTACCCACCCTCACTTCCATATTTGGTATACACAGCAGACCAATCAGGGACTGGATCCCAGAGTTCCCGGCCCTACAGAGGTTAATGATCCCTGTATCGCCATGGAGACAGTCAACCATTAACACTTTCAAGACTTGGCAGCAAAAGTGAAGACAATCAGAGGAAATGAAGTGATACTAGCTTATAAAGTGAGTCTACTACATTGCATTCTCTTCAGAGGGGTGTTTGACTGTGATCATTGTTACTTGTTTAAAGCAATTGGTATACTACCTGTATGTTTCAAGTTATGACCCAGCTTCTATGCCACAATGCAAAGGGAACCAGCTGAGACAAACTGAATAGAGCGCTGAAAGAAGAGAGACTAACCAGACCAGGAACGGAAGGAAGCCACTATAGCCATCCTGCTGGACAGGAAACGAGCCTCACGGTCCTCCCTGGGGACACACAAACACAACATAATCACACTCTACACATGACAGAGGTGCACACTATAGAGCAGGGTTCCCCAACTGGCCAAATTTGGCCCGCGGGTGATTTTATTTGCCCCCCCCAAATCAAAAAATAATATTTATATATACAGTTGAAGTCAGAAGTTTACATACACTCATTTTTTCAACCACTCCACAAATTTCTTGTTAACAAATGATGGTTTTGGCAAGTCGGTTAGGTCATCTACTTTGTGCATGACACAAGTAATTTTTCCAACAATTGTTTACAGACAGATTATTTCACTTATAATTCACTGTATCACAATTCCAGTGGGTCAGAAGTTTACATACACTAAGTTGACTGTGCCTTTAAACAGCTTGGAAAATTCCAGAAAACGATGTCATGGCTTTAGAAGCTTCTGATAGGCTAATTGACATCATTTGAGTCAATTGGAGGTGTACCTGTGGATGTATTTCAAGGCCTACCTTCAAACTCAGTGCCTCTTTGCTTGACATCATGGGAAAATCAAAATAAATCAGCCAAGACCTCCACAAGTCTGGTTCATCCTTGGGAGCAATTTCTAAACACCTGAAGGTACCACGTTCATCTGTACAAACAATAGTACGCAAGTATAAACACCATGGGACCACGCAGCCGTCATACCGCTCAGGAAGAAGACACATTCTGTCTCCTAGAGATGAATGTACTTTGGTGCGAAAAGTGCAAATCAATCCCAGAACAACAGCAAAGGACCTTGTGAAGATGCTGGAGGAAACAGGTACAATAGTATCTATATCCACAGTAAAACAAGTCCTATATCGACATAACCAGAAAGGCCGCTCAGCAAGGAAGAAGCCACTGCTCCAAAACCGCCATAAAAAAGCCAGACTACGGTTTGCAACTGCACATGGGGACAAAGATCGTACTTTTTGGAGAAATGTCCTCTGGTGTGATGAAACAAAAATAGAACTGTTTGGCCATAATGACCATTGTTATGTTTGGAGGAAAAAGGGGAATGCTTGCAAGCCAAAGAACACCATCCCAACCGTGAAGCACAGGGTTGAGAGCATCATGCTGTGGGGGTGCTTTGCTGCAGGAGGGACTGGTGCACTTCACAAAATAGATGGCATCATGAGGAAGGAAAATGATGTGGATATATTGAAGCAACATCTCAAGACATCAGTCAGGAAGTTAAAGATTGGTCGCAAATGGGTCTCCCAAATGGACAATGACCCCAAGCATACTTCCAAAGTTGTGGCAAAATGGCTTAAGGACAACAAAGTCAAGGTATTGGAGTGGCCATCACAAAGCCCTGACCTCAATCCTATAGAAAATGTGTGGGCAGAATTGAAAAAGCGTGCGCGAGCAAGGAGGCCTGACTCAGTTACACCAGCTCTGTCAGGAGCAATGGGCCAAAATTCACCCAACTTATTGTGGGAAGCTTGTGGAAGGCTACCCGAAACGTTTGACCCAAATTAAACAATTTAAAGGCAATGCTACCAAATACTAATTGAGTGTATGTAAACTTCTGACCCACTGGGAATGTGATGAAAGAAATAAAAGCTGAAATAAATAATTCTCTCTACTATTATTCTGACATTTCACATTCTTAAAATAAAATGGTGATCCTAACTGACCTAAGACAGGGAATCTTTACTAGGATTAAATGTCAGGAATTGTGAAAAACTGAGTTTAAATGTATTTGGCTATGGTGTATGTAAACTTCCGACTTCAACTGTATATATATACTTTTTTTATTGTTGGACATAAAAGACTAAAAACACCAGCAGATCAGCTCCAAGTGATTATAATTTTGGAAATCTGTGCCAAAGTATTCCCACACATAACAGAGAGATATGTGATAGTATACAAATGTAAGCGAGGTTTGAAATGATTATGTTTTAGTCAAATATTATATTTGTTTGGGCTTCTTGCGGTCAATTTGCAGTCTACAAATTATTTGTAATTATGTTCCGGCCGCCTGACCATCCGCTTAAGAATCAGCCCACGGCTGAATGTAGTTAATGATCCCTGCTATAGGCCTACAGAAAATCGGAACAGAGCCTATATGTTTCCAACGTACACCACACTCACTTGAGCTGGCTCTCGGATGTGTCGGCATTGTGGCAGTAGTGGAAGTCTGTGAAAGGTGCTAGGATTTGCTGAAAGACAGAGAAAAACAACACAGAGTAGTGTTAGGTTTCATAGCACTATTAGAAGAACTAAACATTTGTATATGTATTCATCATCAGCATTGAAGGCTAAATAACTGAACAATATCAAGAGCGGAAACATTCTTTCCTATTGCTGATATTACACTTACATGGTACAAAACTATCAAGCATAGCAGCAATAGGTCAGATTTTTAAAAGAAATCTTCACAACCACTTTTTCCTGGCTGGAGATTCATGTGGACAAAGATATTTATTGATCCTAATAGATCACATCTGTGGAAAAGGCCCATGGAGTTGCTGGAAATCACCCTTTAAAATCATGGCCGCTTGCGCAGCTGGGCCAGAGGGCTTTAATTAGGTCGGGTGGAAATGTCCGACAGATCTCAACTCATTAAAAGGAGGAAATGGCCACCGCCCGACCTCGCTGCTTTCTCTCCCCCAACTCAGTCTAATCCAGACATTTTTTATTTTTTTTTGTTCACCTTTATTTAACCAGGTAAGCCAGTTGAGAACAAGTTCTCATTTACAACTGAGACCTGGCCAAGATAAAGCAAAGCAGTGCGATAAAAACAACAACAACACAGAGTTACATATGGGGTAAAACAAAACATACAGTCAATAACACAATAGAAAATCTATATACAGTGTGTGCAAATGTAGTAAGTTACGGAAGTAGGGCAATAAATAGGCCATAGCGCAAAATAATGACAATTTAATATTAACACTGGAGTGATAGATGTGCAGAAGATGATGTGCAAATAGAGATACTGGGGTGCAAATTAGCAAAATAAATAACAATATGGGGATGAGGTAGTCGGGTGGGCTAATTATAGATGGGCTGTGTACAGGTGCAGTGATCGGTAAGCTGCTCTGACTACTGATGCTTAAAGTTAGTGAGGGAGATACGAGTCTCCAGCTTCAGAGATTTTTGCAGTTCGTACCAGTCATTGGCAGCTGAGAACTGGAAGGAATGGTGGCCAAAGGAGGTGTTGGCTTTGGGGATGACCAGTGAGATATACCTGCTGGAGCGCATACCACGGGTGGGTGTTGCTATTGTGACCAATGAGCTAAGATAAGGTGGGGATTTGCGTAGCAGTGATTTATAGATGACCTGGAGCCAGTGGGTTTGACGACGAATAGTAGTGAGGGCCAGCCAACGAGAGCGTACAGGTCACAATGGTGGATAGTATATGGGGCTTTGGTGACAAAACGGATGGCACTGTGATAGACTACATCCAATTTGCTGAGTAGAGTGTTGGAGACTATTTTGTAAAAGACATCGCGAAGTCAAGGATCGGTAGGATAGTCAGTTTTACAAGGGCATGTTTGGCAGCATGAGTGAAGGAGGCTTTGTTGCGAAATAGGAAGCTGATTCTAGATCTAACTTTGGATTGGAGACGCTTAATGTGAGTCTTAAAGGAGAGTTTAAGGTCTAACCAGACACCTAGGTATTTGTAGTTGTCCACATATTCTAAGTCAGACCCGCCGAGAGTAGTGATTCTAGTTGGGCGGGCGGGTGCAAGCAGAGTTCGATTGAAGAGCATGCATTTAGTTTTACTAGCGTTTAAGAGCAGTTGGAGGCTACGGAAGGAGTGTTGTATGGCATTGCAGCTCATTTGGAGGTTTGTTAACACAGTGTCCAATGAAGGGCCAGATGTATACAAAATGGTGTCGTCTGCGTAGAGGTGGATCTGAGAGTCACCAGCAGCAAGAGCAACATCATTGATATACACAGAGAATAGAGTCGGCCCGAGAATTGAACCCTGTGGCACCCCATAGAGACTGCCAGAGGTCCTGACAACAGGCCCTCCGATTTGACACATTGAACTCTATCTGAGAAGTAGTTGGTGAACCAGGCGTGGCAGTCATTTGAGAAACCAAGGCTATTTAGTCTACCAATAAGAATGCAGTGATTGACAGAGTCGAAAGCCTTGGCCAGGTCGATGAAGACGGCTGCACAGTCTTTTATCGATTGCGGTTATAATATCGTTTAGGACCTTGAGCGTGGCTGAGGTGCACCCATGACCAGCTCGGAAACCAGATTGCATAGCGGAGAAGGTATGGTGGGATTCGAAATAGTCGGTGATCTGTTTGTTAAGTTGGCTTTCAAATACTTTCGAAAGGCAGGGCAGGATGGATATAGATCTGTAACAGTTTGGATCTACAGTGTCACCCCCTTTGAAGAGGGGAATGACCGCGGCAGCTTTCCAATCTCTGGGGATCTCAGACGATACGAAAGAGAGGTTGAACAGGCTAGTAATAGGGGTTGCGACAATTTCGGCGGCTAATTTTAGAAAGAAAGGGTCCAGATTGTCTAGCCCAGCTGATTTGTAGGGGTCCAGATTTTGCAGCTCTTTCAGAACATAAGCTGTCTGAATTTGGGTGAAGGACAAGCGGGGGGGTGGGGTATTGTTTATAGTGATACTTTATATACACACACACTACAAGTCAAAAGTTTGGACACACCTACTCATTCAATGATTTTTCTTTATTTTTACTATTTTCTAGAATAATAGTGAAGACATCAAAACTATGAAATAACACATATGGAATCATGTAGTAACCAAAAAAGTGTTAAACAAATCAAAATATATTTTATATTTGAGATTCTTCAAATAGCCACCCTTTGCCTTGATGATAGCTTTGCACACTCTTGGCATTTTCTCAACCAGCTTCATGAGGTAGTCACCTGGAATCCATTTCAATTAACTGATGTGCCTTCTTAAAATAACTTTGAAAGTTTCTTCAAGTGCAGTCGCAAAAACCATCAAGCACTATGAAGAAACTGGCTCTCATGAGGACCACCACAGGAATGGAAGACCCAGAGTTACCTCTGCTGCAGAGGATAAGTTCATTAGATTTACCAGCCTCAAAAATTGCAGCTGAAATAAATGCTTCACAGAATTGAAGTAACAGACACATCTCAACATCAACCGTTCAGAGGGGACTGTGTGAATCAGGCCTTCAAGGTCGAATTGCTGCAAAGAAACCACTACTTACGGACACCAATAAGAAAAAGAGACCTGCTTGGGCCAACAAACACAAGCAATGGACATTAGACCGGTGGAAATTTGTGCTTTGGTCTGGAGTCCAAATTTGAGATTTTTGGTTCAAACCGCCGTGTCTTTGTGAGACACGGTGTGGGTGAATGGATGATCTCCACATGTGTAGTTCCCACCGTAAAGCATGGAGGAGGAGGTGTTATGGTGTGGGGGTGCTTTGCTGGTGACAATGTCTGTGATTTATTTAGAATTCAAGGCACACTTAACCAGCATGGTTACCACAGCATTCTGCAGCGATACGCCATCCAATCTTGTTTGGGCTTAGTGGGACTATCATTTGTTTTTCAACAGGACAATGACCCAACACACCTCCAGGCTGTGTAAGGGCTATTTTACCAAGAAGGAGAGTGATGGAGTGCTGCATCAGATGACCTGGCCTCCACAATCACCTGACCTCAACCCAATAGAGAAGGTTTGGGATGAGTCGGACCGCAGAGTAAAGGAAAAGCAGCAAACAAGTGCTCAGCATATGTGGGAACTCCTTCAAGACTTTTGGAAAAGCATCCCAGGTGAAGCTGGTTGAGAGAATGCCAAGAATGTGCAAAGCTGTCATAAAGGCAAATGGTTGCTATTTGAAGAATCTGAAATATAAAATATATTTTGATTTGTTTAACCTTTTTTTGGTTACTACATGATTCCATATGTGTTTTTTCGTCGTTTTGATGTCTTCACTATTATTCTACAATGTAGAAAATAGTAAAAATAAAGAAAAACCCTTGAATGAGTAGGTGTATCCAAACTTTTGACTGGTACTGTATATTTATTTATTTACTTTTACCCCTATTCCTCCCCAATTTCATGATATCCAATTGGTAGTTACAGTCTTGTCCTATCGCTGCAACTCCCCTACGGACTCGGGAGAGGCGAAGGTCGTGAGCCATGCGAAACACGACCCTGCCAAGCAGCACTGCTTCTCGACACACTCCTCGCTTAACCTGGAAGCCAGCCGCACCAATGTGTCGGAGGAAACACCGTCCAGCCAGCGACCGAAGTCAGCTTGCAGGCACCTGGCCCGCCACAAGGAGTGCTAGAGCGCAAAGGGACAAGGAAATCCCGGCCGGCCAAACCCTCCCCTAACCTGGACGACGCTGGGCCAATTGTGCGGCGCCTCATGGGTCACCCAGTCACGGCCGGCTGTGACACAGCCTGGGATTGAACGCGGGGCTGTAGTGACACCTCAAGCACTGCGATGCAGTGCCTTAGACCGCTGCGCCACAGTGCCTTAGACCGCTGCGCCACTCGGGAGGCCCTGTGTTTATAGTTATTACCACGGAGCGTGGCTTGGAGGGCAAGCTTCAAACCTATTGTGTTATATCAATGGACAATGATCATGGCCCTACAGATCATCACGTGACAATTATGCCATTGACATATGGTTAAAATGTAACGAAATTATATGTACATATGAAGACAAACCTGGAAGTATGAAATATGAAATGTAATTATTATTTTCTAAATTGATAATCCTGAGATAAAACTGAATTACTTCATTATGTTAATAATGAGAATGATTTGTGATTATGAATTTGATTTGATACCTGTTATTCTGTTTCCTTTGTTATGCAGCACACAAAAAACTATCCAGTAAATATACCACTTTGTGGTTAAAGGAAATCCTGCCTCAGTCTCCTCCATTCCTCTCAGCCACCTGACCCGTGACCACCTGTTCACCTTCACTATTTTCAGTCATCCTACTTGTCCGGCTACACACACAGATTCCAAAAATCTTTCAACATCCATTATCAGTATTCAACCATATTATCACATATTCCATATTATAATATTAGTATTCTTCTGCCAAAAGCCTGTTAGGACTGAGTTGTTCCTGGAGTGGCCCTGCTACAGGTATGAAGGAAGGGGGGGAGGAGTATCAGTTTACACAGACAGGATGTGTTGGAGAGAGAGGCTTTAGAGAGCTGATGTAACTGATCACTGTAATCTGCCTGGGAAAGAGAAAGACAACCCAAGGGTGTATCCTGACTGGCATGGCTCAACGCCTAGTGGCTGTCTCTCAATAGTCTACACTGACCTCTCCTTTCCTCAGCCTGCACGCTGCACTCATGGGAAAGAACTGGACAGGTGAAAGCCAATTCCCAAGCGTTATCTTCGCACAGAAATGACTACGAATGCACCATATTGCTTTCACCTATCCTGGAGACGAGGAAAGAAAGCCACTGAAAGAAAGCCACTGACAAAGTATGATGTGTTCTGTGTGAACCTCGAGCTCAACGCCTGTGTACACATACTGGCACATGTCTGTATTAGGGCTGTGACGGTGACCATATTACCGCCACACCGGCGGTCACGAGTCATGTTTTATTTAGTCACGGTAACTAGGCTTCTCCAAAACTGTGCTCTGATGCTGCTGATGGTCATTAGTAGCCTACCAAACTTTCTAACTGCCTGGTACTCAGCACTCTATTGTCCCTCTAATCACTCTGACATCAATGCAAATGTTATCGAAAATCAAACACTTCATGAGAGCCCATGAGCTCATGTTGTGCAACATTCCTATAGGCTATGCAATTGCTTGAGTTTTGATGGCCTCTATTAAAAAGAAGAGAATCCCATCAGCTTTCTATATGCTTGGCCTACTATATTTATTTCTCAACTTTCCTAATACTAATAAGCACATTGCTTCGCTTTACAACAGGAGTATAGCCTACCTGGCCGGCATGAAAATGAACCACGGGAAAAGCATCCTCCATTCGCTATTTAAGTGCATAGATGACGTATTTTTTTCCACTGTTCCGAGACAGGAGCATGATAATGGTCCATTCTAAAACTAATTTCACACATACTAAATAATATATATGCAAAGACAAAATTAAATCAAGAATGACAATATCACTTGTGAATGATGTATTCATTATCACTTGTGAATGATGCCCAGCATGTGCAGTAAGTCAAGAAACAGCGCATGCCTTGTTTTTAGCAACTTTTTAAAATCATAGTCGCACATGTTTTGATAAGGTTTGTATCACAACTAAAGTGGGCAAATAACTTCTTAAAATTAAGCACATTAAATCAGCTTTACAACCGGTGGAGCGCCTAACTGGCATACATAGGCGGTGCTTGAGTTTGAAGTTTGTGGAAGATCATTATCACCATAACAATGCACCTTTATAATAAAGCATTACATGCATAATTGGATTTGTGGTCACTTTTGAGAACTGTGTTTTCCTGCTAATTGATTGCATTTTGGAACATTTGCGCTTATAATGTGAAGAAATAGCCTAATAGTTGATGAACATTTTAAGCTAAACGTTCTGATCTGTTGCATCAGCTTCATTGCTTTTAAAAGTTTTTTTGATGCGAGTTGTTGTATTAATTTGGGATCTATCGCATCCCACAACTGAAGGCATAACGGGATTTCTTATAAGCGTCCGGATTAGTGTCCCTCTCCTTGAAAGCTCTAGCCTTTAGCTCGGTGCAGATGTTTCCTGTAATCCGTTGTGTGCGGTCTTAGTGCCAGCATCGGTTTGTGGTGGTAAATAGACAGCTATGAATAACATAGATGAGAACTCTCTTGGTAGATAGTGTGGTCTACAGCTCATCATGAGGTACTCTACCTCAGGCAGGCAATACCTCGAGACTTCTTTAATATTAGACATTGCGCACCAGCTGTTATTGACAAATAGACACACCCCCCCACCCCTCGTCTTACCAGACGTGGCTGTTCTGTCCTGCCAACGCACGGAAAACCCAGCCAGCTCTATATTATCTGTGTCGTCATTCAGCCACGACTCTGTGAAACATAAGATATTACAGTTTTTAATGTCCCGTTGGTAGGATAATCTTGAACGGAGATCATCCAGTTTATTTTCCAGTGATTGCACGTTGGCCAATAGAACGGATGGTTGAGGCGGGTTACCCACTCGACGACAAATTCTCACAAGGCACCCCGATCTCTGCCCCTTGTATTTCCGTCTTTTCTTCATGCGAATGACGGGGATTTGGGCCTGGTCTCGGGGAAGCAGTATATCCTTCGCGTCGGACTCATTAAAGAAAAAATCTTTGTCCAGTTCGAGGTGAGTAATCGCTGTTCTGATATCCAGAAGCTCTTTTCGGTCATAAGAGACGGTAGCAGCAACATTATGTACAAAATAAGTTACAAACAATGTAAAAAAACACACAAAATAGCACAGTTGGTTAGGAGCCCGTAAAATGGCAGCCATCCCCTCCGGCGCAATTAACATAAGGACAACTCACTGTATACTATTCTGTTCTTCTAAAATAGACTACATTTTCTTCATATCATGTTTCTTTAGACCTGTCTAACATAAATAATGGATTTATTGTGATGGTGTAGGTTATATTAATTGGATTTTGACTTTTTTTAAAATGTCGATGTGGCTTGTAGGCTATGCGTGGAAGCCAAGAGATGCTAAACGTGTTTATGTTAATTAACAGTAAATTACCATGAGACCGGCAGTTATTTGCTTGACAATAACCAGCTGACAAAATGTAATGACCACCACAGCCCTAGTTTGTGTGTGTGTGTGCATGGTTGCGGTGTGTACCTCCAGCTCCACATCATTGCGTATATATTGCCTGGTGTGTGGATGGTTGAGCAGGTGGAGGATGGTGGTGATCAGAGCCTCATTGATGCGGCTCAGCTGACAGTCAATCACACTCTTTAAGATGGCACTGAGACCCCCCCGCTTGGCCACTACCTCTGGGTTCTTCAACGCTGCAGAGAGGGGTTGACATAAAGACACATGAAGACATAGTGTTATTCCACAGTAACTATGTGTGTAATTTAAGGACGGTTCTCTCAGTGGAGTATGCCGAGACTCCACCCACCCAGTTCGCAGACAATGGCGATAGTGGCACGGACCATGCGGTCCCTCTCCTGCAGCCCGTCTGTTCCCACGGCGATCAGAGAGTTGGTGACAGAGCTGGGGAACAGCAGGGGGTTCACTGTGATCATCTACAGACACACACAAGAGAGAGAGAGAGAGAAACGGTCAGAGGGGGAGGAGAGAGACGGTCAGAGGGGGAGGAGAGAGACGTTCAGAGGGGGAGGAGAGGGACGTTCAGAGGGGGAGGAGAGGGACGTTCAGAGGGGGAGGAGAGGGACAGTCGGGGGGGAGGAGAGGAACGGTCAGAGGGGGGAGAGAGACGGTAAGAGGGGGGGGGAGAGAGACGGTCAGAGGGGGAACAGAGAAGGGGACGTTCAGCGGGGGAAGAGAGAGGGGGACGTTCAGAGGGGGAGGAGAGGGACGTTCAGAGGGGGAGGAGAGGGACGTTCAGAGGGGGAGGAGAGAGACGGTCAGAGGGGGAGAAGAGAGACGGTCAGAGGGGGAGGGGAGGGACGGTCAGAGGGGGAGGAGAGGGACGGTCAGAGGGGGAGGAAAGACGGTCAGAGGGGGAGGAGAGGGACGGTCAGAAGGGGGAGGAGAGGGACGGTCAGAAGGGGGAGGAGAGAGACGGTCAGAGGGGGAAGAGAGGGGGGGAGAGAGCACAAAGGTTAGAGCACTCGTTTTGCACAAGTTTATTTTAAAAGCAAATAGGGCTCACAACAGGTGTGCCACATTCAGAAGGTGGGTGTGAGTAAAGCAGGTCTGTGCAGCTGAGGCCCTTCCTCCAAGACACGTTACCCTGAGCTAAGGCCTATTAACTGGAAAGGACCCAGACCACAAGCTGGAACAGGCTACGTGGCTAACCAACTTGGGCTACTGTCAATGTAGCCAAGTATCTACCTTCTTCAGGTTTCTGTCTGATATCACGGTAGGTGTTGCAGAATGACCTCTACTGTGCATTCCAAAGTTAAAACATTTAAGTTGAATTCATTGACAATACCAGACCATGTTCAGTATTTAGGCCTATACAGTATTCCTTTGTATACGGTTAGATTTGCATTGTTAATTGTAATACGTGCGTGTGGTAGTGTTAACTGTAAACTGCAGTGCTAAAAATACCAGAGCCCGCAGACATGTGCAAACTGTCCACACGCTCACACCAACACAGATCATCCAATAACAGCCTATGTGTACTATGCTACTATTCTGTGCTGCCAGTGAAAATACAAATATCAAGTAGACCATGCAGTGTAGCATAGTCAGATGCAGTGTAAAAGTAATGAGTAATTACTATGCCATCATTTTAATTATACACATTATATTACAGAACAAATTACAAGTTTGTGCGATATGAAGACAGAGGCCATGGATCTTACCTTTCTGACCAGCCTGAGGGCCTGAGTCCTCTCCCCCTCATTGCTCTGCTGGATGTCAATGCACCTGATCACAGCACACAGTAGGTATGAGAACACATCCACGGATCATATTCCGCCATGCTAACATCACCATGAAATAGTCCTTGTTCTATGGTACCGCTGATGTGCAGTAACAACATTCCAAGCAACAGACTACCACAGTAGTATACTCGAGTGCAACAACTTAACTCACTTTTATTTTTTTATGAAGTACGTTGTTGTAACATACGGGCATTTCCATTTAAAAAGGACCCATGAGCACCAACATGTGAAGTCCATAGAGAACGTGTTTCCAATGCTCCAGAGTCCAATGGCAGCGAACTTTACGCTTGGCATTGCGCATGGTGATCTTAGGCTTGTGTGCGGCTGCTCCGCCATGGAAACCCATTTCATGAAGTTCCTGACGAACTTGTGCTGACGTTGCTTCCAGAGGCAGTTTGGAACTCGGTAGTGAGTTTTGCAACCAAGGACAGATGATTTTTACGTGCTTTGCGCTTCAGTCCTGTTCTGTGAGCTTGTGCGGCCTACCACTTCGTGGCTGAGCCGTTGTTGCTGCTAGACATTTCCACTTCACTATAACAGCACTTACAGTTGCCTGGGGCAGCTCTAGCAGGGCAGAAATTTGATGAACTGACTTGTTGGAAAGGTGGCATCCTATGACGGTTCCACGTTGAAAGTCACTGAGCTCTTCAGTAAGGCCATTCTACTGTCAATATTTGTCTATGGAGATTGCATGGCTGTGTGCTCGATTTTATACACCTGTAAGCAATGGGTGTGGGTGAAATAGGCAAATCTATTAATTTGAAGGGGTGTCCACATACTTTTGTATATATAGTGTATTTGATTTTGAATTTTAAGAACCAATGAAGTATAAAAAATATATATAAACAAATTATGGTGTGGTCTTGTTTTGGGGTGGAGCTCATTCCAATAATAGCCAGCCTGTAGAATAATACCCATAATATGCAAAAGAAGGATATTGCATAATTCTACCTTTGTGAGAGATTTTACCATCATTCTGTTACCAAACTTTGCATCTGCACAGTTCTTCCAGTAAATGTGTATTTGTGAAATGTTGTGTAAATTGTTCAAAGTAGTCCTTGTGCATAGAGTTGTATGGTTTGTTAAACTTTGAAATAAGTGGGTTTTGTTTAGCATCCGTTTTAGAGAAAAATAATCTGAGTCAAAGCGGAATTCCGTTACCGTGGAATTGCCCATATTAAACATATACAGTATATAAGCTTCTGAAGTTTCGAAATTGTATGTTTGTTAACGGTAAAATATGGCCGTTTTTTTTTTCATTTCCTGAAAAGTTGACATTTTAGATATAAGAGGTTTTCATCAGACAGCGACGATATGTTAAGTGGTCCACTGTGAATCCAGTGTGTCCCTGGGCAGGTGTGGTGACAGAGAATAGCTCTCACCTGGCGACCAAGTAGTCCACCTGCAGTCTGAGGACCTTCTGCAACACATTGCTGTCTCTGATGAGGTACCTCAGAGCCCTCAACCCTGCAGCACGCACCTCCTTGGCCTCGTTCAGCAAGGCTAACCGCAGGCTGGGGAGGGACACAAAAAACAGCTCAGATACTGAAACTAAATGGCAAAGAAACACATACTGAAAAATAATGGACAATCGCATAGCTTGACCCCAAAAAATGCCTGCAATGACCCATCACTCATTTGGATTAATTCACGGCCATTAACTGACCAGGTTAGGATATGTTCCACATACAATGGCCTACTATGTGTTCTAGGTTATACTATATGGTACTACTTACCAGATGATGATTTCTTCATATGTAAACCCAAACTTCTCCTCGCAATGGCCAATGCTGCTTAGCAGCTGAAATGGAGACAGAGGACTAGACTTACTATCAGCTGACAGAGGATGCATTGGATATCCATAACAACAGACTGAAGACAATTTAATATACAGACAACAGTCTCTACAGAACTTCACCAATCTGGCCTTTATGGGAGAGTGGCCAGACGGAAGCCACTCGTGAGAAAAAGGCACATGAGAGCAGGCCTGGAGTTTGCAAAAAGGCATGTGAAAGACTCAGAGCAAAAGGCAAAATATTCTGTGGTCTGATGAGAATTTTGGTACACTCTTTGGCCTGAATGCAAAGCGCTATGTCTGGAGAAAAGCAGGCACAGCACAATCTCTACCTTGAAGCATGGTTGTGGCAGCATCATGCTATGGGATGCTTTTCAGCTGCAGGGACTGAGAGACTGGTAAGGTTAGAGGGTACAATGAATGGAGCCAAATCCTTAATGAGAACCTGCTTCAGAGTGCAAATGACCTTAGACTGTGGGTGAAGATTTACGTTCCAACAGGACAATGACCACAAGCATACAGGCAAAGCAATGCTGGAATGGCTTCAGAACAAGAATGTGAAAGTCCTTGAGTGGCCCCGCCAAAGCCCACACTTGAATCCCATAGACAATCTGTGGAAAGACTTGCAGTTCATCGCCGCTCCCCATCTAACTTAACAGAACTTGAGAAAATCTGCAAGGAAGAACGGGAGAAATTCCCCAAATCCAGATGTGCAAAGCTGATACAGACATACCCAAGACAACTCAAAGCTGTAATCGCCGCCAAAGGGGCTTCCACAAAGTATTCACTCATGTTTTCACATTATGTGGTATTGTGTGTAGATGGGTGAATTATACTTTTTTGAATAATTTTGAATTAAGGCTGTAACAACAAAATGTGGAGTAAGTCAAGCGGTATGAATACTTTCTGAAGGCACTGTATAGGCTAGTGAACATATGAATTGAGACACAGAGAGACCCATATATTTTGGGAATGCACATTATAGTTAAAATCATGACGATTCTTTTCCTGACATTTACAGTATACAGAACAAAAATATAAAACGCAACATGCAACAATTTCAGAGATTTTACTGAGTTACAGTTCATAAAAAGAAATCAGACAATTGAAATAAATTAATTAGGCCCTAATCTATGGATTTCACGTCTGGGCAGGGGTGCAGCCATGGGTGGGCATTGGAGGGCATAGGCCCACCCACTGGGGAGCCAGGCCCAGTCAATCATAATGAGTTTTTCTCAACAAAATGGCTTTATTACAGACAGAAAACTCCTCAGCAGCACCCCCCCTTATTCTAGTTACTAATAAGCATGCACCCGTTAAGAAAATGACTGTAAAAACTGTTAAATTCCCTTGGATTGATAAGGAATTGAAAAATTGCGTGGTTGAGAGGGATGAGGCAAAAGGAATGGCAAATAAGTCTGGCTGCACAACCGATTGGCGAAAGTAGAGCAAATTGAGAAATCATGTGACTAAACTGAATAAAAAGAAGAAGAAACTATACTATGAAACAAAGATAAATGATATAAAGAATGATAGTAAAAATCTTTGGAGCACCTTAAATGAAATTTTGGGCAAAAAGGCAAACTCAGCTCCATCATACATTGAATCAGATGGCTCATTCATCACAAACCCAAAGATATTGCCAACTACCTTAATTATTTTTTAATTGGCAAGATTAGCACACTTAGGCATGACATGCCAGCAACAAACCGACACTACACATCCAAGTATAACTGACCAGATTATGAAAGACAAGCATTGTCATTTTGAATTCCGTAAAGTGAGTGTGGAAGAGGTTAAAAAAGTATTGTTGTCTATCAACAATGACAAGCCACCGGGGTCTGACAATTACTGAGGATAATAGCGGACGATATTGCCACTCCTATTTGCCATATCTTATTTCTAAGCCTACTAGAAACAGTGTACCCTCAGGTCTAGAGGGAAGCAAAAGTAATTCCACTACCCAAGAATATTAAAGCCCCCTTTACTGGCTCAAATAGCCGACCAATCAGCCTGTTACCAACCCTAAATAGTGTTTGACCAGAAGCAATGCTATTTTACAGTAAACAAATTGACAACAGACTTTCAGCTCGCTTATAGGGAAGGACATTCAACAAGCACAGCACTGACAAAATGACTGATGATTGGCTGAGAGAAATTGATGCTAAAAATCAAGATTGAAAAAAGTAAGGGGCATAGCCAGCAGCCCTGGGGAATTCCTGATTCTACCTGGATTATGTTGGAGAGGCTTCCATTAAAAAAACACCCTTTGTGTTCTGTTAGACAGGTAACTCTTTATCCACAATATAGCAGGGGGTGTAAAGCCATAACACATATGTTTTGTTGGACTTTAGTGCGGCTTTTGACATTATCGATCATAGTCTGCAGCTGGAAAAACGTATGTGTTAAAAGCATTGTCTTTGGGACAAATCATTCACTGAAACCTCAACTAAATCTTGTAATGAATAATGTGGAAATTGAGCAAGTTGAGGTGACTAAACTGCTTGGAGTAACCCTGGATTGTAAACTCATGGTCAAAACATGTTGATACAACAGTAGCTAAGATGCCGAGAAGTTTGTCCATAATAAAGTGCTACTCTGCCTTCTTAACAACATTATCAACAAGGCAGGTCCTACAGGCTCTAGCTTTGTCGCACTTGGACTACTGTTCAGTCGTGTGGTCAGGTGACACAAAGAGGGACTTAGGAAAATTACAACAGGGCAGCACAGCTGGCCCTTAAATGTAAACCGAGAGCTCTCTCTCATGGCTCAAAGTGGAGGAGAGATTGATTTCATCACTACTTGTTTTTGTAAGAAGTGTTGAGTGACTAGTTAACGTTAGCTTGGCTCTCTCTGTGTGTTCGTGCCGTGGGAGGACGGGTTTCTTCTTTGTCTGAAAGCAAATGGCTAGCTAGTATGCTAACTATTCTAGCTAACTAACTGGCTGAATAAGTTGACGACGGACTCGCTCAAGCTGTCGGGACTAACCCACAACGTTAGACACGGACACGAATGATCTGCTTGGCGTGTTGACACACTGGTGTTTGTTGTGGCCGAGTATTGGTGCTAAACCATGTTGTTGGAGTCCGGCATGCTAGTTGGCTGTGGCGTCATATGACTAGGTGCCCTGGACGATTTTCACAGATTTTCACAGAAGAATACTGTACCAAGTTAGCTAGCTGAATAAACTAAGTTAGTCTATTCCTAGAAAACATTGAACCGCTGTAGTTTACAACAATTATAGTTTCTGAGATGGAAGTTGGGAGAGTTATATTTGGGTGTTTCAGTGAAACGTAAGTGAGGGAGGCCCTGCTCTCTCCTTTCCCAGATGTTTAGTTCATTTCATTCCGATCTCCTTTGCATTATTGTAGCCATTTTCTGTAGCCTGTCAACTATGCCTCTGTCTATCCCTGTTCTCTCCTCTCCGCACAGGTTATACAAACGCCTCACACCGCGTGGCTGCTGCCTCTCTAACCTGGTGGTCCCTGCACGCACCACCCACGTGGAGTTCCAGGTCTCAGGCAGCCTCTGGAACTGCCGTTCTGCTGCCAACAAGGCAGAGTTCAACTCAGCCTAAGCTACCCTCCAGTCCCTCGACTTCTTGACGCTGACGGAAACATGAATTACCACTGAAAACACTGCTACTCCTACTGCTCTCTCCTCGTCTGACCATGTGTTCTCGCATACACCGAGAGCATCTGGTCAGCGGGGTGGTGGCACAGGAATCCTCATCTCTCCCAAGTGGACATTCTCTCTTTTTCCCCTGACCCATCTGTCTATCTCCTCATTTGAATTCCATGCTGTCACAGTCACTAGCCCATTCAAGCTTAACATCCTTGTCATTTATTGCCCTCCAGGTTCCCTTGGAGAGTTCATCAATGAGCTTGACAAGTTCCTTTCCTGAGGATGGCTCACCCCTCACAGTTCTGGGTGACTTCAACCTCCCTACGTCTACCTTTGACTCATTCCTCTCTGCCTCCTTCTTTCCACTCCTCTCCTCTTTTGACCTCACCCTCTCACCGTCCCTCCCTACTCACAAGGCAGGCAATACGCTTGACCTCATCTTTACTAGATGCTGTTCTTCTACTAATCTCACTGCAACTCCCCTCCATGTCTCCGACCACTACTTTGTATCCTTTTCTCTCTCCTCCAACACTACTGACTCTGCCCCTACTCAGATGGTAATGCGCCGTCGCAACCTTCACTCTCTTTCTCCTCTTCCATCCTATCATCTTTTCCCTCTGCTCAATCCTTCTCCCTCCAATCTCCTGATTCTGCCTCCTCAACCCTCCTCTCCTCCCTTTCTGCATCCTTGACTCTCTATGTCCCCTATCCTCCCGGCCGGCTCGGTCCTCACATCCTGCTCCGTGGCTTGATGACTCATTGCGAGCTCACAGAACAGGGCTCCGGGCAGCCGAGCGGAAATTGAGGAAAACTAGACTCCCTGCGGACCTGGCATCTTTTCACTCCCTCCTCTCTACATTTTCTTCATCTGTTTCTGCTGCTAAAGCCACTTTCTACCACTCTAAATTCCAAGCATCTGCCTCTAACCCTAGGAAGCTCTTTGCCACCTTCTCCTCCCTGCTGAATCCTCCTCCCCCTCCCCCTCCCTCTCTGTGGATGACTTCGTCAACCATTTTGAAAAGAAGGTTGACGACATCCGATCCTCGTTTGTTAAGTCAAATGACACCGCTGGTCCTGCTCACAGTGCCCTACCCTACGCTTTGACTTCTTTCTCCCCTCTCTCTCCAGATGAAATCTTGCGACTTGTGACGGCAGGCCGCCCAACAACCTGCCCGCTTGACCCTATCCCCTCCTCTCTTCTCCAGACCATTTCCGGAGACCTTCTCCCTTACCTCACCTCGCTCATCAACTCATCCTTGACTGCTGGCCATGTCCCTTCCGTCTTCAAGAGAGCAAGAGTTGCACCCCTTCTCAAAAAACCAACACTCGATCACTCTGATGTCAACAACTACAGTCCTTCTAGACCTGTCTGCTGCCTTTGATACTGTGAACCATCAGATCCTCCTCTCCACCCACTCCGAGCTGGGCATCTCCGGCGCGGCTCACTCTTGGATTGCGTCCTACCTGACCGAGTCGCTCCTACCAAGTGGCGTGCCGAGAATCTGTCTTCGCACCACGTGCTCTTACCACTGGTGTCCCCCAGGGCTCAGTTCTAGGCCCTCTCCTATTCTCGCTGTACACCAAGTCACTTGGCTCTGTCATATCCTCACATGGCCTCTCCTATCATTGCTACGGAGACGACACACAACTAATCTTCTCCTTTCCCCCTTCTGATAACCAGGTGGCGAATTGCATTTCTGCATGTCTGGCAGACATATCAGTGTGGATGACGGATCACCACCTCAAACTGAACCTCGGCAAGACGGAGCTGCTCTTCCTCCCTGGGAAGGACTGCCCGTTCCATGATCTCGCCATCACGGTTGACAACTCCGTTGTGTCCTCCTCCCAGAGTGCAAAGAGCCTTGGCGTGACCCTGGACAACACCCTGTCGTTCTCCGCTAACATCAAGGCGGTGACCCGATCCTGTAGGTTCATGCTCTACAACATTCGGAGAGTACAACCCTGCCTTACACAGGAAGCTGCACAGGTCCTAATCCAGGCACTTGTCATCTCCCGTCTGGATTACTGCAACTCGCTGTTGGCTGGGCTCCCTGCCTACAACTTAAACCCCTACAACTCATCCAGAATGCCGCAGCCCGTCTGGTGTTCAACCTTCCCAAGTTCTCTCACGTCACCCCGCTCCTCCGCACACTCCACTGGCTTCCAGTTGAAGCTCGCATCTGCTAAAAGACCATGGTGCTTGCCTACGGAGCTGTGAGGAGAACGGCACCTCCGTACCTTCAGGCTCTGATCAGTCCCTACACCCAAACGAGGGCATTGCGTTCATCCACCTCTGGCCTGCTGGCCCCCCTACCTCTGCGGAAGCACAGTTCCCGCTCAGCCCAGTGAAAATTGTTCGCTGCTCTGGCACCCCAATGGTGGAACAAGCTCCCTCACGACGCCAGGACAGCGGAGTCACTCACCACCTTCCGGAGACACTTGAAACCCCACCTCTTTAAGGAATACCTGGGATAGGATAAAGTAATCCTTCTACCCCCCCTTACCCCCCCCCCCCCCCCCTAAAAAAAAAAAAAACATTTTGTAAAGTGGTTATCCCACTGGCTATAAGGTGAATGCACCAATTTCTAAGTCGCTCTGGATAAGAGCGTCTGCTAAATGACGTAAATGTAAATGTAAAATGTTGACAAGCTGAATGCACCGAGCTAGCTGTCTGTTTAAACTAGTAGCACACAGCTCTGACACCCATGCATACCCCACAAGACATGCTACCAGAGGTCTCTTCACAATCCCCAAATCCAGAACAGACTATGGGAGGTGCACAGTACTACATAGAGCCATGACTACATGGAACTCTATTCCACATCAGGTAACTGATGCAAGCAGTAGAATCTGATTTAAAAAACAGATAAAAATACACCTTATGGAACAGCGGGGATTGTGAAGAGACACATTTATGGAAGCAGCTAATGGGGATCCCTAATAAATACAAATACAAAAGGAGACACAGGTCTCGATGCCACACACACACACACACACCAAGGGGTCACGTTAACGCAGGATTCTGCGTTTTTCATGCAGAAAATTAAAGTTAAAACACAGAAAATAATACCCATGGCATGGACTGGAGGACAACTAAACCTGCAGATGTATTTGCTGCAACTAAACCTGCAGATGTACTTGCTGCAACCTTGGAAAACAGAGATCACATGCAGCATCTCCAGAAGAACAACAATACTGGACAGCTGCTGGAAATCTCTGGTTTCAAAGTTATGTTTTGACGCACATGAGGTCACAGCTCTGCCCCATGGCCTGAGCTCCTGTTACCATCACTGTCTGTCAGCATCACAATGACAAGCTCAGCTAGGCCTGCCAGCAGCAGCAGCTCAGGACCAGCGGGCCAACGAACGGTCAGTGACTACACACAGGACCAGAGGGCCAAGGAGAGGTCAATGGCTACACACAGAAGAATATGTTCAGCGGGTGCATCTCAATACTGTAAAGTGGCGACCTAAACTAAAGTTAAATTAACCTTCCTAAATGAAGGTTGTATACCATTTCATGTGACTAGCCCGGGGTGGATTTCAGTAGCCTTCATCAGCACTGATCTGAAAACCAAGGTGAAAGCAATAATGTGCAAACAGTATCATACCTGCCAGTAATTCACTGTCACCTAACTACTGAAGAAAGGGGAAAGTGGCATTTGAACCAACTAACAGCTTGAACGCACAAAGCAGCACCAGACACCTAAACCAAACAACACTGTCTACTAAAGATTAAAGCAACTACATATCTGCCATACAATTTACAATAGACCATCTCCAGTCCATACTGAATAATACTGGATCTTCATGACCAGCTTCAGCAGACAAAATGCTTGTTCTGATTCTCCACACACAAACATGAATTGTGATCTTACTAGTCCCATTTCTTATTTTCTTTAGTTTGATCTCATACTACCTTCCAATGAATTGTGTTTTTCGCCTAAAGGGTCAATAACACTTATAAGATGCGACATTTTCTTTTACCTTTGACCCCCAAACTACTAAAGACAGTCCATGAACAATGTTAAGTTGGGGCACAATACTGCAGAGCTAAACTATTAATTTCAATAACGAGGGCAGTCGCCATTATCAGCATTACATAAATCAGTACTACCTTTATGAAATTGTTCAGGTGGCCCAGTTTCCGCATGTTGGTGATGCCGTGTGGCTTGGAGACATTTTGAAGGATTTCACGCAAGTTGTCAGAGGGTTCTGTGAAAGACAAGGGAGGTGAAATAGAATCAAAACATTACAAAGCCTTTTAATATTCCAGTAATACTGAGCCCGGTTCCCGTGGCCACCCATAAATAAATAAATAAATAATGTATGCACGCATGCCTTTAAGTCGCTTTGGATAAAAGCATCTACTAAAATGCGACTTAAAGGCATGCGTGCATACATTATTTATTTATGGGTGGCCACATACACACACACACAACCGTTCAAAAGTTTGGGGTCACTTAGAAATGTCCTTGTTTTCGAAAGAAAATAAAAAAAATTGTCCATTAAAATAACATCAAATTTATCAGAAATACAGTGTAGACATTGTTAATGTTGTAAATGGCTATTGTAGCTGTAAACGGCTGATTTGTAATGGAATATCTACATAGGCGTACAGAGGCCCATTATCAGCAACCATCAGTCCTGTGTTCCAATGGCACGTTGTGTTTGCTAATCCAAGTTTATAATAATAAATAATAATATGCCATTTAGCAGACGCTTTTATCCAAAGCGACTTACAGTCATGCGTGCATACATTTTTTTTGTGTATGGGTGGTCCCGGGGATCGAACCCACTACCTTGGCGTTACAAGCGCCGTGCTCTACCAGTTGAGCTACAAAGGCTAATTGATCATTAGAAAACCCAATTTCTCGTATAGAATAGCCTTCATTTCTCAGAACAAGAATAGACTGACAAGTTTCAGAAGAAAGTTCTTTGTTTCTGGCCATTTTGATTCTGTAATCGAACCCACAATTGCTGATGCTCCAGATACTCAACTAGTCTCAAGAAGGCCAGTTTTATTGCGTCTTTAAATCAGCACAACAGTTTTCAGCTGTGCTAACATAATTGCAAAAGGGTTTTTAATTATCAATTAGCCTTTTAAAATGATAAACTTGGATTAGCAAACACAACGTGCCATTGGAACACAGGACTGATGGTTGCTGATAATGGGCCTCTGTACGCCTATGTAGATATTCCATTAAAAATCAGCCGTTTCCAGCTACAATAGCCATTTACAACATTAACAATGTCTACACTGTGTTTCTGATCAATTTGATGTTATTTTAATGGACAAAAAAAATGATTTTCTTTTGAAACAAGGTAATTTCTAAGTGACCCCAAACTTTTGAACGGTAGTGTGTATGTATATATATATATATATATATATAAATAATGATGTAGCTAACAGAGAAAAGGGTGCTCAACCAGCCACTAAGCTGCTTAGGTTGCAGGTTGGGATCCATTCTATTGCACAGTGAAAACGTGATCCAATTTTACATCCCACAGGTATACCCACTACTGCTGTGCTACATCTAATACAGTGAGGGTTAAATTGGTGTTGGTGAAAATATAGATCGTGCATTACTGATGAACGCCTATTGATCTGTTTACAATCTGTCACAGACACAGTCTGGTACCTTCAGGGTGGGAGTGGAAGTGGCATCGGGAACAATTTGAGGGTATGTATGTAGGATGCAAGTGATTAACCATCATTGCAGTGACATTACTGAGTCAGGGTTGTCTCATACGAACACCGAAAAGCTGGCAAGGCAGGCAGGAGTTGACACACTGTGCTGAAAAAGCCAACAGAGTGTACGTGCTTCTGGCTAGTAAATACTCATACTCACTGTCAGTTATATCCAACCATAACCTCTTGAGTTGTCAAAATGGCAAATTGGGCAGACCCACTGTGACGCCCACCGCAAACAGGGAAATCCTCCAGTTTCAGCTGAAAGTTAGCTAACTAGCAACTGCAACTGTCGTGACCCGACTTCAAACAAAACTATTGGCTAACGTTAACTAGCTAGCTACAATAATTGGACAACGTTTGTTAGATACCACAATACAAACCTAGGAATGTAACGTTAGCTAGTTAGCCAGCTATAACTAACTACACGCCCAAATCATTAGCCAGGCAACGTTAGCTAGCTAAATGGGTAACTACCTTGCTCATCCCGACCATAACAAATATATTGTATAGCCAAGCTAGCTAGCTAATACTAGCCCACTAATCAAAACAGAGGAGCGTCATCTTGACTCGGATGACGCCTCTTTGGTGCTTGAGACTTGGCAAGCTGGTTATCAAAGCATTCAGCAACCAATACCAATAATCAGTAGAATGTATTTTAAGCCATTTCCCAGCCTCATCATCACCACAAATTGCTGCAAACATTAATATCCATTATAACAATAATGGCTTTCACTCCGTGTGGACGGACCCTTAACGTTTACTTACCTCTTGTCAGATCGAGCGGTACGTTCTCTTCCCCGCTGTCATTCCGACCTGTCCAACAGACAACGGGGACATTGTAAGGCAAAACACCTGGCTCATCAGAAATAAAATAAAATAGTGGCATAGAATTTCAAGTTTATAAAGCTTATGTCGGGGTAAATATTTCATGCTTACCTCGCATCCGAAGACTTCGGATAGGACGGCCGCGGATGCTGACCGCCATGTTTCCAGGAACATACACAACACCGGAAACTTCGTGAATTCTCGTGAGAGAATAGGGGATTGGGTTTATCGCGCATTCACTACTTTAGCGCCGCAAATCTCTTGTGCTGCTGGTCTGGTCAGTGGTGGAAATAGTACACAATTGTCATACTTGATTAAAAGTAAAGATATCTTAATAGAAAATGACTCAAGTAAAAATCACCCAGTAAAACACAATTTGATTAAAAGTCTAAAAGTATTTGGTTTTAAATATACTTAAGAATCAAAAGTAAAATGTAATTGCAAAAATATACTGAAGTATCAAAAGTAAAAGTATAAATAATTTCACATTCCTTATATTAAGCAAACCAGACGGATAGCCAGGGACACTCTCCAACACTCAGACATAATTTACAAAGAAGCATTTATGTTTAGTGAGTCCTGAGTAGGCCAGATCAGAGGCAGTAGGGATGACCAGGGATGTTCTCTTGATAAGTGCGTGAATTTGACCATTTTCCTGTTCTGCTAAGCATTCGAAATGTAACGAGTACTTTTGGGTATCAGGAAAAATGTATGAAGTACAAAGTACATTATTTTAGGAATTTAGTGGAGTAAAAGTAAAAGATGTCAAAAATATAAATAGTAAAGTACCGATATCCCCAAAAAACTACTTAAATAGTACTTTAAAGTATTTTTACTTAAGTACTTTACACTACTGGGTCTGGTGAATGTTCTAAGAGTTTATTTGAATGTAAATACCAACAAAAATACACAGTGAATGTTTCACATTCAAAGAGAGACATTTTTCTCAAATCCATTCATTCACATTGCAACCCGGATTGAATAAACGAAACAACCACAGTATAGTCAAGGCACATTTATCTATAGTTATTTCAACACAGTCAAATTACACATTTGATGTCAATTGTTTTTTTCACCAGATAACATTAAGATGACCAGTTGCAGTGTCCATTGCAGAGTTCAGTGCTGTTGTCTCAGTACATTCTGACAAAGAAGTCTCAGTCATTGTCATAAATGCAGTCTGTAAGAAAATAAACAAGTAGTACCAATCACCATGTTTGTAAAATTATTATGCATTGTATTCCAAACACATACAATTAAAAATAAATGTATGTAGGCCTATATTCTTTCATCAGCCTGATTCTGTAAGTAGGCCTATCTTGTCTGCAAACTAATATCTTGAAAGCAGTCCATACAGCTGGCAGCATAATTGTTTAAACAAATTGTTGTACAGTTAGTCACAAATAATGGTAACACTTTATTTTGATAGTATGTAGAGCATCTACAGATGGACCATCTACAGACTATCAGTAACATTTAAACTAACTATCTACTAACCCTAACCCTAGCTCTAACCCTAACCCTTATCCTAACCCTAGCTCTAACCCTAACCCTTATTCTAACCCTAAACTTAACCCTTACCCTAACCCTTACCCTAACCTTAACCTAACCCTAAATGTAACCCTTATCCTAACCCTAAACTTAACCATTACCCTTATTCTAAACCTAACCCTAACCCTAACCGTAACCATAGCAAGCAGTTGCTTATCAACAGATAGTTTGTTGGTAGTATGATAATCTGTAGAGCATCTACAGATGGAAAATCTGGACTATCCTAATAAAGTGTGACCCAAATAATTTCTAGAATGGTTTTGAAACATACTTTCTCCAATGTCGTCATAAATATCTCCACCATCCCTGTTGAAGTAAAATCATATGTCAAAACATTAGCTGTGTGTGGTTGTGTGTGTGTGTGTGTGTGTGTGCGCACGTGTGTGAACGTGTGAATGTTTTGAGTGAGCACATGCATGTGTATTACAACAAACAGAAATAACTCTTGAACTTACTGTGCAACATTGACCATGGACACATAACCAACTAGAAAATAGGAATAAATATAGCAATTAATCGTTTATATTTGGTTGTGAATAATTCATCCACAACAACTGATTTCAACTTACACTTCCCGTCTCTGTTCCTGCCGATCAGTTTGCCATCTGTTGGCTTCACAATGACATCGATCACCTCTCCTGGCTTCAACTGCAGGTCTTTGTTCCCCCATTTCTTACTGGCCAAGGTAGGATCTATGGTAACATCATATAACACCTGGATCTCCCCTTCAAACTGACAGTGGAAGATGTCAACAGTGTTATTACAACTCAAATCATGTAAGTACAATATCAATCTGACCATATAAAAAAGATACATCGATTGATTATCAACATTTCAGAATGTTATCTGCGAATAACTGTGATTCTGTGATTTAAAAATGTTTTTCAATTGTATTTAGGATTTCCACTTTATTCAGATATGAATAGTATGAAACAAGAAGGGAGACAGAAGGGAGACAGTAATGTGCCAGCCTCAACTACAGTCGTGGTCAAACGTTTTGAGAATGACACAAATACTAATTTTCACAAAGTCTGCTGCCTCAGTTTTGATGATGGAAATTTGCATATACTCCAGAATGTCACGAAGAGTGATTTGCCATGAAAATGAACTTAATCCCCAAAAAACATTTCCACTGCATTTCAGCCCTGCCACAAAAGGACCAGCTGCTATCATGTCAGTGATTCTCTCGTTAACACAGGTGAGAGTGTTGACGAGGACAAGGCTGGAGATCACTCTGTCATGCTGATTGAGTTAGAATAACAGACTGGAAGCTTTAAAAGGAGGGTGGTGCTTGAAATCATTGTTCTTCCTCTGTTAACCATGGTTACCTGCAAGGAAACACGTGCCGTCATCATTGCTTTGCACAAAAAGGGCTTCACAGGCAAGGATATTGCTGCTAGTAAGATTGCACCTAAATCGACCATTTATCGGATCATTAAGAACTTCAAGGAGAGAGGTTCAATTGTTGTGAAGAAGGCGTCAGGGCGCCCAAGATAGTCCAGCAAGAGCCAGGACCGTCTCCTAAAGTTGATTCAGCTGCCGGATCGGGGCACCACCAGTGCAGAGCTTGCTCAGGAATAGCAGCAGGCAGGTGTGAGTGCATCTGCACGCACAGTGAGGCGAAGACTTTTGGAGGATGGCCTAGTGTCAAGAAGGGCAGCAAAGAAGCCACTTCTCTCCAGGAAAAACATCAGGGACAGACTGATATTCTGCAAAAGGTACAGGGATTGGACTGCTGAGGACTGGGGTAAAGTCATTTTCTCTGATGAATCCCCTTTCCGATTGTTTGGTGCATCTGGAAAACACCTTGTCCGGAGAAGACAAGGTGAGCGCTACCATCAGTCCTGTGTCATGCCAACAGTAAAGCATCCTGAGAGCATGATGGAGCACCTTGCCATAAGGCAAAAGTGATAACTAAGTGGCTCGGGGAACAAAACATCTACATTTTGGGTCCATGGCCAGGAAACTCCCCAGACCTTAATCCCATTGAGAACTTGTGGTCGATCCTCAAGAGGCGGGTGGAAAAACAAAACCCCACAAATTCTGACAAACTCCAAGCATTGATTATGCAAGAATGGGCTGCCATTAGTCAGGATGTGGCCTAGAAGTTAATTGACAGCATGCCAGGGCGGATTGCAGAGGTCTTGAAAAAGAAGGGTCAACACTGCAAATATTGACTCTTTGCATAAACTTAATGTAATTGTCAATAAAAGTCTTTGACACTTATGGAATGCTTGTAATTATACTTCAGCATACCATAGTAACATCTGACAAAGATATCTCATAACACTGAAGCAGTGAACTTTGTGAAGACCAATATTTGTGTCATTCTCAAAACTTTTGACCACGACTGTACATTATGTCATTATGTTTTCTCCTGTCACAATTAGACATCCTACTTTGAATTTCTTCCTGAATTCCTTTTCCTCTTTCTCAAACTTCTTTTTCTTCTTGGGGTCCATCACCTCTTGCGTTCCCTTAGGTGTCAGCTGAGGGAGACTGAAATGGAGAAACACAAAATGATTTAACTTAGGTATTGATTTCAAGCTCATTTGTGTCTGAACTGACTATTCGAGAGTATTGTTGACCCAACTCTGTCACTGTGACTCTCTTCTCACCTGTTGAGAAGAGGAGGGGTAGGAATGCTCTGGGACTCCACGTCATCATATATCATGTCTATGGACATAAAGACAGACCAATGAAGCAACACACTTCTTTAACTTGATTACACAGTACACACTGTACAGTACAACAAATAGAATGGTGATTTTATTTAAAGAATACTGGGAAATAATTTGACTGGGAAATAACTGGGAAGACTGCTGTTTACTTTCCCAGTGAACAAGTGATCATATCATTACCTCCCTCTATAAACACTGGAGGTGGTTGAGGAGGAAATCTGAGAATGAAGATCAAATGGTTATTGAACAAAAAGATCCAGATGGTGTATTCACTGTATTGAGATTATACATGGGAAAGGTTTCAGGGGTCATTCATAAAGGTTTCAGGGGTCATTCATAAAGGTAAAGGGGTCATTCATAAAGGTTAAGGGGTCATTCATAAAGGTAAAGGGGTCATTCATAAAGGTAAAGGGGTCATTCATAAAGGTAAAGGGGTCATTCATAAAGGTTTCAGGGGTCATTCATAAAGGTAAAGGTAACGGAAAGAAGGGATCAAAATGCTGTCAATGCAACGCTGTTCCAGCATGACTTTTGCAATAATACTTCTGACCACTAGATGTCAGTCAAATACTATGCAACGATGAGGAACACCCGTGAGAGAGAAACTGTATTACGTTGACAAAGATTCCTACTCGCTGCATCAAATATTCACAAAATTACCACATAATTACATAATATACCTGTTTTGAGTCGATCCGTCCACATCATCATAGATATCACCATCCTCAGCTGTCATGAGAAGAGGGAAAATAACAGCATGGAAAAAGGCTCGTTATTGCTATGCGACTGGCTGAGGAACAAGCCATGCTTTGAACGCTGCATACTAGGCCGAAGTCTAGTTGTTTTTTGTAATTTGTTATATTACTGGTCTGTTATGATTTCTGATGAAATATAGATAATATCAATATAAGACTTACCTTGTTGGACCTTGATCCCACTGGAGAAAAAAAAAGTGAGACTATTGAAGCATAGACACCAACGGGTCACAATGACACATCACATAGACAACAAAGTAACCAACATTTCAAAGCTCTAACATTTAACATTTTTTTTGTATTTTACCTGCAGGCGTTGTCCTGGATGGCTACGTCATCATAAACCTCAGGGTTTCCCTCAGACTCGTTAGATAGGGGTTCTTTCTTCTGCTCCTTTATAAGGTCATAGTCAATGCCCACTGACTCAGTCCTTACATAGCCATCTACAACACAGCAAGGAGGAGGAGGCAGTGAGAACAGGAAGAGAGAGGGTGCTGTGTGTGTGTGTTTATATGTGTGCATTTACTGTATGTGTATACACTTACAGTTTCCCTCATTGTTCCTGGCCAGCCAACGTCCTTCTGGGTTGTCAGTGATGCGTATGATATCTATAGTCTCTCCCTGCGTTAGTGGCAGGTCAGTCTTTCCTCCTTTACAATCCGACCGAGCCTTGGCTTTGTGAATCACCTGAATCGGCCCTGAGAGCTACAAACAGGGATATGTGTTACTCCTCTACACATGGTTGTAATAGATATAAATCCAGATTTATAAACTGTTGGTTCGAGCCCTGAATGCTGATTGGCTAAAAGCTGTGGTATATACCACGGGTATGAAAATACATTTATTTTTACTGCTCTAATTATGTTGGTAACCAGTTTATAATAGCAATAAGGCACCTCGGGGGTTTGTGATATATGGCTAATATATAATGGCTAAGGGCTGTATCCAGGCACTCCGCGTTGCATCGTGCATAAGAACAGCCCTTAGCCATGGTATATTGGCCATATACCACACCCCCTCGGGCCTTATTACTTAAATATACATACAGTGGGGGGAAAAAGTATTTAGTCAGCCACCAATTGTGCAAGTTCTCCCACTTAAAAAGATGAGAGAGGCCTGTAATTTTCATCATAGGTACACGTCAACTATGATAGACAAATTGAGAAAATAAAATCCAGAAAATCACATTGTAGGATTTTTTATGAATTTATTTGTAAATTATGGTGGAAAATAAGTATTTGGTCACCTACAAACAAGCAAGATTTCTGGCTCTCACAGACCTGTAACTTCTTCTTTAAGAGGCTCCTCTGTCCTCCACTCGTTACCTGTATTAATGGCACCTGTTTGAACTTGTTATCAGTCTAAAAGACACCTGTCCACAACCTCAAACAGTCACACTCCAAACTCCACTATGGCCAAGACCAAAGAGCTGTCAAAGGACAACATAAACAAAATTGTAGACCTGCACCAGGCTGGGAAGACTGAATCTGCAATAGGTAAGCAGCTTGGTTTGAAGAAATCAACTGTGGGAGCAATTATTAGGAAATGGAAGACATACAAGACCACTGATAATCTCCCTCGATCTGGGGCTCCACGCAAGATCTCACCCCGTGGGGTCAAAATGATCACAAGAACGGTGAGCAAAAATCCCAGAACCACACGGGGGGACCTAGTGAAAGGATATTGCTGCTAGTAAGATTGCACCTAAATCGACCATTTATCGGATCATCAAGAACTTCAAGGAGAGAGGTTCAATTGTTGTGAAGGCGGTGTCAGGGCGCCCAAGAAAGTCCAGCAAGAGCCAGGACCGTCTCCTAAAGTTGATTCAGCTGCCGGATCGGGGCACCACCAGTGCAGAGCTTGCTCAGGAATAGCAGCAGGCAGGTGTGAGGCGAATACTTTTGGAGGATGGCCTAGTGTCAAGAAGGGCAGCAAAGAAGCCACTTCTCTCCAGGAAAAACATCAGGGACAGACTGATATTCTGCAAAAGGTACAGGGATTGGACTGCTGAGGACTGGGGTAAAGTCATTTTCTCTGATGAATCCCCTTTCCGATTGTTTGGGGCATCCGGAAAACACCTTGTCCGGAGAAGACAAGGTGAGCGCTACCATCAGTCCTGTGTCATGCCAACAGTAAAGCATCCTGAGAGCATGATGGAGCACCTTGCCATAAGGCAAAAGTGATAACTAAGTGGCTCGGGGAACAAAACATCTACATTTTGGGTCCATGGCCAGGAAACTCCCCAGACCTTAATCCCATTGAGAACCTGTGGTCGATCCTCAAGAGGGGGGTGGAAAAACAAAACCCCACAAATTCTGACAAACTCCAAGCATTGATTATGCAAGAATGGGCTGCCATTAGTGAGGATGTGGCCTAGAAGTTAATTGACAGTATGCCAGGGCGGATTGCAGAGGTCTTGAAAAAGAAGGGTCAACACAGCAAATATTGACTATTTGCATAAACTTAATGTAATTGTCAATAAAAGCCTTTGACACTTATGGAATGCTTGTAATCATACTTCAGCATACCATAGTAACATCTGACAAAGATATCTCATAACACTGAAGCAGTGAACTTTCTGAAGACCAATACTAATGTCATTCTCAAAACTTTTGACCACGACTGTACATTATGTCATTGTTTTCTCCTGTCACAATTAGACATCTTACTTTGAATTTCTTCCTGATTTCCTTTTCCTCTTTCTCAAACTTCTTTTTCTTCTTGGGGTCCATCACCTCTTGCGTTCCCTTAGGTGTCAGCTGAGGGAGACTGAAATGGAGAAACACAAAATGATTTAACTTAGGTATTGATTTCAAGCTCATTTGTGTCTGAACTGACTATTCGAGAGTATTGTTGACCCAACTCTGTCACTGTGACTCTCTTCTCACCTGTTGAGAAGAGGAGGGGTAGGAATGCTCTGGGACTCCACGTCATCATATATCATGTCTATGGACATAAAGACAGACCAATGAAGCAACACACTTCTTTAACTTTATTACAGAGTACACACTGTACAGTAAAACAAATAGAATGGTGATTTTATTTAAAGAATACTGGGAAATAATTTGACTGGGAAATAACTGGGAAGACTGCTGTTTACTTTCCCAGTGAACAAGTGATCATATCATTACCTCCCTCTATAAACACTGGAGTTGGTTGAGGAGGAAATCTGAGAATGAAGATCAAACGGTTATTGAACAAAAAGATCCAGATGGTGTATTCACTGTATTGAGATTATACATGGGAAAGGTTTCAGGGGTCATTCATAAAGGTTTCAGGGGTCATTCATAAAGGTTTCAGGGGTCATTCATAAAGCTTTCAGGGGTCATTCATAAAGGTAAAGGGGTCATTCATAAAGGTTTCAGGGGTCATTCATAAAGGTAAAGGGGTCATTCATAAAGGTTTCAGGGGTCATTCATAAAGGTAAAGGGGTCATTCATAAAGGTAAAGGGGTCATTCATAAAGGTAAAGGTAAAGGAAAGAAGGGATCAAAATGCTGTCAATGCAACGCTGTTCCAGCATGACTTTATGCAATAATACTTCTGACCACTAGATGTCAGTCAAATACTATGCAACGATGAGGAACACCCGTGAGAGAGAAACTGTATTACGTTGACAAAGATTCCTACTCGCTGCATCAAATATTCACAAAATTACCACATAATTACATAATATACCTGTTTTGAGTCGATCCGTCCACATCATCATAGATATCACCATCCTCAGCTGTCATGAGGAGAGGGAAAATAACAGCATGGAAAAAGGCTCGTTATTGCTATGCGACTGGCTGAGGAACAAGCCATGCTTTGAACGCTGCATACTAGGCCGAAGTCTAGTTGTTTTTTGTAATTTGTTATATTACTGGTCTGTTATGATTTCTGATGAAATATAGATAATATCAATATAAGACTTACCTTGTTGGACCTTGATCCCACTGGAGAAAAAAAAAGTGAGACTATTGAAGCATAGACACCAACGGGTCACAATGACACATCACATAGACAACAAAGTAACCAACATTTCAAAGCTCTAACATTTAACTTCTTTTTTGTATTTTACCTGCAGGCGTTGTCCTGGATGGCTACGTCATCATAAACCTCAGGGTTTCCCTCAGACTCGTTAGATAGGGGTTCTTTCTTCTGCTCCTTTATAAGGTCATAGTCAATGCCCACTGACTCAGTCCTTACATAGCCATCTACAACACAGCAAGGAGGAGGAGGCAGTGAGAACAGGAAGAGAGAGGGTGCTGTGTGTGTGTGTTTATATGTGTGCATTTACTGTATGTGTATACACTTACAGTTTCCCTCATTGTTCCTGGCCAGCCAACGTCCTTCTGGGTTGTCAGTGATGCGTATGATATCTATAGTCTCTCCCTGCGTTAGTGGCAGGTCAGTCTTTCCTCCTTTACAATCCGACCGAGCCTTGGCTTTGTGAATCACCTGAATCGGCCCTGAGAGCTACAAACAGGGATATGTGTTACTCCTCTACACATGGTTGTAATAGATATAAATCCAGATTTATAAACTGGGTGGTTCGAGCCCTGAATGCTGATTGGCTAAAACCTGTGGTATATACCACGGGTATGAAAATACATTTATTTTTACTGCTCTAATTATGTTGGTAACCAGTTTATAATAGCAATAATGCACCTCGGGGGTTTGTGATATATGGCCAATATACCTCGGCTAAGGGCTGTATCCAGGCACTCCGCGTTGCATCGTGCATAAGAACAGCCCTTAGCCATGGTATATTGGCCATATACCACACCCCCTCGGGCCTTATTACTTAAATATACATACAGTGGGGGAAAAAAAGTATTTAGTCAGCCACCAATTGTGCAAGTTCTCCCACTTAAAAAGATGAGAGAGGCCTGTAATTTTCATCATAGGTACACGTCAACTATGACAGACAAATTGAGAAAATAAAATCCAGAAAATCACATTGTAGGATTTTTAATGAATTTATTTGTAAATTATGGTGGAAAATAAGTATTTGGTCACCTACAAACAAGCAAGATTTCTGGCTCTCACAGACCTGTAACTTCTTCTTTAAGAGGCTCCTCTGTCCTCCACTCGTTACCTGTATTAATGGCACCTGTTTGAACTTGTTATCAGTATAAAAGACACCTGTCCACAACCTCAAACAGTCACACTCCAAACTCCACTATGGCCAAGACCAAAGAGCTGTCAAAGGACAACAGAAACAAAATTGTAGACCTGCACCAGGCTGGGAAGACTGAATCTGCAATAGGTAAGCAGCTTGGTTTGAAGAAATCAACTGTGGGAGCAATTATTAGGAAATGGAAGACATACAAGACCACTGATAATCTCCCTCGATCTGGGGCTCCACGCAAGATCTCACCCCGTGGGGTCAAAATGATCACAAGAACGGTGAGCAAAAATCCCAGAACCACATGGGGGGACCTAGTGAATGACCTGCAGAGAGCTGGGACCAAAGTAACAAAGCCTACCATCAGTAACACACTACGCCGCCAGGGACTCAAATCCTGCAGTGCAAGACGTGTCCCCCTGCTTAAGCCAGTACATGTCCAGGCCCGTCTGATGTTTGCTAGAGTGCATTTGGATGATCCAGAAGAGGATTGGGAGAATGTCAGATGAAACCAAAATAGAACTTTTTGGTAAAAACTCAACTCGTCGTGTTTGGAGGACAAAGAATGCTGAGTTGCATCCAAAGAACACCATACCTACTGTGAAGCATGGGGGTGGAAACATCATGCTATGGGGCTGTTTTTCTGCAAAGGGACCAGGACGACTGATCCGTGTAAAGGAAAGAATGAATGGGGCCATGTATCGTGAGATTTTGAGTGAAAACCTCCTTCCATCAGCAAGGGCATTGAAGATGAAACGTGGCTGGGTCTTTCAGCATGACAATGATCCCAAACACACCACCCGGGCAACGAAGGAGTGGCTTCGTAAGAAGCATTTCAAGGTCCTGGAGTGGCCTAGCCAGTCTCCAGATCTCAACCCCATAGAAAATCTTTGGAGGGAGTTGAAAGTCCGTGTTGCCCAGCGACAGCCCCAAAACATCACTGCTCTAGAGGAGATCTGCATGGAGGAATGGGCCAAAATACCAGCAACAGTGTGTGAAAACCTTGTGAAGACTTACAGAAAACGTTTGACCTGTGTCATTGCCAACAAAGGGTATATAACAAAGTATTGAGAAACTTTTGTTATTGACCAAATACTTATTTTCCACCATAATTTGCAAATAAATTCATTACAAATCCTACAATGTGATTTTCTGGATTTTCTTTTCTCATTTTGTCTGTCATAGTTGATGTGTACCTATGATGAAAATTACAGGCCTCTCTCATCTTTTTAAGTGGGAGAACTTGCACAATTGGTGGCTGACTTAATACTTCCCCCAGTGTATCCTGTATCCTGTATCCTGTATCCTGTATCCTGTGTACCTTGTACTTTTTCTTTGCCTCTTGCTCCTTCTTCTCTCTGGCTTTCTGCATTTTTTTCTCCTGCTCTAGTCGTCTCTTCTCCTCTTTGTCGCTCTTCTTCTCTTGTCCTTTCATTTCTTTCGATCCTTTAGCCTCCTTTTCAATCCTGTCGTGAAAGAGAGAGAGAGTAAATGTTGGATAAAGAATTATACTGGGGTTGAGAATCAAACATATAGACGATAATACTACAGAGGTGTCACTATTATATATAACATCGTTTTACATTCTATTCAGACCCCTCTCACCATCTCTCCTCTAAGTCTTCATACATCTCTTCATCACTCAACTCCACCTGTTAGAGGATGGGACATACAATATTACAATCAAGCTTTAAAGTGAAGCTTCAAACTAACAGAAATGATTGTTATCAAAGACAGATTACGCTTGTTGCAGAGATTTGGACTGTACACATACTGTATCTAAATATGTAAATGACCATTCAAACAAATGTTCAGTCAGAAGTGGCTTACTGAAGCTACATACTGCAAGGGTCTAGTTATCTCTCTTAACCACTTCCTCTTTTCTCCTAGCATGTTATTTTTACTGCTACATATGTCACACACTTTAACACCAATCATGTGCCCTGTCTAAATGCATGCTATGTACAGTGCAGTAACTTGAACTAGTTGTACTGTTTCGAGGCTCCATATTACCGGTTTCAGGCAAATCAGATATTGTACCTCAATTTTCAGGTTGGGATGTCCTGTAATGAAAACCAAACAAACATATTCATCATTTTCAGTTAAATGTTGATTATTAACATAATTTTTTATGTTGTAGCTTACATCCACAACATAGAGTATTAAACACATTTTTATCTCTTAATTTGAACCAATCATCTTTGTTCCACCAAATGATTTAGGGCCTAGCTACGTACAGTGAGGGAAAAAAGTATTTGATCCCCTGCTGATTTTGTACGTTTGCCCACTGACAAAGAAATGATCAGTCTATAATTTTAATGGTAGGTTTATTTGAACAGTGAGAGATAGAAAAATAACAAACAAATCCAGAAAAACGCATGTCAAAAATGTTATAAATTGATTTGCATTTTAATGAGGGAAATAAGTATTTGACCCCCTCTCAATCAGAAAGATGTCTGGCTCCCAGGTGTCTTTTATACAGGTAACGAGCTGAGATTAGGAGCACACTCTTAAAAGGAGTGATTCTATTCTCAGCTTGTTACCTGTATAAAAGACACCTGTCCACAGAAGCAATCAATCAATCAGATTCCAAACTCTCCACCATGGCCAAGACCAAAGAGCTCTCCAAGGATGTCAGGGACAAGATTGTAGACCTACACATGGCTGGAATGGGCTACAAGACCATCGCCAAGCAGCTTGGTGAGAAGGTGACAACAGTTGGTGCGATTATTCATAAATGAAAGAAACACAAAAGAACTGTCAATCTCCCTTGGCCTGGGGCTCCATGCAAGATCTCACCTCGTGGAGTTGCAATGATCATGAGAACGGAGAGAAATCAGCCCAGAACTACACGGGAGGATCTTGTCAATGATCTCAAGGCAGCTGGGACCATAGTCACCAAGAAAACAATTGGTAACACACTACGCCGTGAAGGACTGAAAGGTCCCCCTGCTCAAGAAAGCACATATACAGTGGGGAGAACAACTATTTGATACACTGCCGATTTTGCAGGTTTTCCTACTTACAAAGCATGTAGAGGTCTGTAATTTTTATCATAGGTACACTTCAACTGTGAGAGGCGGAATCTAAAACAAAAATCCAGAAAATCACATTGTATGATTTTTAAGTAATTAATTTGCATTTTATTGCATGACATAAGTATTTGATCATCTAACAAACAGTAAGAATTCCGGCTCTCACAGACCTGTTAGTTTTTCTTTAAGAAGCCCTCCTGTTCTCCACTCATTACCTGTATTAACTGCACCTGTTTGAACTCGTTACCTGTATAAAAGACACCTGTCCACACACTCAATCAAACAGACTCCAACCTCTCCACAATGGCCAAGACCAGAGAGCTGTGTAAGGACATCAGGGATACAATTGTAGACCTGCACAAGGCTGGGATGGGCTACAGGACAATAGGCAAGCAGCTTGGTGAGAAGGCAACAACTGTTGGCGCAATTATTAGAAAATGGAAGAAGTTCAAGATGACGGTCAATCACCCTCGGTCTGGGGCTCCATGCAAGATCTCACCTCGTAGGGCATCAATGATCATGAGGAAGGTGAGGGATCAGCCCAGAACTACACGGCAGGACCTGGTCAATGACCTGAAGAGAGCTGGGACCACAGTCTCAAAGAAAACCATTAGTAACACACTACGCCGTCATGGATTAAAATCCTGCAGCGCATGCAAGGTCCCCCTGCTCAAGCCAGCGCATGTCCAGGCCCAGTCTAAAGTTTGCCAATGACCATCTGGATGATCCAGAGGAGGAATGGGAGAAGGTCATGTGGTCTGATGAGACAAAAACTCCACTCGCCGTGTTTGGACGAAGAAGAAGGATGAGTACAATCCCAAGAACACCATCCCAACCTTGAAGCATGGAGGTGGAAACATCATTCTTTGGGGATGCTTTTCTGCAAAGGGGACAGGACGACTGCACCGTATTGAGGGGAGGATGGATGGGGCCATGTATCGCGAGATCTTGGCCAACAACCTCCTTCCCTCAGTAAGAGCATTGAAGATGGGTCGTGGCTGGGTCTTCCAGCATGACAACGACCTGAAACACACAGCCAGGGCAACTAAGGAGTGGCTCCGTAAGAAGCATCTCAAGGTCCTGGAGTGGCCTAGCCAGTCTCCAGACCTGAACCCAATAGAAAATCTTTGGAGGGAGCTGAAAGTCCGTATTGCCCAGCGACAGCCCAGAAACCTGAAGGACCTGGAGAAGGTCTGTATGGAGGAGTGGGCCAAAATCCCTGCTGCAGTGTGTGCAAACCTGGTCAAGACCTACAGGAAACGTATGATCTCTGTAATTGCAAACAAAGGTTTCTGTACCAAATATTAAGTTCTGCTTTTCTGATGTATCAAATACTTATGTCATGCAATAAAATGCAAATTAATTACTTTAAAATCATACAATGTGATTTTCTGGATTTTTGTTTTAGATTCCGTCTCTCACAGTTGAAGTGTACCTATGATAAAAATGACAGACCTCTACATGCTTTGTAAGTAGGAAAACCTGAAAAATCGGCAGTGTATCAAATACTTGTTCTCCCCACTGTACATGCCCGTCTGAAGTTTACCAATGAACATCTGAATGATTCAGAGGAGAACTGGGTGAAAGTGTTGTGGTCAGATGAGACCAAAATCGAGCTCTTTGGCATCAACTCAACTCGCCGTGTTTGGAGGAGGAGGAATGCTGCCTATGACCCCAAGAACACCATCCCCACCGTCAAACGTGGAGGTGGAAACATTATGCTTTGGGGGTGTTTTTCTGCTAAGGGGACAGGACAACTTCACCGCATCAAAGGGACGATGGACGGCGCCATGTACCGTCAAATCTTGGGTGAGAATCTCCTTCCCTCAGCCAGGGCATTGAAAATGGGTCGTGGATGGGTATTCCAGCATGACAATGACCCAAAACACACGGCCAAGGCAACAAAGGAGTGGTTCAAGAAGAAGCACATTAAAGTCCTGGAGTGGCCTAGCCAGTCTCCAGACCTTAATCCCATAGAAAATCTGTGGAGGGAGCTGAAGGTTCGAGTTGCCAAACGTCAGCCTCGAAAATGTAATGACTTGGAGAAGATCTGCAAAGAGGAGTGGGACAAAATCCCTCCTGAGATGTGTGCAAACCTGGTGGCCAACTACAAGAAACGTCTGACCTCTGTGATTGCCAACAAGGGTTTTGCCACCAAGTACTAAGTCATATTTTGCAGAGGGGTCAAATACTTATTTCCCTCATTAAAATGCAAATCAATTTATAAATTTTTTTACATGCGTTTTTCTGGATTTTTTGTTGTTGTTATTCTGTCTCTCACTGTTCAAATAAACCTACCATTAAAATTATAGACTGATCATTTCTTTGTCAGTGGGCAAACGTACAAAATCAGCAGGGGATCAAATACTTTTTTCCCTCACTGTATATTATTCACATTGCCCCGTAGCACTCTTATAGGTTGTGTAAGAATGGAAGTGGCACCTCCAGGGGGAAGGGGTGCAGGGAGATTCATGACCCCAACGTCGTCATAGCTCTCCTCCTGGTCGGCCTGGATTCTGATCACCATTCATGTAAGACACACACACACACACACAATATATATATAATATATATACAAATATAAAGGGGGGGGGGGGGGGGGGGTGAGACCAAGTCAAGACAAAAACCGGGAGGGGGAAGAGAGGTCCGAGACCAGAAAAATGTGAGTCCAATTCAAGACAATGACTGTAATTTTGTCAAATCGTCACCATAATAAGAGTTCAAAATATCCAGTATTTCTGTGTTCATATTTCAGAAGAACATATGGATTCTTTAGACATTCAGAATGGTGAAAAAAAACATTCTGAGGGCAAATAGAGACACTTACACATTTTTACTAACTCAAAGACAGTGGGGAACAACGAAAGTTTGGGGTCACTTAGAAATGTCCTTGTTTTCCATGAAAACATACATGAAATTAGTTTGAATAGGAAATATAGCAAAATGAATCAGAAATGTAGTCATTGACAAGGTTAGAAATAATTATTTTTAATTGAAATAATAATTGTGTCCTTCAAACTTTGCTTTCGTCAAAGAATCCTCCATTTGCAGAAATTACAGCCTTGCAGACCTTTGGCATTCTAGTTATCAATTTGTTGAGGTAATCTGAAGAGATTTCATCCCATGCTTCCTGAAGCGCCTCCCATAAGTTGGAATGGTTTGATGGGCACTTCTTACGTACCATACGGTCAAGCTGCTCCCACAATAGCTCAATAGGGTTGAGATCCGGTGACTGTGCTGGCCACTCCATTTTAGACATTATTGCATAGTTTAGAGCTGTGTTTTGGGTCATTGTCCTGTTGTAGGAGGAAATTGACTCCAATCAAGCGCCGTCCACAGGGTATGGCATGGATTTGCAAAATGGAGTGATAGCCTTCCTTCTTCAAGATCCATTTTACCCTGTACAAAACTCCCACTTTATCACCACCAAAGCATCCCCAGACCATCACATTGCCTCCACCATGCTTGACAGATGGCATCAAGCACTCCTCCAAGCATCTTTTCATTTGGTCTCTGTCTCACAAATGTTCTTCTTTGTGATCCGAACACCTCAAACTTCGATTCGTCTGTCCATTACACTTTTTTCCAATCTTCCTCTGTCCAGTGTTCTTTTGCCCATCTTAATCTTTTATTTTTATTGGCCAGTCTGAGATATGGCTTTTTCTTTGCAAATCTGCCTAGAAGGTCAGCATCCCGGAGTCGCCTCTTCACTGTTGACGTTGAGACTGGTGTTTTGCGTGTACTATTTAATGAAGCTGCCAGTTGAGGACCTGTGAGGCGTCTGTTTCTCAAACTAGACACTCTAATGTATTTGTCCTCTTGCTCAGTTGTGCACCGGGGCCTCCCACTCCTCTTTCTATTCTGGTTAGAGCCAGTTTGTGCTGTTCTGTGAAGGGAGTAGTACACAGCATTGTACGAGATCTTCAGTTTCTTGGCAATTTCTCGCATGGAATAGCCTTCATTTCTCAGAACAATAGACTGACGAGTTTCAGAAGAAAGTTCTTTGTTTCTGGCCATTTTGAGCCTGTAATCAAACCCACAATTGCTGATACTTAACTAGTCTCAAGAAGGCCCATTTTTTTGCTTCTTTAATCAGCACAACAGTTTTCAGCTGTGCTAACATAATTGCAAACGGGTTTTCTAATGATCAATTAGCCTTTTAAAATGATAAACTTGGATTAGCAAATACAACGTGCCATTGGAACACAGGACTGATGGTTGCTGATAATGGGCCTCTGTACGCCTATGTAGATATTCCATTAAAAATCAGTTGTTTCCAGCTACAATAGCCATTTACAACATTAACAATGTCTACACTGTATTTCTGATCAATTTGATGTTATTTTAATGGACAAAAAAAATTGCTTTTCTTTCGAAAAAAACAAGGACATTTCTAAGTGACCCCAAACTTTTGAAAGGTAGTGTATATATTATTATTTTCAATGATGTTCTAACTTAATCTCTTCTGTTTTTGTTAGAAAGGAAAAGGTTCAAACTGAAGAGAAAAAAATATCCAATCAGTATTTTTCTTTGGTGGTCTCTGGTAAGATAAATCAAGCTTGCTAAGTTAGCCACAGGCTAGGCCATCAGAAACTTGATAGAAGGCATCTGCCATTCAACTGTATTAGGGCAACATTTTGGAGTGACAGTGGAATCAACCAATCACATTGACTTGTAATGGCCAACAGGTCACTGTGCAATAGCAAGCAGTAGTCTTCCCATGGTCTAGCTAGCTAGCTTTTGTTGTAGTGGATGTTGTTGCTGATTTGTTAGCTTCTCCCTATTCAAGAATAACTTTCAAATGATCATCATCTGGTGTAACTGTGTTTTTTATTGCAGCTCGCATGCTGTTTTCCTATAGATTTTTCAGATTTTCACTCTCAAAATCACACTTAAAAAAATTTAAACAACAAAAATGTGATGTTCTAAGTCCACAACAATGCTTAAACCACATCAGGAGACCATTTTTTAGGTCTGGGAAAAAATCTAGAAAATATATTTTTGGAGGATGTAGTTGCCCTTTAATTCAATTGAGCAAAACAAATGCTCTCCCAATAGATACAAATCAGCATTATATCATTCTGTCAGGTAAGCCCAGGTAAGCCTACATTGCAGTCAACATTTAATTGGGAAAGTTTTTTGGGAAAGCCTTTAGACATGTTCATGCAAACAGCGCATGATGACTGGATTGCACATCGCAAATAGCCTACTAACCAAGACTAATGACCAAACTTTTTCAATACCTGGTTTGCATACCCATTTTTACTTTGGTTTGCATTTACTGGTATATATAATAAATTGAAACAGCTACCGATGTCATTCTTCTGTGAGCTGCACCATCAAAACCAGTTCTTGCTGCCAGCCCTTGCTGCCTGCAGATGATATTCCGCTAAACCTAGGCTATATGTGCTGCGCTCATGTTAATATATTTCACGTGCAGTACATCATGAATAAGTAGTATACCTCCACTACACTACTTTGATACGCAACAGAAGGGATTAAGAAGTGTGTATAGGCAATGCCCACTGAAAATAAAGTGTGTATAGGACGTATACCGGCGTATAGCCTCCACTACACCACTGACCCTTTGTGTTTTACAAAAAGTGCACTTGAGTGCGCTAGTATTACGGTTGCTGTCCTTTCCGCATCACGAGCCTGTCACACACTGAAGGCCTAAATCCAATAGGTTCGCCACTGCGCAAACATGTCTGTAATAGATATAAAGACTGTTACAATTTCACTCTGTCTCCACTTTACTAATAGTGAGCGCGCAACTTTACAACAATTTCCCCCCCTCTTCACTACCAGCAAGTCAAGGAAATTCGGAAAAAGTTTGAGGATTTTTAAAAATGAAAGTAACGGTCAGTAATATTACGAGTAAAGTTGGAATCACAGATTTCAATAGTTCATAAGATATTAATGTTCCAAAAAGGAGTGTATATATTTGGACTGGCGAAGCGCTTTTATGGTTGACTGAATGGAAGCTGATCATTATGAGTTTTTTTACTCCGCTAGTCTCGGCTGGTCTCTTGAAGAAATTAGGAGTCCTCACTATCCGAGACCGAGTAAAAATGTATCGGACAAGACGGAGACACTTGGGGGCTGCAGGGGTGTGTGGTAGGCCTACGGTGGTTAACGTTTGTATGCTATAAGGAGTTTCTTCTTCAATCTATGATTCTCATAAGCAAAGTATTGTACTTACCTAACTGCAGGGGCCTTAGAGAGTAGGCAGGGGGTCAAAGGTGCAGGGAATTTGCTGGTGTGGGGAGCAAGAGGAGAGGGAGGAGGCCCAGCTGTACTCAACTCTGGACCTGTCACACAGAACAACAAAGCAATAGAACCATGCTTGTTGTGCATGTTTTCTCCTAATGGTTAAGGTTACAATTTGAGGAGGGTAAGCTGATCCTAGATCTGTGCCTAATAGCTTCTTTTGTCATTCTTTCTTTACGAGACATGATGACATATTTAAGGAAGAGGACTGGGTCATGTGACCTAACGACATGTCAACTAGACACAATAATTAGGTTTTTATGTATTTTGGATGTACATAGAGGAAAGGAGAAGAGATCTCACCATCAGTCCGAAACCTCTGTAAGGTAACATGGGGAGGCCTGTTGGGTTTCAGAGGAGGGTCCCCCAGGGAAAATACATTAGGCAGGGGTTTCCTCTTAGGGGCCGAGGGATCATCATTCTCTTCATGAGGGACCAGTTCATCCCTCGCTCCAGCTTGCGCTGTCAGGAAGTTGGGTTCCAGGGTGGGAGGAGGTTGGGGAGGCATGCAGTTGCTAGAGTTCAAAGTTTGGAGGCTTGTTTCACTTCCCTGTCTTGTGAGGGAGTTCTGTTGAGCCACGGGTGGAAGGGATTTGAAGATGGAGAGCTGGGGCAATTTGGGGATGGATGGTGTTGGATGTTCCTTTAGGGTCCCTTGGTCAAGGTTGGACTGCAGTGATGAGATGGAGATCTTTGATTTGAGGGCTATGGGCAGTTTAGGGACTGTAGGGGTGTTTTCTGACTCACTGTCCTTTACCCACGGGGGTTTGGCTGAGCCTGAGGCCGGAGCCGGTTGGACCTCGTTGTCCAGAAAGGCTGTGTTGACAGGACACCTTTTCAGTGGAGGTCTGGTGAAAGTGGACTCAGGCCCTGAAGACGCTGTGTCCCTGATGGTCTCCACAGGCCTGAGTTTGAAGGACTGGGGTTTGGGGAACGAGGTTCCTACATCTTCTCTGGCTGCGGTCTCACATTTCTTCTGAAACACAGGCTTAGGTGCAGGGGATTTAGTGGTGGTCAGGGCTCCTCCTGATCGGCTCTTCTCCAGGGCAGCTAGCTTGGCTAAGAGAGGGGAACTAGTGGAGTGGGATACCAGTTTAGGGTGAACCCCTCCCTCCATGTGGCTGCCTCCTCCTGCGTTGAAGTGAGCCATGAGAGCCCTGACGTTTGATCTTTCCTCCTGGGTAGAAATATTGTGAGAGAATGACATACATTGTGTCATTTTGGAGTAACTTTGATTGTAAATAAAAATAGAAGATGTTTCTGAACAATTCTACATTCATGTGGATGCTACCATTATTACGGAAAATCATGAATTAATCATAAATAATGATGATAATACCCCAAAAAATCATGAATAAAGATCGTACCTCCCAAAAAAGCTAACCTCTCAACATTACCAATACCAGGGGAGGTTAGCATCTTCTGAGGGGTATGATCTTTGTGCCTCTGTACCTTTCTCACTCATCATTATTCACCATTCATTACATTTTACATTTTAGTCATTTAGCAGACGCTCTTATCCAGAGCGACTGCATACATTTTTCATACTGGCCCCCCGTGGGAATCGAACCCACAACCCTGGCGTTGCAAACGCCATGCTCTACCAACTGAGCTACACTGGGCCTGTTCATTCATGATTATCCATAATCATGGTAGCATCCACATTAATTTAGAATTGTTCAGAAACATATTCTATTCTTATTTACAATAAAAGTGACTCCAAAATTAGACAATACATTATTCACCATTCCGTTCCTATTGGGCACAAAATAATCTGAAACACAACCAAAACAAACAGCAAATGCATCCAACAAATGTGTAGTCACAAGCTTGATGTACAGTGGGGAAAAAAAGTATTTAGTCAGCCACCAATTGTGCAAGTTCTCCCACTTAAAAAGATGAGAGAGGCCTGTAATTTTCATCATAGGTACACGTCAACTATGACAGACAAATAGAGATTTTTTTTCCAGAAAATCACATTGTAGGATTTTTAATGAATTTATTTGCAAATTATGGTGGAAAATAAGTATTTGGTCACCTACAAACAAGCAAGCTTTCTGGCTCTCACAGACCTGTAACTTCTTCTTTAAGAGGCTCCTCTGTCCTCCACTCGTTACCTGTATTAATGGCACCTGTTTGAACTTGATATCAGTATAAAAGACACCTGTCCACAACCTCAAACAGTCACACTCCAAACTCCACTATGGCCAAGACCAAAGAGCTGTCAAAGGACACCAGAAACAAAATTGTAGACCTGCACCAGGCTGGGAAGACTGAATCTGCAATAGGTAAGCAGCTTGGTTTGAAGAAATCAACTGTGGGAGCAATTATTAGGAAATGGAAGACATACAAGACCACTGATAATCTCCCTCGATCTGGGGCTCCACGCAAGATCTCACCCCGTGGGGTCAAAATGATCACAAGAACGGTGAGCAAAAATCCCAGAACCACATGGGGGGACCTAGTGAATGACCTGCAGAGAGCTGGGACCAAAGTAACAAAGCCTACCATCAGTAACACACTACGCCGCCAGGGACTCAAATCCTGCAGTGCCAGACGTGTCCCCCTGCTTAAGCCAGTACATGTCCAGGCCCGTCTGATGTTTGCTAGAGTGCATTTGGATGATCCAGAAGAGGATTGGGAGAATGTCAGATGAAACCAAAATAGAACTTTTTGGTAAAAACTCAACTCGTCGTGTTTGGAGGACAAAGAATGCTGAGTTGCATCCAAAGAACACCATACCTACTGTGAAGCATGGGGGTGGAAACATCATGCTTTGGGGCTGTTTTTCTGCAAAGGGACCAGGACGACTGATCCGTGTAAAGGAAAGAATGAATGGGGCCATGTATCGTGAGATTTTGAGTGAAAACCTCCTTCCATCAGCAAGGGCATTGAAGATGAAACGTGGCTGGGTCTTTCAGCATGACAATGATCCCAAACACACCACCCGGGCAACGAAGGAGTGGCTTCGTAAGAAGCATTTCAAGGTCCTGGAGTGGCCTAGCCAGTCTCCAGATCTCAACCCCATAGAAAATCTTTGGAGGGAGTTGAAAGTCCGTGTTGCCCAGCGACAGCCCCAAAACATCACTGCTCTAGAGGAGATCTGCATGGAGGAATGGGCCAAAATACCAGCAACAGTGTGTGAAAACCTTGTGAAGACTTACAGAAAACGTTTGACCTGTGTCATTGCCAACAAAGGGTATATAACAAAGTATTGAGAAACTTTTGTTATTGACCAAATACTTATTTTCCACCATAATTTGCAAATAAATTCATTACAAATCCTACAATGTGATTTTCTGGATTTTTTTTTCTCAATTTGTCTGTCATAGTTGACGTGTACCTATGATGAAAATTACAGGCCTCTCTCATCTTTTTAAGTGGGAGAACTTGCACAATTGGTGGCTGACTAAATACTTTTTTCCCCACTGTAGTCATTGCATGCTAGGAATATCGGACCAAATACTAAACTTTTGACTACTTTAATACACTATGAGTGAATTTGTCCGAGTACTCATGATGACTTCTTCAAAATGGCGGGGAGCAGACACATAAAGTCCTTTCATTTCTCAATGATAAATCAGATATGTATGAATTCATGAAAATCCCCTCAATTAAAAGGTGACGTTCTGTACTGTCACCTCCTATGAAACATTTGATCTCAAATCCACAATGCTGGAGTATAGAGTCATATTTAGACATTTTAGCTTCACTGTCCAAATAAATACGTAAGGGAGTGTATACTGTATTACATTGATCTCAATGGCATATATGGGCTTCCTCTCCTTTAATTGCACTGATCTGAAAACCAAGGACAGGACAGATGACACCACGAAGGTGATGTTGATTTTGCCTGTCCAGTACTTTCCAATCAGTGAGGAGACAAGATGATTCCTCTTTAGACCTTTGGGATGCAGATGCAACCACATTTTTGCCCATACCTTTGATTCACCTCAAAATACAAATAACACGTGTGACTCAATGACTCGTTCTAACAGACCTTATTAAAAAGGTTTCCTTTCAGCTTTATGTCTATAAGAGACATCCACCACCATGGTATACATCAGAAATAAGACAATTAACTAAAAGGTCACTTCAAATAAACCAGAATGTTCTTTGGAAATTAATTCTGAAGACTTTGTAGATATACACTCTCAAACATCAATTTCCTCCAATGGCATCCACCCTGACACAAGCACTCACCTAATCTGTCCAAGTCTCTCCCATACACTCTTTATAGCCCTGGCCTTGTGTGGGTCTGGAGACAGTGTGATACTACCCTGTACAAAGACCAAGGGTTATATACATACGCAGGAAGTGTATGGGCTATTACTATTCAGATTAAGGGAGGTGAGAAATGAGAAGTGCTATCAGCAGTCTGTGTACAGTTTATATGAATACAACCACTGTCTTTGGCTAGGCCATACCAGTGCTAAGGCAACTGACATACAGTGGCATTTTAGCTACCAAACAGTAGCTGCTTAGTAGGCTACGTTTCTATGTATAAGCAATCCATAGGCCTGTAGGAAAGTAATTGCGTTGATGTGGTCTAGCCATCATTTTTGTAATTTAATAATTTAAGTGACATGAGAAAGAGTGATTCACCATGATTCTCTGAGGAGAAAGCAGCAATAAAAGTGTTTTTCATCACAGTTTCTCCCATTGCTGATTTTGGACATTCAACAGCATTTTCTGCAGCGCTAAACACACTGACATCATCATCAGTACAAAAGTTACAAAATACACACCACAAAAACACAACTAGTCATACACTGAGTATACAAAACATATTTCCATGACATAGACTGACCAGGTGAATCCAGGTGAAAGCTATGATCCCTTATTGATGTCACTTGTTAAACCCACTTCAATCAGTGTAGATGAAGGGGAGGAGACAGGTTAAAGAAGGATTTTTAAGCCTTGAGACATGGATTGTGTATGTGTGCCATTCAGAGGGTGAATGGGCAAGACAAAAGATTCAAGTGCCTTTGAACAGGGTATGGTAGTAGCTGCTAGGCGCACCGGTTTGTGTCAGGAACTGCAACGCTGCTGGGTTTTTTACGCTCAACAGTTTCCTGTATGTATCAAGAATGGTCCACCACCCAAAGGACATCCAGCCAACTTGACACAACTGTGGGAGGCATCAACACTTTGTAGAGTATAAATGGCACGCATCCTGTAGAGTACAACACAAAACAAAAGTCATTTCCAGCCACTTCCTTCTGAGTTCTTCTTTCCAGTCCTACTGAAGTGAGACCACCATGAACTGAGGAGTGATTCAAAATGAGAAATCATGGCACTTATTTTTTTTAATTAAACTGTACTCTTCGAAGAGCACTGACAACAAGGTCAAATAGACACGACAGGTGACTTTAAATTACTTATTACTCATGATTGTCACTCTATAATAAGCCTCATGATATCAGATGAAGACAGTACAGGAATTGCAATAAGATGGACAATAATGTATTTAATTTGAATAATTTTTCAACAAACCGTTGCCTAGTTTCAACACACCCATCTTCTTTCGGTTGAGTCTAGTCTAACCACTATGTCTAACCACACACGGGTGGAGGCTGTTGCTGAGCTGGAGGTGTTAGAGTCCCTCTTAAAGTCAACACCATGACATATATCTGAGCCTCACAATCATGGAAAACTCTTATTTTCTTTTTCCTGCTGTCTGAAACTGCCACTAGATGAAGGTTGCATTTGATGCTGACAAGGCTTACTTAGTGAAACTGAAAACAATTAATAATTCTCACTGCTTCACATGTTTCTCATTTACAATAAGTATTTTCTGACACTAAACCCTCCATCACACATCACGCAGGACTGTATTATCCGTCATGCAGGGCAGCGGTGTCTCCAGATAGCATTGTGGCTGAGAGGAGGTTGTCGATATCCTGGATGGCTTTCAAGGTTCTCTGGAGGGCCTCCGCGATGCTCTCGCTGACTGGCTCACAGTGGGCCACGTGCTCTTTAGAACTGCTAGAACCACAGCCCACCGCTGTAGAACCCCTCTGGGCTCTAAGAAGGTGACTGTTCTCCAACAGAACTGGGTAGAGCCGGTTAAAGAAAACAGATCATCCACTGATTAGCCTATTGCTAATCAAGGACAGGTGCAGTGCCTTCAGAAAGTATTCGTACCCCTTGACTTATTCCACATTTTGTGTTACAGCCTGAATTCAAAATTGATTAAATATATTTTTTTCCCCTCACCCATCTACGCACAATACACCACAATGACAAAGTGAAAACATGTTTGCAGAACTCTTTGCAAATATATTGAAAAACTGAAATATTTAATTTACATAAGTATTCAAACCCCGGAGTCAATACTTTGTCGAAGCACCTTTGGCCGTGATTTCTGGGTAAATCGCTAAGCGCTTTCCACACCTGGATTGTGCAACATTTGCCCATGATTATTTTTTCAATTCTTCAAGCTCTGTCAAATTGGTTGTTGATAATTGCTAGACAACCATTTTCAGGTCTTGCCATAGATTTGTTAAGTAGATGTAAGTCAATACTGTAACTCGGCCACTCAGGAACATTCACTGTCTTCTTGGTAAGTAACTCCAGTGTAGATTTGGCCTTGTGTTTTAGGTTATTGTCTTGCTGAAAGGTAAATTCATCTCCCAGTGTCTGTTGGAAAGCAGACAACCAGATTTTCCTCTAGGATTTTGCTTGTGCATAGCTCCATTCCATTAATTTTTTATCCTGAAAAACTCCCCAGTGCTTAACGATTACAAGCATACCCATAACATGATGCAGCCACCACTATGCTTGAAAATATGGAGAGTGGGACTTAGTAATGTGTTGTATTAGATTTTCCTTAAATGTAACACTTTGTATTCAGGACAAAAAGTGAATTGCATTGCCACATTTTCTGCAGTATTACTTTAGTGCCTTGTTGCAAACAGGATGTATAGTGTATTCGGAAAGTATTCAGACTCCTTCCCTTTTTCCACATTGTTACGTTACAGCCTTATTCTAAAATTGATTAAATAAATAAAAATCCTCATCAATCTACACACAATACCCCATAATGACAAAGTGAAAACAGGTTTTTAAAAATAAAATCTTTATTTACATAAGTACTCAGACCCTTTGCAATGAGACTCGAAATTGAGCTCAGGTGCATCCTGTTTCCATTGATCATCCTTGAGATGTTTCTACAACTTGATTGGAGTCCACCTGTGGTAAATTCAATTGATTGGACATGATTTGGAAAGGCACACACACCTGTCTATATAAGGTCCCACAGTTGACAGTGCATGTCAGAGCAAAAACCAAACCATGAGGTCGAAGGAATTGGCCGTAGTGCTCGAGACAGGATTGTGTCCAGGCACAGATCTGGGGAAGGGTACCAAAACATTTCTGCAGCATTGAAGGTCCCCAAGAACACAGTGGCCTCCATCATTCTTAAATGGAAGAAGCTTAGAACCAGCAAGACTCTTCCTAGAGCTGGCCGTCCGGCCAAACTGAGCAACCGGGGATGGAAACCTGGCACCATGCCTACGGTGAAGCATGGTGGTGGCAGCGTCATGCTGTGGGGATGTTTTTCAGCGGCAGGGACTGGGAGACTAGTCAGGATCGAGTGAAAGATGAACAGAGCAAAGTAAAAATCTAATCACATTTTATTTGTCACATATGCCGAATACAACACCTTACCGTGAAATGCTTACTTACAAGCCCTTAACCAACAATGCAGTTCAAGAAATATAGTTAAGAAAATATTTACTAAATATTCCTTCCTCTGACACCGCCTAGTATATAGGTCCTGGATGGCAGGAAGCTTGACCCCAGTGATGTACTGGGCCGTACGCACTACCCTCTGTAGCGCCATACGGTCGGATGCCGAGCAGTTGCCATACCAGGCGGTGATGCAACCGGTCAGGATGCTCTCGATGGTGCAGCTGTAGAACTTTGAGGATCTGTGGACCCATGCCAAATCTTTTCAGTCTCTTGAGGGGGAAAAAGGTGTTGTCGTGCCCTCTTCACGATTGTCTTGGTGTGTTTGGACCATGATAGTTTGTTGGTGATGTAGATCCTTGATGAAAATCTGCTCCAGAGCGCTCAGGACCTCAGACTGGGGCAAAGGTTTACCTTCCAACAGGACAACAACCCTAAGCACACAGCCAAGACAATGCAGGAGTGGCTTCAGGACAAGTCTCTAATGTCCTTGAGTGGCCCAGCCAGAGCCTGGACTTGAACCCGATCTAACATCTCTGGAGCGACCTGAAAATAGCTGTGCAGCGACGCTCCCTATCCAACCTGACAGAGCTTGAGAGGATCTGCAGAGAAGAATAGGAGAAACTCCCCAAATACAGGTGTGCCAAGCTTGTAGCGTCATACCCAAGACGACTCAAGGCTGTAATCGCTGCCAAAGGTGCTTCAACAAAGTACTGAGTAAAGGGTCTGAATACTTATGTAAATGTAGATTTTGTATTGTTAATACATTTGCAAAAAAATTCTAAAAACCAAGTTTTTGCTTTGTCATTATGGGGTATTGTGTGTAGATTGATGAGGGGGAAAAAAACAATTTCATAAATTTTAGAATAAGGCTGTAACGTAACAACATTTTGAAAAAGTGTAGGGGTCTGAATACTTTCCGAATGCACTGTATATTTTGGAATATTTTTATTCTGTACAGGATTCCTTCTTTTCACCCTGTCGATTAGGTTAGTATTGTGGAGTAACTACAATGTTGTTGAACCATCCTCAGTTTTCTACTATCACAGCCATTAAACTCTGTAACTGTTTTAAAGTCACCATTGGCCTCATGGTGAAATCCCTGAGCGGTTTCTTTCCTCTCCGCCAACTGAGTTAGGAAGGATGCCTGTATCTTTGTAGTGACTGGGTGTATTGATACACCATCCAAAGTGTAATTAATAACTTCACCATGCTCAAAGAGATATTCAATGTCATTTTTTCCCCCCTCCCATCTACCAATAGGTGCCCTTCTTTGCGAGGCATTGGAAAACCTCCCTGGTCTTTGTGGTTGAATCTGTGTTTGAAATTCACTGCTCGACTGAGGGACCTTACAGATAATTGTATGTGTGGGGTACAGAGACGAGGTAGTCATTTCAAAATCATGTTAAACACTATTATTGAGTCCATGCAACTTATGTGACTTGTTAAGCACATTTTTACTCCTGAACTTATGTAGGCTTGTAATAACAAAGGGGTTAAATACTTATTGACTCAAAGACATTCATTTGTAAAAATTTCAAAAAACATGATTCCACTTTGAGATTATGGGGTATTGTGTGTAGGCCAGTGACAAAAAAATCTCAATTTAATTCATTTTAAATTCAGGCTGTAACACAACAAAGTGTGGAAAAGGTCTAGGGGTCTGAATACTTTCTGAAGGCACTGTAGCTGTTAGCCTGGATGCATTAGACTGGTCTGTTTCTTCTAAAGCCAATGTAGTGTTGTCTTGCTAAAGACAACAATGTACCTAGTGTTGTAGAATTCAGAAACAGTCATGTACCCTACCCTGGCTTATTATCCATAAAAGCCACCCAGAATAGTGACACTAAGGATACAGTTGAAGCGTTTGATCTTCTCCAGCTCTTCAACAACACAGTTAGGCCTGAAACAGAAAACAAATAATATTTTACTTAGCAAAAAATTGCTATGCTAGCAAGTGCAACACTTAGTGCCACCATTTAAAAATACATTTCACTCAATACAACATAGCTGAGCATTAATGTCTCAACTTTGAAGATTTAGGTACACAGACCTGCTTTGTCTTGCTTCAGTGGTATTAATGAAACCAGACTCAGAAATGTGTACTTCCTGTACAAAGGGCTCAGAACTGGTCTCCTGCACAGAGAGAAAAATACAACGCATCTCAATGCACCAATACACAATCGACTAACTAACACGCACAACTGTATGGATGATGTGTGGTCTAACCTTGTTCAAGCAGCTCGGTGTAGCAGGGAGCTTTAGAGAGTGCCTGGCCTGGTTGTAGCACTTCAGGATCCTGTCAAAACAACGTTTCAGTTTCAAGTTTCAATGCCATATGCACAAGTACAGTGAAATGCCTTTCTTACAAACTCAAAAAAACTCAATGGCAATAATATTGGAGGGTACCCATGAATAGAATTTGAAGTTAAAATTGAATTGGCCACAACCATGAAGGGTTTTGTTGATTTACAGTAATTACATTTACATTTTAGTCATTTAGCAGACGCTCTTATCCAGAGCGACTTACAGGAGCAATTAGGGTTAAGTGCCTTGCTCAAGGGCACATCGACAGATTTTTCACCTAGTCGGCTCGGGGATTAGAACCAGCGACCTTTCGGTTACTGGCACAACGCTCTAAACCACTAAGCTACCTGCTAAAGCAGGTCTGTGTACCTAAATAACAAGGTAGTAGCACTGCCTGATGTCTACAGGTGTGCTAGCCGTAGTCATCAGAGCTGGGCCAGGTCTACGGCGGTATCTCACCTGCTGGCTCCAGTCACCATAGAGCACACAGAGTAGGCCTGCCCAGGTGTGTCAGGGGGGAGGCTGCTCAGGTGGTACGTTACATCCTTTACCTAGGGGAAACACCACAACATGAGCAATGCTATCAGTCTGTCCTAAAACATATAGCTACACACATACTGGAATTCCTATTAGATTTGTGTCAGCATCCCAAAACTGTTTAAGATTCCACAAATAATCATGGAAGCATCTGTAAAAGCCTGTATGGCCATAAAATCAGTATGATATGGTAATTAAAAAAAGATGGCTTTCTACTGCATACAAGCACATGATAGGATATAGCCCGCATAAATGACATGACAGACTGCTACTCTGTGCAGGGTTCGAATTACAAGGAGCACACAGGGTAGCACAAGTCTTAGGGAAATATCAACAGCTATTTTAAGGGCACCCTCAACAGTAAATGTGTAATTTTGAAGCGTGATTAGGTCAGGGTTTCTGTCAGGAAAATGTGGAGCAGGACATTTGACCCAGAGCATTTTAATTTACCGGACATTCGAGAAATGTACCCCGACCCACATACATTGGGTGGGTAACCTGATTAGAACGTCTACTCACGGTGCTCAGAATGACAGAAATCACATTTAGATTATGGTAATTCATATTAACAGAACATGCAAGTCGAGGATGCAACGATGTGCGGTCCTTCTTACTGAATTCTGATGTGCACTTTGAAGATGTTAGAATAACTGTCCACATTTACTTTACCTCAGCCAACAACATGTTAACTTTTCTACTATGGGGATAGTAGATTGGCATAGGCTAGTGAAAAGTTAACATGTTCTATGGTCAGCTTGTCGAGAAAGAAATAGCCTATTCCTAACAGACTCTGGGACAGTTGTGCGACGATAGATCCCAAAGTCATTCAACCAATAGGCCTAGGCTACATAATATATATATATTTTTTAAGCAATTGAGTCAGATGCAACAGATCAGAACATTTAACTTAAAAATGTTGATAAACTATTATTTCTTAACATTATAAGCGAAGCAATGTGCTCAAGGCAGTAGACTACGCGCAGATGTTCATTCCATAATGCAATTAGCGGGAAAACACCATTGTCAAAAGGGCACCGCACATGTGAGCAGTTTTATGTGACAGAGATGAAAATAGCCATTAGAAATGTTTGAAAGATGGGGGGGTCTAATATGGATCAACTAGCATGGGTTGCTAATATGACTAGGATTGTGCTTTTGGCTACCAGACAATAAACAAAAGTTGATATAAAATAATTGCCTCCACGGATATGGTCCGATTTTGGCTAGGCTACTTTGAAGCTAGGTAAGACATGCCTCATACTATGTATTAAAACATTCCGGTTTCAAACAATTAAGTATACACTACCGTTCAAAAGTTTGGGGTCACTTAGAAATGTCCTTGTTTTCGAAAGAAAAGCAATTTATTTGTCCATTAAAATAACATCAAATTGATCAGAAATACAGTGTAGACATTGTTAATGTTGTAAATGGCTATTGTAGCTGGAAACGGCTGATTTTTTATGGAATATCTACATAGGCGTACAGAGGCCCATTATCAGCAACCATCAGTCCTGTGTTCCAATGGCACGTTGTGTTTTCTAATCCAAGTTTATCATTTTAAAAGGCTAATTGATCATTAGAAAACCCTTTTGAAATTATATGTTAGCACAGCTGAAAACTGTTGTGCTGATTAAAGAAGCAATAAAACTGGCCTTCTTGAGACTAGTTGAGTATCCGGAGCATCAGCAATTGTGGGTTTGATTACAGGCTCAAAATGGCAAGAAACAAATAACTTTCTTGTGAAACTCGTCAGTCTATTCTTGTTCTGAGAAATGAAGGCTATTCCATGCGAGAAATTGCCAAGAAACTGAAGATCTCGTACAACGCTGTGTACTACTCCCTTCACAGAACAGCGCAAACTGGCTCTAACCAGAATAGAAAGAGGAGTGGGAGGCCCCGGTGCACAACTGAGCAAGAGGACAAATACATTAGAGTGTCTAGTTTGAGAAACAGACGCCTTACAGGTCCTCAACTGGCAGCTTCATTAAATAGTACCCGCAAAACACCAGTCTCAACGTCAACAGTGAAGAGGCGACTCCAGGATGCGGACCTTCTAGGCAGAGTTGCAAAGAAAAAGCCATATCTCAGACTGGCCAATAAAAATAAAAGATGGGCAGTCTGAGATATGGCTTTTTCATGCAACTCTGCCTAGAAGGTCAGCATCCCGGAGTCGCCTCTTCACTGTTGACATTGAGACTGGTGTTTTGTGGGTACTATTTAATGAAGCTTCCAGTTGAGGACTTGTGAGGTGCCTGTTTCTCAAACTAGACACTAATGTATTTGTCCTCTTGCTCAGTTGTGCACTGGGGCCTCCCACTCCCACTAGCAAACACAACGTGCCATTGGAACACAGGACTGATGATTGCTGATAATGGCCCTCTGTACGCCTATGTAGATATTCCATTAAAAAAAATCAGCCGTTTCCAGCTACAATAGCCATTTACAACATTAACAACATCTACACTGTATTTCTGATCAATTTGATGTTATTTTAAATGGACAAAAAAAATTGCTTTTCTTTCGAAAACAAGGACATCTCTAAGTGACCTCAAACTTTTGAACGGTAGTGTATGTTTTCAAAATGCATACTGCCTATAGCTCATTGCATAGTGGTGTGTGACGCACTGATGAAGCCTGCCTTCCATTGCCTATGTTTGCTGTTTGAGATGCTGTAGATTTTCCGCTCAAAGGCTCTGTATCTGTATGCTGTACACGTGTGATAACATACATAACGAATATGCAGTAAACACATGCCAATTATATTCCACTAAATTAGGCAAATTAACTTATAGACCGATAAGCATGACAAGTCAAATGTATTGACATCGACTGGTATTTCCAACATTGAATAGGCTAAAAAGCATTATTTCACAATGGGGGTTTTTCTTCTCCCGGACAATTGGTCGGTGGCAATTTTATTTATCGGCTTTTCTAAAAACAAATATCGAACAAAAGCCGGCTATTACCGGCTAACAGAAACCCTGGGTTAGGTGATGTATTGTACCTCTCCAGGCCCAGGGCCAGCTCTGTGGTGGGTGAAGTAGCTGGCCAGAACTCCGTTAGACCTGATGACTGAACCATCCCCTGGAGAAACCTCCACGACTGGGATGGCTCCATCCACTATCCTGGACAGGAGAAACAGACAGACAGGACAGATGGATGTAATGGTTACAGAAGAAAATAACTGGACACAAGGTTGGTCAACAAACAACTATTTTCTTTTTTAACAGTTGAGGTGTGACTTGCTTTCTATGATTTATGATTGCTGAATATAGTATCTCATTAACTAATCATCTATATAACACGAAACAGTAGCCTATTCAAATCAAGTCAAGTGAATATGTATAATCCTGCAGAAAGGTACCTGTACAGCACCCCTTGGCACCACACCACCTTAACCAGCTCTGTAGGGAGGTCTTGGTCCGGCTCCTGTTCATCTTGGACCAGAAAGTGCCTGAACTTCCACCTACAGTAAAAATACATACATCTCTACAGTTTACTGCTAGATGTTTACATGCAGATAATTATACACTACCAGTTTTGGCAGTGATATCTGTATGTCTATTTTCATATCATAAAATAAAATCAATCAATCAACCTGTGCTGATGAGGGGAGGGGCATCTGAGAGGCAGGGCTTGGGGCAGGTGAGACCTCCTCTCTCCTCTGGATGTGTTTGGCATTGCCACTGCTCTCTCAGTCTGGTCTCTCCCCCTGGCTGTCTCTTCTTCTGTGTCTCCCCTGTTCCTCTCTCCAGAGGGCTGGGACTGGGCGCACCAGAGGTGAAGGGCCAAAGACAGAGGGTAGCGCCACACCAGAGGAACACAGGAGACAGAGTGGTGCTGGACCACTCTGGTGGACAGGTATACCTCTCCTTGCTTTGAATTTACAAGTTTATTGTCAGCATAATGAAGAAACTTACCATTGGCTTCAAACAACCACATTGACATTGAAATAAAAAACATAAACAACATTCAAGAATCCGGCGCACTTTGAGCATTGCTCCATAGCAAGCCTTACCTTGGGCTCAGCACAGGCATTACTCTGTTGAGATGGAGTCTTTGACCTACAGGTTTGGTTGTCTTGCTGTGTGTGTTCAGTGACGGACCTATTTGGCTCTCGGCTCTGAGGCCTGTGGTGTTGGTTGTGACTAAGCCTGCAGGTGAAGCTTATAGAGAACTCCTCTCCAGAGGGAGAAAGCAGCAGACTGGCTCTCCGCTCCACTGAACTGACGATGGTCTCTCGGTTCGATCCCACCTCAGCAGTACAGGAATGACATGCAGGCCACTCCACCTCTGGGTCAATGCTGAAGACCTGCTGTAAGACGAGGTGAAAAGCACAATCTCAATGGTGAAAGGTTAACTAGGTAGTTTCCTGTGGTAAGTGGATAACTGTGGGCAAAATAATGTCCTGTTACACGAGGGAAATTGTGTGATGTGTATTTGAGGATTGAAAATATCCCAATTACACAAAAATTAAGTGAAGGCATTGTGGTAATTTATTTATTTATTTCGCAAAAAAACGAATAGCTAGCAAAACTGTGTTAACTAGCTAGCTAACGTTACCTTTATGTGGTCGTCAGGGATTAGTTCTTCAGGCAGGTAAGGTCGAGTCGCATACTCGTTCCTGAACTCCAAAGCACCAAGCATCAGGTCCTAGAATATTGACAAGTCAGGATTGGCAAAAATAGGGGTTGTTTTTATTATGAGATTCGGTTCTGCTGATGTTACCTACCTTGTAGCTACTGGTGGCGAACCTGGTCCTCTGTCGAACCTTCTCGCTAGACTGGAGAGGATGTGCAGAGCGTGCAGGAGCTTTCTCCAACACGAACTCCGAGCCACAGGGCGACAAGTGCAAACGGGAATCATCTACGTAACGGACGTCCACCGACTCATCCTCGTACATGATCATCAAACTGATATTAGTGCTGCTGCTGGTCATCGTAAACGTTATTTTATATATTCTAGGTAGCTAGATAGTAAACCAAATTACTTATAGCAGCGTTGTTGTCAACAACAAAATTCCCGCAACATGAAAGGTGTGCTCCCATTGGATGATGATTCTTCTTCTTCTTCTCCTTCTTCCTTCTACTGTACATACTGTGGCCAAAATGAGCGTAGCGCCATCTACTGTGCTTTTCAGGTAACACGTATATTGAAAGAATCCACACATAACACAGCAAGTCGTCCAGGTCCTGAGGCAGCAAAGCATCCCCAAACCATCACACCACCACCACCATGCTTGACCTTTGGTATGATGTTCTTACTGTGGAATGCAGTGTTTGGTTTTCGCCAGGCATAATGGGACCCATCTCGTCCAAAAAGTTGACTCAAGTTTGCCAAAAAAGCACCTGGATGATCATCAAGACTCTTGGAAGAACGTTCTATGGACAGATGATTCAAAAGTATAACTTTTTGGACGACATGGTTCCAGTAATGCCAGGTGAAAACCAAACTCTGCATTCCACAGTAAGAACATCATACCAAAGGTCAAGCATGGTGGTGGTGGTGTGATGGTTTGGGGATGCTTTGCTGCCTCAGGACCTGGACGACTTGCCTTAATAGAAGGAACCATGAATTCTGCTCTGTATCAGATAATTCTACAGGAGAATGTCAGACCATCCGTCTGTGAGCTGAAGCTGAAGCGCAGCTGGGTCATGCAGCAAGACAATGATCCAAAACACACAATCAAGTCTACATGAAAATTGCTAAAAAGCAACAAATTGGAAGTTTTGGAATGGCCTAGTCAAAGTCCAGACCTAATCCCAATTGAGATGTTGTGGCAGGACTTGAAACGAGCAGTTCATGCTTGAAAACCCACACGTCACTGAGTTAAAGCAGTTCTGCATGGAAGAGTGGGCCACAGCGACGTGAGAGACTGATCAACAACTACAGGAAGCATTTGGTTGGAGTCATTGCAGCTAAAGGTGGCACAACCAGTTATTGAGTGTAAGGGGGCAATTACTTTTTCACACAGGGGAATTGGGTGTTACATAACTTGTTTATGAAATAAATATGTAATTCTTGTGTTATTTGTCCACTTATGTTCCCTTTATCTAATATTAGGTTTTGGTTGAAGATCTGATAACATTCAGTATCACAAATATGCAAAAGTAGAGAAAATTAGAAAGGGGGCAAATACTTTTTCATAGCACTGTAAGTCGTTTTTTGGGGTATCTGTACCTTACTATTTATATTTTTGACAACTTTTACTTTACTTACTACACTTTTAAATAATATAATGTACTTTTTACTCCTTACATTTCCCTGACACCCAAAAGTACTCGTTACATTTTGACAGGAAAATGGTCCAATTCACACACTTATCAATAGAACATCCCTGGTCATAATAATAACAATATGCCATTTAGCAGACGCTTTTATCCAAAGCGACTTACAGTCATGTGTGCATACATTTTTACGTATGGGTGGTCCCGGGGATCGAACCCACTACCCTGGCGTTACAAGCGCCATGCTCTACCAATTGAGCTACAGAGGACCACATTATCCCTACTGCATCTGATCTGGCAGACTCACTAAACACAAATGCTTCATTGGTAAATGATGTCTGAGTGATGGAGTGTGCCCCTGGCTATCCGTAAATAAAAAAACAAGAAAATGGTGCCATATGTTTTGCTTAATATAAGGAATTTGAAATGATTTATACTTTTACTTTTGATACTTAAGTACATTTTAACAATATTTACTTTTGATACTTAAGTATATTTAAAACCAAATACTTTTAGACTTTTACTGAATTTTTTTACTGGGTGACTTTCACTTTTACTTGAGTCATTTTCTGTTAAGGTATCTTTACCTTAATTGACAATTGAGTACTTTTTCCACCACTGAACATGACTGCCGTTTGACAAATATAAATATTCTCGCTCTTATCCATAGTAATCTCATCATATAGACTAGCCTACCCGCACAGCATCTGCGAGATGTTGGCTGGAGCGCACATGCCAAGACCAGAGTAGGCACATTTGTTATTTAACGCAACAAAATTTGTGACTAAACTATCGGTAGATTTGAAAATGTGATGGAAACACATTAAACTTTAGATTTTATTCAGTAATTGAAAATGTAAGCGAAAAAGTACATTTTGTGTGTACTTCTTTATGCAGATTTTAGAATATTCGCATGAACATCTGTCGCCAATGATGGATGTCTAGCTAGTGTCAGTGAAATATTCATATTATAAATAATTTATTGCAGACAAACAATACTGTGAATATTTACAAACTATAAAACAAACATTCCTTTTAATGTGTTTCATCAATTGATGATGGTAAAAACAACTTTAAATTTGCTGTGTAATCCACCCTGAGAGATTTATGTTGCAGTGGTTTCTTAATCACAGTTCCAAACTGCCTACTGCAAAAGGTTTAAAGCCGTGTTCAACTGACAAATTGGATTCAAAACAATACCGTTCCCACTTCCCAGCAACAGACAGTACTACTCAACAATTCTGTTAAATAACTTAACATTCTAAAAAGGCTAATTTGAACCTGTAAAAGAAAGAACAAAAACACCCCTAAAGTTTAAGCAACATTTGAGTTCTCTTTTATGGCCAGTTTTCTGCCACTTGTTGGTATTCAGTATTTGAAGCTCATTTGTTAGTTTCACAAATCCACCACCTTAAAATGCATAGCCTGATAAAGGGTGGTTGACCATCAAACTGAAATAAATGGCCAACTCCTCAGATGTATAATTAACAAACGGCCCTGGAGTTCAGTAGTGCAACATTCAGAACATTGAAAGCAGAGATGTACTATATAGAACAGACAATTCTCTTGAATACTGTATTTATTTACCGTGTTGCAACATCCGATGCAGTGCAGTATCCGTTCTATACATCACATTTGTATCTGCAATAGTCTGAGTGTTGCCTCCAACTGAATAAGCCCCTGCAGTATTCCCTGTAGCTGAACCCTATGTTGTCGTTGATTCTACAGTTAGTATGCAATCAAACTCCACACACATTTGATGACATAGCAGCCTATTCAGATTGTCAATTATTTGCACATCTGACACCCATCTGCTATTTCCCCTAATGTGTAAACAGCAAAAAAAAAACATGGAATCTGATCTTTTGACTTCAGATTAATACCACATCCATATGTGGATCTCAATCCTGATTATCTATATGTGACCTCAGTCTGGACGCTCAGATCAGAGTTTTGCTCAGAAGTTTTTTGTTTGTTGGCACATTACCTGCAGTCATCAGAACAACCACCCCAAAATGTAAAGTAACAGTAATAGCATTTAATCCATGTGCTACTTCAGAGGCTACATCAGTGTAAATGCGCAAATCTGATATGGGTCACATGTAAAACTGAGTGTGGACAGTCGGAAAATAATATTGATTTTCTTTCTATATCTAGAGTTGGGTTTTTAGGGTGTCTGTGTAAACACAGCCGTAGTAGTGTTTGAAATCCACAGCACACATTTCCCCTGCGGCATTAAGATGAAGAGCAAGGGAAATACGTGTTTCTGAAAGAATCAAAAGCAGAGAAGGAACTCCCCCACCCCCCAAAAAAGCCAAACTCAAAACAGTCGGTATAACTCAGCAGATTATTGATCCAGTTGATTGTACCATATCTTCCAACCAACACAAATCCCAGCCAGAAAAAAACCTGTAAGTGAAGTGCCACGAAGAGCAAACTATGCACTGTATTGTTCCCCCCCCCCCCCCCCCCCCCCCCCCAAAAAAAAATAACATATCGCTTGTTCTTTGATTTTTTCCAGTCGCAAACATTCCAGCAAGTCAAACACGAAAGGTATGTGCCAGTTCAGTCTCTCGCAGCACTCTCATGCTGGTCTCATTGTCGCTGTCTCCTCTCTGACTCTAGGCAGAACTTCTCAAAAGCTTCCTCGATCTCAGGGTCCATCTCATCCTCGTCATTGAACGATCTGGAACACAAACAATGATGTATATTCATTAAGATCAAGAATGAACTGAACAAAGCGCAGGCAAATTCATTAAGGTTATTTACAGGTTTATTTCAAAAGCTGTTCAGTGTACCACTAAAGACCAAAAGGCGCACACACACACAGTTGAGTGAGAAAGGGGTAAGCTAACCCCCCTTTCTGGTCCATCTGCTGACTACTCTGAATAGGAGGCTCTGGCTTCCCCTGTTGCATTGTGGGCTAGACAATCACACTGACCCACACTGGCCCCACAAGTCAACGACCTCACGCTGCTCTCAGGTCATGTGACCTTGGTGACATTGGCATATGGACACATGACAAGACCAATCCTACAATTGTATTAGTAACAACGGCACTGGATTGCCTGACCTATTTGGTGTGTTTGACTGGCTCCCACAAATAAATATTCTAGAACTAGAGAGGGATATTCTATAACTACAGAGGAATATTCTACAACTACAGAATAACATTATAGAATTACAGAGGAATATTCTAGAACCACAGATACATATTTAGTACCATCATGACTCAAACACATCCAACCAAGTCAACTGAAAGAGCAAAGAACATGACCACAACTAATCACTGTATAGACAATTAATACATTTACATTTGTCATTTAGCAATACTCACGATTCATTTCCATTCTCTTCACAATCCTCTGGGAAATAGTCGTCTTCCCAATCTAGGATCTCCTGGTATTTTTCTGAATATTCTGTAACACCAAAACATACATTTAAGGACAATGCAAAGCGTTTGCAGGGTTTTATCTTGATGAATAATGGTGATATACTCACCAGGGTCGGCTGCGGTGAAGGGAGTGCCGTCTGCAGTGTAGAACGTAGGCTCATTCTGAGAGGAGAAACGCACAAAGAACAGCGTTGAAAAGGTTAGTAGGCATGAAATTCAATTTGAACATTAAACCAGTTTCCCAAAATGGTGGATCGTGCCAATTCCTTTTGGATCATGGGTTAAAGCTGGGAGCTGGCTTGAAACTTGAGAAGTTTAAAAGCTTAGATGGAGGGAGTAGTGTTGATTTCTAGCCCCAACTCCTCACCATAAAGTAATTGGGGTCATTGTCAGGTGTAGCGTCGGCAGCAGCAGCAGCGTGGACTCTGCCCCAGTTACTAGACCTCAGCTCCACCAGCCGCAATAACATCTGCTTCACATCTCTGATGGACACACAGACTGTCTTTTATTAATTTGTTCAATCACTCACTCAGCATCAACAACATCTCCTTCACACAACAGACACAGTCAGTCATTCATATGACCAGTTTCTATCTAATCCAATCTAAGAAGCTTTCATTTGACTTCTAAATTTGGCAGAGGTAGTTTTGACAGAGTGTCTACTAAACACAAAGCAGCCAGTCTCTGGCCATTGCTACTTCATTCATCTCACATACACACACGCACCTGCTGCACTGGGAGTCCAGTAAGATGTTCTCAATCCTCTGGGTTAGCTGGTCCATGTCAGACTTCCCGTTTTCTTTCCATGCATCCTCCAGAACCGAGCCTGTCAACTACAGATGACATCACAGATAAAAGTTAATGTAACAAAGGGGAATTTGTCTTGCACATTATAACAAACTTGACAAAATAAACATTATTACATTGTAATACAATACAATCTTTTCCATTCACATGGGATTGTAGCCTGCAGATTTCTCTTGAAAGAAGGTAAATAACTGTACCACAGATGACGTGGAACATTGAACCAGCTTGACTTTAGAGATCAGAAAACTTGCGAAATCACCTTGAGCAGTTTGACAGCACAGATTAGGTTTCCGTCCACTGGGTTAGATAAGAGGGCATCCATCAGGTCCCTCAGGGCGGTTAGCAGGATCTCAGCACGGGAAGGAGGCCCCTTTGCACTCTTCACCTGATACAATCAATTATACAGGAGGTCAGGTTCAGTCATCCTCTAGGGTTTATTATCAACTCAAAATGGATCTAGGGGGAGGAGTTATGGAAGGAGGTTGGGTTATGGGAGGCAAGTGTCAAAGTTGTGATGAGCTGAAATGGAAATTGTTTTTACCATCAAGTGTCACTTTGGAAACAAGTGTTTTAATTAATACTTTTAAGTGCTATTCTCTTGGAATACAATGTACATTTTGCTGTATATGTTTTTACCCAAATAATAATAATAAAATTCAGCTCAATTCAACAGACCCACAGAGACATAAATACCCCCAAAAGACTGGGACAGGACAAAGGCGCTCCTACTCACCTCCAGTCTGAGGTAGAGCTCCCCCAGAAAGAGCACATAGGCATGGAACTTCTTCTGTGTCTCCTGGTCCCCCCGCACCGCTACATCCCTCTGTTCATACTCTGTCTGACACCTACAGCACCCAGATACAGAGTGAGAGACAGGGTTTCTGTATAAATGGCTACAAGTGTTTCTTGTGGTGAAGCATCAGGATTAAGCTTGTGATGAAATTATAAGATGTTACTTTCTAATATTAACAAAGCTCACCGTTTAAGTAACAGCTGACGAAAGTTTCCACTTGCTGGGCTGAGTACGAGGTTATGAGACAGAAAGTTACAGAGCCTTGCCCCTGTGTACGAGAAATTGGGGATAGCAGTAGACTGCAAAAACAGACAAAATGGAACAACAGAACAGAACAAATTGAAAAAAAATACAGTAAAACAAAATACAGTAAACTACAGTACAGACATCGCTATTAAATTAATAAGCACGTAGATGACCGAACTGTGTGTGTGTTGATACACATACTTGTGTATAGATGAGTTCCACCAGTTCTTGCAGCGTCTCCTCAGTAGTGACCCAGCTGTTCAGCATGTTTACTATGGACTCAATGTCCATCTCAAAGGACCCCGGCGAGGAGTTTAGGTGGCTGAGAAACTCCTCAACCAATTCAGCCAATGTCGTCTCAGTATAATAGCCATCACTGCCATCCTAAAATGGAGAATACAGGTAATCAAGGATTGGTGAAAAATATAGAAACTAGCTAGTAGCTACTGCCAGTACTTCCAGCTGAGAGCTACTCATTAGTAGTGGATGAGGTGAAGTGCAGTTGCCGAGACACTAGGCAACCCATTATCATTATGCATTATTACAGGGTGTACAGACTTTTTGTTCCGACCCAGCACCATCACACCAGATCTAATTTAATAAGGGGCTTGGTGATTACCCTAATTGAACCAGGTGTGTTAGTAGTACTGGACTGGAACAAAAGCCTGCACCCTGGTTGGGTTTCCAGGATCACTGGGGGAACACTGCTTTCGCACCTCATAGGGGGAGAAGCTGGCAGGGTAGAACTCCAGTGCATTGGCTGACAGAATGGAGGTCTTCACCAGAGTCTCCACACTTTTCACTTTGGAGGCAGGAGTGCTGTTGTTGTGAATGACTTGGTGGGGTTTGCTTGGTCTTCTGCTTTCTGAGGAAGCAAATTAAGATTTATTTTAAGTACACGTAGCTAGCAATAGAGGTCTGAGTGGCACATTAGGTAATGTGCTTGCCCTGTAACAGGGACACTCGGTGGCAGGGACCTAGCTTGTCATGTGACGTGATTTGGCCACCGTCCTTGCGCTTCATTTAGTAACAGGTGCAACTAGTTAGTTAGCTACTTAGGTAATTTGTCAGAGGGATTCAATTCTTCTAGGGGCGTTTTAAAACGACGATAGTTTGCAAGTTAGCTAGGTTGTCACTAGCAGCAGGCCTGTGCAAACGAACAGGGCATTTTGCGCGCTCTAGCCCTCGAGCTAGAATGTTGTGTAACTTCTTCACACACTAGCTACCTACCTAGCTAGCTAACATGTTAACACGCATAGCTAGCTAAAACAAATGGCTAAATTAACAGTAAAGGCATAGTTGGTCTGACATCAAATCTTACCTCCCCCGATAGCTTCACTAGTGTTTGTGTTCTCAGTCAAAGGTGGAGACGTCCGAGGTTGCCGTAGAGGCTCACTCTCGTTGAAAACATATGTGGCGTCTCCTACATCTGCGAGGCCGGGCCTTCTTGGCTTTATACGGACTCTACCTGCGCCTGGAGTTCGGTCGAAATTCTCAGTCATCTCTTTTGCTTGTTTGTGCTACGACTTGTTCGGTGAGGCGCAACAGAAAACCATTCGAGAGAAAGAAAAAAAAAAAAAGAGGTGGTTTGGCAATTCCAATGACGTGTTACGAAATTATTTAGTTTGGCCTCACTCACCATACCTCACATTCATATTTACCAGCAAGCTAGCTAGTTTCTGTTCTAGAACGGATATTACAACATATTTATGTTAGGGCCACTTCCTTCAACAACAAATCCGATATCGGCTGAGATTATCTATGAACGTGTTGGCGACCTCTAGGGGAGTGGTAGAGCACCAACAGAGCAGAGCCGAGCCTATATCTCATTGAGCGGACTGAGTAGCCTGGAAAAAGTCCCAGGAAGCCTACTTTGATCTGAAGCAAGAAAGTACGTTTATCTAGCTAATACACATACTGTATAATGTTAAATGTGACGCAGTTTCTTCAGCAATGAAAGAGAGTTGGATGATCAAGTAATATAAACATACCCCAGCCTCCCGTATTACAATAAAACCACAGATGCATCAGAGAGCAGTATCAGGATCCTGTGGATCACACCAACCCTCTCACATGTGTCGCTCTCCCCCTGCTCTCTCCGTAGCTGCCCATTACAGCCATGTGTGTTGCACCAGACCTTAGAAGAAGCAGTCATTAATTGTTTAGCCTCCAGTCATTTTCCACTTGTTTCCCAAAGCTGGATCACATTATGTCAAAGAGCATTCCCGTTCCAGAAATGTGTAGACCCACTTTGATAAAAGATTATGGCCCCTATTTTCTGTTATTGCAAAATGGGTGTCTTGGAGGGAGTTCAAACATTCACAAGTGAAGTCCTGTGAATGCGTAGAAGATGAAAGATGACAATACCTTTACGAATCCTTGAAGAAGTAGTATACTAGCTAGAGTTGGTATAGCCAACAGCAGCACTGTGTGTGTTCAGTGCAATTCGTTTAAAGGAAAGGCCGCACTCTAGTAGCTCGGAAAGGGGTTATTTTTGGACTGGGCAGAAATACACTTGTTAAAAATGTTGCGAATGGCGGGGCAAAAACCCTACGCATTTCACCAATACCCTGATAGTTGGGAATTGTAGCATAGCTCATATAGCGAGGATTGCTACAGTACACTATGTTGGATTGCATTGCAACATTCAAAAGTGTTGATCATTCATTGTGAGTCCATAAACCATCATTGCAGGGACAATATGGTCCTCTGTAGCTCAGCTGGTAGAGCACGGCGCTTGTAACGCCAAGGTAGTGGGTTCGATCCCCGGGACCACCCATACACAAAAAATGTATGCACGCATGACTGTAAGTCGCTTTGGATAAAAGCGTCTGCTAAATGGCATATTATTATTATTATAATATGAGCATTTCTAGCTCAAAGCAAATACCATCATGATCCCTGGCCTCCTGCAGTAGCTCCGAACATCTTAACAATAGTTCCGGACCAGGAATCACGGTCTCTAGTTGAATGGGATAAATCTGGGAATTTGGGAAACGTTCTGTCTTTCATGTTAGTTTTGCAAGCACTTTGTGTTCTTTTCCCAATTGCACGCCCTTACATAGATACAATTAGATGTTCATGCACAGAGGATGAGAGACACGTGACATTTGTGTTAACATTCTCCCCCTAGTCTTTTGATCTGGCATCTGCCAGCTGTCATTGATTAGAGCATTTGTTGATGATTACAGGAGGAAGTGGGTAGGGAGACACAGGTCATAAATAATAATATAATGTTTTATTGTCACACACCAGATAGGTGCAGTGAAATGTGGTGTTTTACAGGGTCAGCCATAGTAGTACAGTGCCCATGGAGCAAATGAAGGTTAAGTGCCTTGCTCAAGGGCACATTGACAGATTTTTCACCTTGTTGGCTCGGGTATTCAAAGCACACACACACTGCACCAGATAATGTTAAATAGTGCTTGATGTGGGACATTACAATGCTGAAATGTGAGGTCTACAGGCTATTCACTTTTCTTCATATTACTTACTGTATGAAACAAGTGTTTCTTGCTTGTTCAGTATCCATGTGACCTAAGGCCTCATGCCATTTGGGAATGTTGCATCTCCACACTAATGGGGTGATAGTTGAGGAAATAATGTAAGCCCATACCAGTGTAGTTACCTCCCTTCCATTTTCATGTGGTCAGCCTGTATGTTTCCAGTTTGTTTGGTGGGTCTGTAATGGTTGCCTTTTGTCATTACCTACCTCAGTCAGCCTGATAAGAATAGTCACTCAGCGTGACCTGAAAACCACACTGGGTCCCTGTGCTCTGGGTTTTCATCCTGTTACCATTACCTGTTACCTTAGAATATATCTACTTTGAATGTAGTTGAGAAGCAGAGCATTTTGATTTTTCTTTCAGAATTATTGTATTAACAGTATCTGATTTATTGGGTCACAATCTCGATCATATGTGTATTTGTCAGATTTGTCAGCCAGTTTAAGTTGCATACTTTATTGATGGACATGAGAACATCTGGATACCGAGGAGGAAATAGCTGATTTATTTTATTTACTTCACAGACACGATGAGGTGTAAAGAATGCAATGAAATGTTCACCTTCTTTCCACCTCCAGTTAAATATTACACAAAATAAATAATTTACTTCAACACAGTCAAAGCTCAGTGGTTAAGTATCATACGTTAGTTTTTTCTTTCACTGTATTCACTTTTGCTATGGTTCCAAGCTTTCATGACCACTAGGATCTTGCTCAATAAAAAAAAAAACTCGCATTTACCAATCTGTTAGGACTTCTTCTTCATTTCAGAATGTCCAGATTATTGAAATGAGATTGAGAACCATGGACAACAGTTAGAAAAAGTGTTTTGTATACACAACACCAGTGCTTCCTCAGTTCATCCACCAGGTGTGTGAAACAACTTCCTACTTTGTTCCCCCCTCCTTCAGTCCACCTCTTTCAAATGATTTGGCACAGAATAGTATTCAAATTTCACCCTGTGCCACAGAAAACACTGTCCATCCCCAAACCAATAAACCATCTCAATGAAAGTCAAAAGCAGGGTGTATCTGCACAGTTAATTACCTTCCTTAGAGAAAATATATATTTTAGAAATGTTATAGTTCAGATGCCCTCTGTCCAGATTAGAGTAAATGTTTTAAATCCTTATTTGAAAGATTGTTCAGTGCTGAATAGCTCTCCCACAGGGTCTGTCTAGTCCAGTGAAACACTCCCCTTCATCACACCATGATGGGGAGGAAGTGGGTGGCTGTATTCCTCCTCCGTGTTTTCTTCCCTCTCAGTGGCCTCCCGTGGACACTCAGGCCCACAAACATCTGTCTCTTCTTGTTCTTCCACTCGGCTGAGGCGTAGGTGTTATAGCCGTTCTCCTCAATACGCTCCTTCAGTGTGCAGTCAATGCCAAACTCTCTCTGGAAGAACAAAGGACATTATTGGGTTACATTCTCAAATGTGTATTTGGATACCGACTCAATACATTTTTATACTGAATCAACTATTTTCATTTGTGAAGTGCATACACTAGCAAAGGATGTGAGAATACTATAGTTATAGTTCATGTACTGTTTTTATTTATTTATTCTGCATATTAATTTATTTGAAATTTGCAGAATTAAATCTCTTGAGATGCACCATCTCATTTTCAAGTGTCCAAGTGTCCAAATGTAAAAACAAAATAAACAAACAATACTTAGTAACAAGAATAATATGGCAACTACTGTCTAATAACATCTAGTTAGCTAACTGACAACCAATTCAACTTAGTCAAGATGTACCATATTACTAGTACCATGTACTAGAGGGGTACATTCAATAGAACTAGTTAATTATGCAAATCTGTTACAGTGATAGATGGGATATATTCTAATGTCACTTAGCACTGTAGTCATGACCTGCTGACCTCCAATTTCCTCTTTGAATCATATGCACTTGGTTTGGAAAGTGTGCTCTTTGAAGTTCTGATAGTTTCCACTGCACCATTAGTTAAAAGTGAACCCAGCTCCAAAGATAAGAACTCTTGTGATAAAGACAAAAGGAATCTAAGTGTATATTTTTGAGGCTTGTTGAATGACCTCTGACCCGGATACTAACCGCTCCATACAGCTCTCCCTTCCTGCTGATAGCCAGGTAATAGTTACTGCCCAGGCCTTTGATAGCCACCACCCCCACATCCACTGACGTGATCTCCAGAATACCTGAGAACACACACAAAAAACATGTATAATCATTTAGAAACAAGTGATACATTTTATAAACCGTTTATAATCATCATGACCACTTAGGGGAAATCTGTAACCATTCAGGCAGGGAATTTTAAGGCAGACCACAGACATACTCTTGGCCTAGACCAGAACACAGAGGCAGACTAAATAGAAGCTATGGAATGTGTTCTGGATCTGCTGTAGTCATATAAATTAGATAAGAGCTTGTAGAACTATCAGGAGTGTCTGCCTACCTCTCCTTACATGAAATATTAGTTTGTATTTGTGTTGTTTATTAGGTTTAACCAAATGGGAAAAGTGAGTTAAATGTGTTGAAAATAAATAGGTTGCAACTTCAAATATAGGTTTGTTAATAATCAAATATAACAGTTGGCATTGAATCATATATTTTTTAATTGAGAAAACCTAACAGATTAACTTGTAACCAGCTGAAGTAAAAAATAAAATCTGTTGATCCAAAGAGCAATTTATTTTTTTTACACTGTAGAGCCTTTCTCAAGACAAAACATTACCTAGATGTGTTTGAGAAAGCCTCTAGCTGAAATCATGTGGGTTCATAGCCAACTGTCATGCTATCGGTCAGATTTATGGTACTCTAATACTCTTGTTCATAGTTAAGAGAAAAGCCTGAAGAATCTCTTAAACTGTAGAGTTTTCATCCATCCATCCATCCTTCATATCACCCATATAAGTGTGCTTCATCTACGTAGATCCACAGTCTACACAGAAGAACAGACTTCAGCTTAATAACTAATTTGGCATGAGGATTATAATAAGTGCAGGTTTGATTTATTTGTGAATAGTTTGGCTCGTTTGGTATGTAAGCCCCCAATTCCCAGTGCAAATATTCTGTTTTCCCGAAAGCCATTAGAAGAGGTTGAATTATACGGCAGTAAGCATAGCATGCTGCTGTTGTAGACAGCTGAGGTTATTTGTGTGTCCGTAGTATCAGAGAGGTCAGAGAGATACAGCTTCCTAATCTGTCTGTTGACCAGAGAGCCCACTTATCACACACACAAACACACACACACACACACACACACACACACACACACACACACACACACACACACACACACACACACACACACACACACACACACACACACACACACACACACACACACACACACATTTATCTCATCTGAAACTGGTGTGTGTTAATGGCCCCTCTCTGGATCCTATGGCACGTTTGATTTCATGACACCCTCCTTCACTTCCTCTCCCCACTTCCTGTGTGCTGTTGTTATCCTGATACACACACACACACACACACACACACACATACACACACACACACACACACACACACACACACACATTTATCTAATCTGAAACTGGTGTGTGTTAATGGCCCCTCTCTGGATCCTATGGCACGTTTGATTTCATGACACCCTCCTTCACTTCCTCTCCCCACTTCCTGTGTGCTGTTGTTATCCTGATACACACACACACACACGCACACACACACACACATACACACACACACACACACACACACACACACACACACTGCAGGGAGTTGTCATGACGATGGTCTTTGATCAGACTGCCAGAGCAGTTCCCCTCCTTCCTCCCTGATGAGTAAGTGAAGCCGCCTGTGTCACTGTCAAGTTCCCTGTCTTGTGGTCGGACCGTCTAAAGGTGCTGTGTGAAACAGGTGTCCTGAAAAAAATGCCCTTCGAAATATACTGTGACCTACACCCCTGTCTTCACATCAGCGAGGTAGCCTCTGCATTAGTTTCCAGTTCAAACAGGTTCACACCGGCAGGTGAAGTGGTGGTAGGGACCATGACACAACGGCCATTGAAGATCTGAGAGTTGCTTCAGTAAGGGATCAGGTTTCAGGTATCGAGTGAGGCTGTAAGACTATCTAACGCTGTCTCTGGTCCCTCTGTAAACATGCTGGGGATGAAAGGAGAGAGAACAGAGGAGGACAGATGAGCCATGACAGAGAGACAGATAGAGGAGGATTAGAAAGACCTTAATGACCACTGATCAAACACACACACCGGAGGCTGGGGCGAGATGGTTTGTATGAAGTCTGAACACACACACACAGAGTTCCAGACACACACACATAGGTGTGCATATACTTGCGAGCAAGCATTGTGTACACACACCCATATGCATGCTCACACACATGCACACACATATGTACAGTCTCTACAATATTTCTCTATAGAGAAAAGCCACCCGTATCCACTCGGTCTGTGATGATTCATGTTCAGCACTACTGTCTACTTGCTCACCCAGGAATGATATCTACAACGCCGCAAGGGCGGAAAAAAACTAACAGAAGCCATTAGGACAAATGTGTTTTTCATTCAACATATTACACCTGGGTCAACCACACATCTCCAACTGTTTATTTAGGGAAATATTGGTTGCATGCTGGACTCTTCCTCCTAATGTGTGGCTCATTTGATATGCTCTGTTTGTAGTTACTGCAGTAAATGGTGCGTTCGGGTGGAATGGGAGCAAACAATGCCAATGTGAATTAAAGGTGGGTTTTCCATAATGGGTTGCCAGGTAAATGTGGATTTTCCACAGTGGGTTTCCAGGTAAAGGTGGATTTTGCCATTGCTATTCGTGGTACCTGGAAGTTTACTCTTCGAAAAAAAAAGTGTTGTCTCCAAAAAATGGAGCTTACAGTACAGATACACTGTAGCCTATTTGATTTAAGAATAAGGAAAACATATACTTAGATATCTGAAACCATTCCAACTGTATTGTCATGTTGAAATATGGGAATGACAGAAACATAAATCAGCTGTAATGCAGATTAGGACCACATTGAATGTAATTAGTTTGTTCATACCCTTCCTCTCTCCACCTCCATAAACATCTTCACATCTCATATCTCAGTGTCCCTGAGAGAACTGGCTGTGGTTTCCCTTCTGAGGGGCACACAAACACACACACACACACACACACACACACACACACACACACACACACACACACACACACACACACACACACACACACACACACACACACACACACACACACACACACACACACACACACACACACACACACACACACACACACAGAGCGAATGAGGAACATGCCAGTCCCAGTCTGGAGGCGCCTCAGCACACATGACTCCCGGGAAGAGAAAGACACAAACACATTTGGTGGCCTCCTGTATTGCCCTCCTGCTCTCTTGACAGGCTGAGCTCACACTCACACCATCCCAGCTTGGGGAAATTAGACTAATCTGTCCGCCGCCAGACATCTGTTAGGGCCTCAGTTAGAACTGTTCGAGTCCACCATTACTGTTCTCAGTAACTGTGTATAATTCATTTGAAATATTTTAGGCTTTTCAAATGTGGTGAGATGCAACAACATAGCAAACCAAGTTATCGATAAGTTGAGTTGCTTTTATAAGCTGATGTGTAGCTTTATGTACATGCACTTCTTTTTGCAAAGCGCCATGTTGGGAATCTATTCCAGCCCTCTCTCCCAGCAGAATCCCAGCATGATGGAACGCCATGTGGGACAGTTTTTCACAGGCATCCTCATAAATCTATGGGAGGTTGGATACATGCTCTTAAACAGACAAGAGCAGGGTCCTCCCAGGGCAGCCCCCAAAACCACCACCTCTACATCTGTCGAGATCTTTGCTAGCAAGGTTGGTAGTTCAAGCCCAATACCAGTTGTTCCCCCTCATTCGCAACACTGTTGTAACCAGGTTTCAAAGCTCGGGTCTCAGCCTTGCACACAAACAAACTGGACCTAAATCATATCTCCAAAAAGGAGGGGTAATAAGAATGACTAGTGAAAGATTGGCAACTTGGTCTCCAGATATGCTTCTGTACTGCACAAACAGCATGATTTTAAATATCTATGGAAAGATTTCCACATGCTTGCTGATAGCAAGAACAAGCAAACATATTTTCTTTAGGAAATGTACTTTTCTAGTTTTATTCATACAGTAAATCCATTATTATGATGCTATTATTTTCTATCAACCCAGTGGTTTTAACTGGGCATTACCACAGAATCGTTGGCAAAAACCTGATGTTGTGTCATTTTCTGGAGCTACAAAGGACATCATCCCAGGGATCATGTCTAGGCCCTGGGCCAGAGCAGAGACCGGAGCTGCTCTCCTGTAGTATCTCTTTCCCTATGAACCTGATAGTGGGCCATATAATCCACACACACTGTCCTCAGTCCCCCCCAGGAAATGACTTTATGACAGCACCATTGATACTGAACACTCGCGGCTTTGATGTGACCACAATGATGTTCAACCATGTCATTCATGAATTAGTACCCTGCCCCAACCTCCCCTACCACTGCAGTCATACCCAACCCAAAGATAAACTTGGTCACCTTTTGCAGAGGCTTAGTATTGTATACTGCAGTATATTACTAATATATACTAGTAGTACTGTAGTATTATAGCCTGATGTATAAATAATTGTGAGAGTGATGAGAGACAATAGAAAGATTCAAGAAGTTAACACCTACTAGCTTCACGTTGAAGCCGCCGATCATCTTAGTGAAGACATTGCTGGCCTGGCTGTTGTACTATGTCACAAATACCCAAAAGGGGCCTATTGAAATTCATAGCATTTATGCCTCACTGTCAAATAAAGACAGTGTAAAGTCTATAAAGACATTTACATTTTTGTCATTTAGCAGACGCTCTTATCCAGAGCGACTTACAGGAGCAATTAGGGTTAAGTGCCTTGCTCAAGGGCACATCGACAGATTTTTCACCTAGTCGGCTCGGGGATTAGAACCAGCGACCTTTCGGTTACTGGCACAACGCTCTTAACCACTAAGCTACCTGCCGCCCCATTTATATAAAAGCGTAGGGTCTATAAAGACATTTCTGTCATCTTCTTGTCAAAACAAACACCAATAGTTACATTTTTACTTCCCTTACTCTTTCCCATAAGCCTCTTTGATTGATTTTGTGGTTTAGAACTCCCAGGAGAAACGCTAAAGACTTCCATATACACGGGATGGGGGGTGGTGTGTGGGGGTGGTGGGGGTGTGTGGGGGGGGGTTGTAGTTTAAGTGGGCACATGTGTCTCTGGTTGCTTGGTTTGCTACATCCGAACACACCCCCACTTGAGCATGTGCGTGCCCGCACACAGATAGGCTCACACACTTAACTTATTGGAATGAGTGGGTTGATAGAAAGGGGATGCATAGTAGATATAGTACATTTATCCAAGTTATTATTACAACAGTACACTGAGCACGCTAAATAACAAGAGTTACAGTGAAGACAGCAACAAAGTGTTACAATAAGTTATTCAGGCATATACATGTACAAATTACCTTGACTAACCTGTACCCCAGCAGATTGACTTGGTAGCGGTACCCCCTGTATATAGACTCATTATTGTTATTCTTTTTTACTTTAGTAAATATTTTCTTAACTTTTATTTTACTTAAAACTGCATTGTTGGTTAAGGGCTTGTAAGTAAGCATTTCACTGTAACGTACTTGTAAAATATAATCTGTGACACATTCATAGTGTAACTAATGCTCTCTCTACTGAGCGTGATAGGCTATCCATCACGTTGTATTCGGCGCATCTGACAAATACAATTTGATTTGATTTGATTTGAATAGGGCATGAGTACAAAACATCTACATTTATGTTTCTGTACCTCTGTAAATTAACCAGATCACATTCACATTATACTGCATTGATCATAAACCACACGGCATCAGCATTATGTGCAATATTTGTGGACTTAAATTAAGCGGACTGGATGTGTGTGAGAGCATCTTAGAGCATGGTAGTGATTGGCATATCCTCTCCTACCCCCAGTCCTGCTCCTCTCTAGCTGTTATCAGTACTGTTGACTCTGGGCTGTGAATACGGACAGATAACAGGTTGGTAATCTCTCCCTCCCTGGTCCTGTTTTAATCATCTGAGCGCTACCATCATTGTGCGGAATGTCGGGACAGGACAGATATCACAAGGATGTCTGGTAGATACAGTAGGGAGCTTCTTGTCAGGAATGTTTCGCCTAGATCTAAGAATGAACAGGTCTGCCATCCGTGAATGGCTGGGAGACAGATCTTGCCACCATTTAGATTCAACATGCCGTATTGACGATCAATGCTAAAAAAGTTGTGCTGGAAACCTGTCTTTCCATACATACAGTAAAGTTATTCAACGCAAGTCAATAATTTTCTTTTTTTTTCTGTAATTTGTATGATATTCTGTAGTGAAGACCGTGCCAAAAGAGTGAGGAAAGCCTCGACAACACAATGGATTATTTTCAATACGCTATGGCTGAACCTCTGTTTCCTCCTCTTTTACTCTCCTACAAATTAAAAAACATACTCTTGTGGTTACTTACTGAGGGGGTCGTCTTTGCTCTTGGTCCCATTGACTCTGCCATTCTTATCAATCCGCAGGAAGAACTTCTGGAAGGAGAAGAGCTTCCTCTGCCGCACATCTCCCTGCAGGTGGTTGTAGCTACGTACGTGCCTCCCCAGTGGACCCCCTATCCTTTCCAAGGAACCTCCAGTTTCTCCAACCCTGGACGCAGCCAGGGAACTATTCACTGGCGCCCTAAGAGGACTGCTGGGGCTGGGGGGCTGGAGGCTGGGGCTGGGGGACTGGAGCCTGGGGCTGGGGGACTGGAGCCTGGGGCTATGTGGCTGGAGCCTGGGGCTATGTGGCTGGAGCCTGCCTCTGTAGAGAGCTTGGTGGCAGACAACCACAGGGAGGGAAAGGGAGAGCAGCAGTGCTAGCAGCAGAGACAGGGACAGGCTGGAAAAGAAGGACCCAAAGATTAAGCTGGTGCCAGAGCCAGACCTAAACCTGGACCCAGAGCCAGACCTAAACCAAAACCCAGAGGTGGCCCAGGCAGAAACAGCCTTACTCCCTCCAGCAGCCCATGTGCTCATGATAGAGTGGTGTGGGGAGGACTGGAAGCAGCCTCACAGCCTGGGACATGCTGCTGGGGACAGGGGAGGCTGGGAGGGCAGGGAGGGGAGCCCTCCTGGGAAATGGGTATCTCTGGTACCTAGTCTACCAGGTCTATATGCAAAAGAGATTTCCTCCTCAATGATACCTATTTGGATAGAAAATCATTGTCTCCTTGCCATTCTTTTGGTAGTTAGAGCAATTATTGTACTGAAAGTCAATGTATTCCAATGTTCTCTTTCACTTTTGTTCCTATACTGATGTCCCGGTAGATAAATTAAGACAAATAAAAATTAATTAATAAAACAGCCTATTGTCCCACTCGTCTTATTGTTGCCAGTGCAAATACCATCAGTGTATTCCAATGACAAATCAGGCAGGCGTCCTATGTTCCACTTTTGAAACTTCGCTGTTCCTGGTGCTGAATTTAATTCCAAACCAGAGTTCCTTAGATGGCTACTCCAACAATGAAAGGTCCACTGGCATAGGAACATTCTACTAACACTTTCTCCAGGTTCATCCCTCTGTCTCCTAAGGCCCAAACATTCAACAGCTCACTGCTGCCAGATACCCTCCACAGATTTCCAGATTTCACTAAAAAGAGAGAGAAGGTAAAATAAAAGGTAGAGTGAAATCCTGGTTGGCCAGTGTGTGCCTGTGAGAGATTTTCCTCCTCTCTGCTCTCTCCATGGATGAGTGTGGAGTGGACTCCTCTCCCTCTCAATTACAATGACTCCACCTTCACTGAGGTAACAGGCTGAGGAGGGGTGTGTGTGTTTGTGTGTTTGTGTGTGTGTGTGTGTGAATATGAGACTGTCAGTTGATCTGCCCCCTCTCTTTAACTCCCACCCTCTCCTTCTCTCCCTCTCTCTCTCCACCCCACCTCTCTCTTTCTCTTCCTTTCGCTCTCCCCCTCCACCTCTCCCTCTCCCCCCAACTCTCTCTCCATCCTCCACCTCTTTCTCCCCCCTCCACCTCTCTCTCACCCCTCCACCTCTCTATCTCCCCCTCCACCACTCTCTCTCCACTCTCCACATCTCTCTCTCCCCCTCCACCCTCCCTCTCCTCCCCCCCCCCCCCCCTCCTCCTCCCCTCTCTCTCCCCCCTCACCCCCCCCCCTCTCTCTCTCTCTCTCTCTCTCTCACACACACACACTGTCTTTCTCTTGTGCATTCCCAAACCAAACCAACCCCTCCCACTCCACTTACCCTGCTCTCATTTCCCATCACCCCTCTCTCATATGGGAGTGAGCTGGGAGTTGTGTGTGTGTGTTTGTGTGTACGTGTGCATGCGTGAGAATATGGGGCTGAGTGACAGGGGTGGAGGTGTGAATGGAGACCAGGGTACGATAGGATATATCTGGGTTGATAGTGCAGGGGTGGAGGTGATAGTAACAGACCAGTCACTTAGGTGTTTCAAACACTCCATTGGCTGCCAGGTTAGTGGGCTGTTTTAGTGTATATGGAGAGGATGTAGTGGGAGTGTTTTCTTTTTATAGCTGTGTGTGTGTGTGTGTGTGTGTGTGTGTGTGTGTGTGTGTGTGTGTGTGTGTGTGTGTGTGTGTGTGTGTGTGTGTGTGTGTGTGTGTGTGTGTGTGTGTGTGTGTGTGTGTGTGTGTGTGTGCGTGTGCGTGTGCGTGCGTGTGCGTGTGTATAATTTGAAATGCAACTACTTGGTACTGGTACCATCAAGATATGAGAAATCAGACCTGATGCCATTTCTTGTCTCTCCAAATAAAACGTACTATAAGGTAACCACTGCTAGGTCCAATCCAATGGCAGCTCTAAGAGGATCTCAGTCAGGCCTTGGTTCCAGTCCAATGGCAGCTCTAAGACGATCTCAGTCAGGCCTTGGTTCCAGTCCAATGGCAGCTCTAAGATGATCTCAGTCAGGCCTCTCTTATCTCGCCACCTTCCTCTGAGACTCAGGTGTCACATGACCAATTAGAAGCTCTTATACTCCCCTACTCAGAGTTGTGGCACTTCTGTCACGTTTTCCGTAATTCAATTCAGTTGGAGAATTTAATAACTTAATCAATTTAACTTAATTCAACTACATTTCCAATCTGGGAATTGGTGGTTTCTAAGACTGTAAGAACTGAAAGGTACACTCAGCAAGATGACATCATCATACACAGGGGAGCAACTTCCTACTAACAGAATAAAACATTAAAATTAAATCTGCCAAGACTGCCAGTATTAGATCTTAACAATGTGGCCGTAATCAAGAAGGAAGTTGTTAGCCATGCTGAGTGTAACTGGGTCGTTCCACGAAAATAGTGCCTTTTGCTTCGCTTTGATATTTTAAGTAGAAATTGTGCACCAACATTGCATTCTAAAAGCCTGTTATATTAAATGAAGTGCACTTTAAAATTTAGACCACATGGAGAATTCAATAAATCAGATTTCTTTATATGAATAAAGGCTTGCCAAAGTGCCAAAATTCAGCATTTTGACGTGTCCCTCCATCAGCCCTGTGTCACTTCTAGGAAGATTTTAACATAATTAATCCCACAATTTCTCCAAATTTCACCATCAGTGTAAAGCCCTAGTCATTTCTGAAGATAATTATTTATTTAATGTGATTAGTGATTCATTTACAGCTGTTCCTCATTTTAAGGTCAGCCCTGTTACGTGAACTGAACTCTTGTTTTAATATGGTGAATCTATTCCTTTTTAAATACTTTTTTTCAAAAGAAACATTGAACTTCTAATAGTTAAATCATAGAGTAAAAGCAGGTGAGCTGGTTCTACTCTTTATGCCCATTTTCTGGTGTGTTGTGGAGGAAAACTGAGCGGGTCGAGCATCACATGTCAAACCCTGTTACCTGTACTGTAGATAGAAAGGCTAGAAATGGTTTAACAAAAACATATATATTTGGTGAAGCTTCTATTGAATTGATACTCTCTGTTGCACACAACAAGCTTCCATTTCCCCTGTCACAGGGGGATTTATGGCTGATTTAAGATGAAATCATCAACCCTGTTGCGGTCAACCCTGTTACTTTATTTGGCACTTAATAGGCACTTACTATAGTCATTTTTTTTCTTGAGATGGGAAGACTTGTTTTTTATGAAGTTGAACATGTGCTCTTTATGACAGAATGTTAAAATGAGGTGAAATCTAACCAAGTTACACTTCTCAAAAGGCATTGAATTGGTGGAATGACCCAACTGTAAATGATGGTTCAGAAACCATCCTTTTCGTATCTCCTCCTCTCACCCCTTCAAAAGTTGATGCCATTTCTTGCCTTCTGCGTTCTCTCCTAAAGCCCCTCCTAGTTTCTTAGAGTCTGCTTTAACGTCTGTCAACGACCTGCGGCCAGAGCCTTGGTCTGGTCCTAATAAGTCTGGTCTTAAGCTGTCTGCATTTATCAGATACCCCACAGACAAAGTCATCTTATCAGTAGGACCAGACCAATGTTCTGTCCCATGCCACCATGATAGCCTTAATCAGCACTGAAGGAAACAGAGCTGGAGGAGCAGGGACAAGTTGAATTGATTATTGACCCAATCATAATGGACATCCATATGATTCCCATGGATCTTATACACTGAGTGTACAAAACAATAGGAACTCCTTCCTAATATGAGTTGCACCCCCTTTTGCCCTTAGAACAGGCTCAATTTGTCAGGGCATGGACTCTACAAGGTGCCGAAAGCGTTCCACAGGAATGCTGGCCCATGTTGACTCCAATGCATCCCACAGTTGTGTCAAGTTGGCTGGATGTCCTTTGGGTGGTGGACCATTCTTGATACACACAGGAAACTGTTGAGTGTGAAAAACCCAGCAGCGTTGCAGTTCTTGACACGCAAACTGGTGCACAAAAACCCCACATACAAAATTAATGTCTCAATTGACTCAAGGCTTAAATATTATTCTTTAACCTGTCTCCTCCCCTTCATCTAAGCTGATTGAAGTGGATTTATCAAGTGACATCAATAAGCGATCATAGCTTTTACCTGGATTCACCTGGTCAGTCTATGTCATGGAAAGAGCAGGTGTTTGTAATGTTTTGTACACTCAGTTTAGAACTGGAAGTTTCTTTTAACCCCGCCCCATTTGAGTCCTTTCTTTACCCTGTATGTTCTTAATGTTTAATGTGTATTTGTCACTTTTTGATGATCCCTATCAATTGCTAAACCGCTGCCTGTGTTCCTCTTATGGAAAATGTGAGAGCCAATATCACATTCTCTCACTGACAGACTGAATGCCCCATCCATAGTTACCACCCCATTAGACACAGCAGGAATGTCTTTGAAAACCTTTATCCAGCTAGCATAATTCCATATATCCTTATATAACTCTCTCTCTGAGGGGCAAATCTCTTTTTCTGGGTAAAAGTGAACACATTTTACTCTAACCACTTTCTATTGAGTTGTTTTGCTTTCCCTTCAAACAGAGGATAATGTTCTTTGCAGGTGCCGCCTAGATGAGATGTGGTAAAGATTTGCAGGATTTCTTTAGAAGCCAAAGAGAAAATTCTTTGTAAATGCAACCATGCCTGTGTTTTGTTTCTCCTAAACGTAATATAAGTGAGCTTTGGAGGTAGTAGAGGGTGGCCTGGGTCTCATCTTCCTCTGCCCTCCCTGGGTTCAGTGTTTACCATATCATTGTAAATAAGAATTTGTTCTTAACTGACTTGCCTAGTTAAATAAAGGTTAAATAAAAATAAATAAAAATATCTTAGAGCATTGCTTTCAAAGTTCAAAAAGCAAAGACAATACCACAGGCCAATGTGTTTCTGATCTCTAGCTGCATGCTGCAAAACAAATCAAATGAAATTGTATTCGTCACACGCTTTGTAAACAACTGGTGTGGACTAACAGTGAAATGCTTACTTACGGTCCCTCCCAACAATGCAGGAGCTGGCTTTGTACCGTGCAAAAACAAAAACATCATTACATGTCAGCGATTTGACAGGTGGGATTTATATTCTCTCTGCCTCTCTCTCTCTCTCTATGAGAAAATAGGGTTTCTT